TTTGCTTGATCTGACATGCGCAGAACATGCTCTCATGACAACACGACGCGCAGTCTACCAGTGTGCGCCCACTCTGGTTTTTGTCATGTCAATCGGAAAGGCACTCCACCGGCCGGTGCTTGTATGAAGAGACACAACATTTAGTGGTGTAATTAATATTTAAGGATTATTACCTGTTGTATATGTCTACAGTCGCGTTTCGGCGCGGTTTCATTTCATAAACAACTCAACTTGTTTTCATATGCGCAATAGTTTTATGTTTCATGCTTGGGTTTGGTTAGAAAATTATCCGGCAATAAAACAGTCGTGTTTGCTCCAAGTTAAAAAAAAAGGTTGTGGCTTTGTGAAGACAAAGCTTGTGTAATATCAACGAGCGATTATGATATTACAAGGCCGGATAACTTAGCGTTATGAAACTATCATATAAATGATATTATTCTGGTTCGTCTTTTTTTCATGCATATCTCATCATCCCATTCTGACTCCATTGAGCGGGTCTGGGCCTTAAACAAGTTGCAGTCTTTCAAAGTAACCAGGCTCTGAAGGAATCTCACAACAGCATTCGGCTGAATGAAACATGGCTGGCAGATAATGATATAGGGCTGAAAATAATTTTTGCATGAGTATTTTTTCAAAGCAATCTCTTATATACAAGCTATCAGTTAACGAAAGACCATTAAAAAAGTTGTATAGTTGGAGCATTTTTGATCAAAAATGTTTTAGTTGAAAGGCAATATCATGCATTTGCCGTTGTATAGAAGCAATTTCATACTTTTCTTCAGAGTCTTTTCTTAATATTTGCTACACCTATATGACAATATATATCATTGACCTAGTTAGACAGCCTAAATGGGGTATTACATTTTGCGGTAATTTCAATTGCTTAGCTGTGTGTCCAAGATTAATTATCCGGTATAATTATCCGGCAATGTTTATTACATGAAGAATTAGCGTAACTTAGCAATCATGGTCGACAGACACATTGTCTGAAAACTTGGCAAACTTTAAGGAGTCCTCAATGGATGAAGATCTGATGTTGGCTTTCCATACAAAGGTTTTCTCATTTTTATCTACAAATACATTGAATATTACAGTTGAGTAATTCAACTTGGAATATAGGAGGAACTAGCTATCTATGGTTAATATCCATAAGACCGAAAATACGCATGCATATATACAAATCATTTAGATCAATTGAAAATATATAACAGATTTCTTGTTGTTAAGCCTCTCAGGATTAGAGCCGGAAAACGTTGAACATTGTCAAATGCACTGGTGACGCGGCCAACTGTAAAATGTGCTATTTAAAGAGATGATGACATTAAGTTAGGATGGCGTGGATGTCGTAAAAATCAATCTTCTTCACCGTGCACACAGTTTCGCTGAGTGAATCACACATGCATAAACAGATATGGTTAAGACATACTAGAATGTAGATCGAGTTCACTTCGGACCACACGGGACTGTGACCGTAAATGAAGAATCATGACCGACTGGTTAAATCACTCACCATTCTACTGATTTATACAAATTGTACTTAAATGGAGACTCATAAAACATTGTGTCCCACTTCAGTCGCCAATTTTGCATATCATAACTATATATACGTTTCGTTAAAACACATGTTCCTCATTTTCATTATTGGTGTTCTTTACTGATTCCTTCTTATCACGGGTTTTATTACTGATTTGAAAGTCAATTCAGGTTTGGTTTTCTGCACTTTTTGACCTAGAAATAGCAACCGTAGATAATCCAATTCGGCGTTGAAGTGCTTATTCACTACCGATGATATACATATATAAAGTGGTTTGAGACAGTGCGGCTGAATGCGCACGAAACACGTTATTATATCGTCACTGTACTTCGTGGGCGACCTTAGTGCGATGGAGATTGTAAGCAGTTACAAAATAAACGAGAAAAAAATTAAACCACTTAGTTTTTTCCCTTGAAAGTGCGGGAATTGACTCGGTAGTGGCCACGAAGATGACGTCTAAAGGTAGATTACGACGTCATATTGATGCATTCCCAAGCAAAGAGCAAGGTTAAAATTTGAAAAAAAAAGTTGAAGGATGAAGCAGCCATCATTTTCTTATTCATGTTAGGTTCGTCAGTCCTAAGGTCATTTATCAATTTTCCTGAATTTAAAAGCCTACGTCCATCGTGTCAATAATTATACAAGTTATCAAGCACACATATAACGAACGTCGTTTTCTACACAAGTTCAAATTTGGGAATGAACTCTGTTTCATTATTGCCACCTCAAGAAGCCTGTCGAAGATATATATAACACTTACTGCTAAGGAGCTTGAGAATTGCATCCTTTTTCCCATAGCTAATTATAACAAAGATGGAATGATAAAGACATTCATTCATATACCTCATCAGTTTCTGCGCATGCATGCAGTAAATTCTGGTTAAACGACCTTATATACGCCCTTTAAGTTTCGTTCCCATGCAGGGATTAATCTTGGGTATAGTTTAATCATTTATCACCACAGAACAGCGGATGAAATGGTAAAATTTATGGGAGTTATACAGTTGTACCAGGAACTTTCTGGCTGCCTTACATCAGCTGGAGTTCATGTACTTATTCTGCAACTCAAAGTTTAGGGTTTTTTGTAATTCTGTGCGGCCAAATTAAGCAATGATATACATCTCTGCTATGTCCATACGCACATAATAACGTGCGTATACAGGTTACATGTAAAATAATGGTGATAAATATTGCATTTTATCACGGAACGAATCTTATTTATCGCTGCACAAATTGGTTATCACTGCACGAGAATGATCCTTGTTTGTTACATGAGTTTCGTGTGCACATTAACGTGTGGTCTGGTCAGCGCTGACGTAGAAAATTTCAGATAATCATGATGCTGAGAAGCCATGCAGTGCGCCTTGAAAGGCAGTTAATGCAATATTAGCTTGCATGGTCAGCGTTTGCACTGTACCTGCATAATTTTCTCCTCAGAACATCTTCAGTTGGTTTGCTGTTCAAGGACAACAGGTAGTAGCCAGTATTTAGTAATTCAACAGATGTGATAGCTTACATTTAAAACTTCACAGCCTATATCATTGCGTACAAACTACGACCTGCTTTTGATAGCAATCCGGTTGTAGTGAAAACAAGCTCCTAATTAATATGACACAACAAATTAGAAATGACTTCATCCTCAAAACCTGCTTTCTGGAATACGGATCAGAATCTTTAAAAGAACGGTGGTGGGACAACAACATTGTGTATAAAAAAAGCGCTTCGAAAATAGGGTGAATTGCGCATTGTAATACAACTTACAATCAAAATAAAAGTAAAATGGGCGTTTACACTTGCGGAGTGAAGAATAAACTTTCTATAATAACAATCAATCAATTGTTTGTTCAAAATTCATTCCTTATTCTATCTTTCTTTGACAAAGTGCCTGCGTGTGGGGACTAATATTTCGAATTCAATCGCGCAAAAGGAATGCGCTCTATTTCTACCGTTATACGGGTAAAAAGCTTTCAGCAGCTTCCTTGCAACTTGCGCTTGCTAAGTTTTTCAGTATATTTGTGGGAAAGTCATCAACACAAATAGGACATGGTTCGCTCTATCTGTATCATCCTCATTATCTATATTCATTTGTTGCATTCTGGACGTGTTTCAAGTGAAAAAACCGACTCCGTATCAGCAACGCGCAATGGATACAACAAGGTGTATTATCAATTGCAGATTAGAGGGCCTTTACCGTGAATCACATTCCGATCATATGGCCACTATTTGCAGTCCGCAATTGTTCGTCGATCGAAATCGAATCATAGTTTAAATCACTGAATTCCTTCATGCCAAGGATCATTCGCAACACTGGCATAACTGGGAGTTTTCAACTGCTTGAAATATTTAACTGATAAATCAATCTTTCATAGAAATATTGTGGTTTGAGTTATTTACCTTGACGAATACCGTTTTGAAAACGCGTCTCATTGACGGGAGGGCATGGGGGTAGATTTTTATCGAATTTGAGACATGTGTGCATTAGCTTAAATACGCAAGCTGTGTGAATAAATCGCGTGATGATATTCTGCGTGGTTTTTCATGTTTTTTTTCGAACCTGGTTGCGTTTAGTGACTTCGTAAGGGAAAATGAGGCGTAAGTCCAGGTACAAACCATCTGAAATGCAAGCAGAGAGTAGGAAAACGTTTTCTAAGTCTGTTGTAACGTTTGCATGGGCGCGTTTTTGCCAAACACCGCGGAACTGCCAAATACACTGGTATGTGAGGACACTAGTATGTGATCGTGAGGGGGAATTAGCCCAGTGAACTCAAGATATCTGGACGTTGACTTGGCCGCCATATTTGTAAGCTTGTAGCCTAGTTGTGTGCAAGCTGACATCACTTATACGCGGAAAACCTGGGAACGAGAATGACTATGTAACGTATATTTCACCTCGTGTTCTCGTGGTACACATGCACACAACTATGATGAGACTCTAGCTTTGTTTCCAGTCTCCTGATTTGTCGCTTCTTAGAATGCGCGCATAAATCACGCGAGGGCTTTCTTGGGCGGGGCCTTGGAATATGGATTGGGAACTTGTATAAAGCAGAGACTAATGGTAACACTTTTGCCAGTTTATTTTACGCAATTCTAATTCACTACCTAAATTTTGACTGTCACTGTGTTTGGTGAGTGTGCTAATAGTATAGATGAACGAAGGTAATTGTTGAATGGCAGAATACTTTATTTTCCCCAGCAAAGTCAGACATGTCCGAATTATGTTCAGCAATATTGTGGGACTAAATTAACGCACAGTGGCTCTCTAGATGATTATGTTAGCACTTGTGTTGAAAAAAGCTCATTCGCTGAAAATTCTAGTGCTTACTCGGGTTCCATAAGGTGGTACATTGTGGTACATGACAGTACAATACGCGGGATGAGTGTGCTACAACTAGGGTGATTTATGGGATGAGGCTGTAAAGGCTTCACGGATATAAATATATCACTGAAGATTGCACACAAGTTACACAGAGAAACGACACGATTTTTTCGAATCTTGGTTATTTGAAGACATTTTTCTATGTATGTACATACCATCCTACCTAATACTACAGATTTTCTTCGACGATTTGGTACAAAAATAGCAAAGTAATTGGAAGCATAATCTAAAATATATATTGGATTTATGAACTCGTCGATACGAACAAACCTGGAGCGCGCGTTTCACGGAGGAAACCAAAGATCGAGAATGCCATAATGGCGACTATTCATATTTGTCTACTATATATATATCATGGATCAGTGGCTTCATTTAGCTACCCATTGGATGGCACTAGATCTCCGATACTACAATTCAAAATTTGACCTCGAAACAACGGGAATGCTCAGGCGTATTCGTATCGATAGGATAACCAGTTTGATATGTTTCTGAACTGTTGCTCTTCTTTCTGCCTTTGTTATTTCCATGTTGTGATCGAATAACCGCAACAGGGTTGAGGAGGACTTTAGTTGCATATAAACCAGTACGGTTTTAATAAATTATCAAGGTTTATCGTTATGGAATGGTTATTATGAATTCTGCTGTGCCTACACGAGAAATTAATGCTAGATTGCGGAAAAAGATGTTTTGGAAAGTGATTTATGGAGTATCGCTGTAATAGGCTTCCTTATTCCACATCGTTGTGATTGGTTTTCCTATTTACGAGCACCAGGTGAAATACCATGTCACGCCAACCGCTCTGCCTCGCTATGCGTGTACCAACATTTTGGAAATATCAGAGTAAAAGTAGAACCGAATATTGGTCGACAATCATTACCTATACAGAATTTGGAAACCTACAATAGTCAAGGTACAGTAATGCAACGGACGCGGTTATTATGATCGCTTAATGCATTTGTCTATTCAGCATCATTGCTGTATTGTTTTTACCATACCAGGGCACGCACTACCTCCGTTCTCAATGGCACCGTTTCTATTCATCATGAAGACCATGCAAATGCACGACACCATCTTCTGTTGCCATGGTAATAATGACGCGTGTTGTTTCTATGACATTGATGAACATATACCGCTGGCGCTGCCCATCTGGGTGAGAACCTTATCTAGCCACTGTAGTGGACCGTTCAGATGAACTTCCACCCAACATGGGGTGCTAGTGATTGTCTGTCTTCGATACTCTGCGCCCCATCCTTTCACAAAACTCATCCTAATCATGCACATCTGTGTGAGACGGTAAACGGCTTCGAAGCCCTGGTTTACGGACTGCGACAATAATTGCGCGAATTCCTGATTATTGAATATCTTCAGGTTACACCCGGGCGGTATCTTGCATACAGTCGAGGGATGCCAGCCGTATCGACGATTACAATTAGGACTTTGAACGAATATACTACTATCACTCAGACACTCCGCAAAAACCTCACCACCGATGTAATATAATCGCACGCCTTTTCCAATATGGCGCCTCGTCGTTTCAACCTGCGGGTTTCTGTTGATGTTCGATAAGATACCCAGACAAAATCGGTCGGCACTCGATGGGTCTGTGAAGCCATCTACCGTAACACTTGGTGCTGAAGCGTTGAATGGTTCACCAACTCGGTAGTTCATTTCGTAATACGCAATTGCGCACCAATGCTGTGGTTCCTGGTACTGCACCGGCTGGGTTTCTGCTAAGAAATGAAAACAAGTTAAAGCCTTCCCGATCCCACAATTTATATCTCACATTTATTTATTTACACGATACAAATATCTGTATTAACGGTTCCAATTCCCAGGAATGAAAGCGACGATTACAACCCTTGCAGCGAGCTTGAAATTGCTCATGATGACGAGTGAAAAAGGGTTTTAAATGCCACAGATACAAAATTTTTCCAATCCGATAAAGGCGAAATTTAAGACGAAGTTCCCAGAAAGACGCTGATCATGTGATTTTAAACGTACGAAATTTTTCCAATCCGATAAAGGTGAAATTTAAGACGAAGTTCACTAGAAAGACGCTGAACATGTGATCTTAAACGTACGACGTGTCATTCAAACGTACGGGGTGTGTTCTTCTCACACAATCCGGTTTCCTCATTTACAAGCAACCACTTACCTAATGGCATTGCGGGCTCAGGCGATAGCTGACCTGATTCTAAAGAAAGAAAATTTAAGAGCACTTTAATGCCTGAATGAAAAATCCCTGGAACAATGCTACCATTATGCATAATATTTAATCCACAGGCACTTTGCCAAAAAAATTGGGAGAATTGGACGACGGTTTCACAGGCAATCCATATATATTGACTCGTTCTCCTTGCTTATAAATTATTCTGCTAATTCTTAACTGAATTGAACTCTTCTGTCTCTTGTCTTGCAATTTCTAATTCCTTACCTTGTGGCATTCCTACAACACTAGAATCTTCTGACATCCCATCATCTGACATATATGGCATTAAAGACGTATCTGATTCGAAGAAAAAAGTATTAACGATTGTTATCTTACCACAACGAACTGTGGATTTTGTAAATACAGTGTACTTAGACAAAACTATGATGTAAAATCCACACCTTGTTATTAATGAACCCTTAATCCAAACCTCCTGTTTTTATTTAACCCTTCATCCAAATTTCGCATTAGCTATCTCCCACCATGTCATTCTAGTCTTATTGTATTGTTTGTACCGTTATCTATCTTTCCTACAATATCCTGACTTCTTCCCTCTCCTATATTCTACAAGTAGACAATGTCTAAAGACATCTACTGGAGTCCTAAATTTGGAGAACCTCATTCAATCTGCAAAAGAAGTGCTTTAGCCAAACTAGATTTTTAAATACTCGCTCGTCTCACAAGATACCTTTAAAGGTTTTTTTACAACCAATCTTTAAAGGTGTTTTTACAACGCACATGCTAACTTCCATGCAACTCTCATGGAACTCAAGAGTCAAGACCATGGATAAACTCGCATGCAACCTAATTTGATTTAGAGAATGCACATAAAACGTGACATATCTAGAAAGCACAAAGTATGGCTCTATATTATCCCCTGTCCATCATCCATTTTTGTCATCTTTGAAAACGTTTATCCTAAATCTGCTTCCTACAACTGTATTTTAACAAAAAGACTTGCATTGGTTTCTTGTTACTTACCTGGGGAATATGGAGTCATCATTGGTGGCTCTGCTGTTGGAAAATCCTCGTTCATAGGATTGATATACTCATCAAGTTTCGGATATGAGGGACGTGGTTCCGTTGGATGGATAGGAACTAAAACTGGAGCCAATGCTGAAGAGAAAGAATGATAAATTTTTAGGCGGAGAGGTTGAGTGGAAAAGAATACGCCAATAGGCAGAACCGCTTGTGGAAACAGTTTTATTGTGTCTCCGACAGGACCAGATTTGTACTTGTCAAAAGGAAAAAAAAGAATTGGAAATTTATAGTTTTAGACAAGGAGGACGGATGAACGAAAGACAAAACAACTCTGAGTAGAGAACGCAAAGAAAAAATCTAAATGGATTGGTTTACCACATCAGATATTGTCAACCATCGTAAATGATAATTTCAAGATGCTCGCCACAGAACAAGCTCGTGTGCTTTTGGTGTAACGAGGAAATTCTTTCTAATTCTGTTTAGACTGTAGTACTTATTGTATATGGGTCTGTTCACACGACCCAATTTTGTTGGACCCAATTCTCCGTTTCAGGTATGAATTGTAGTCTTTAATTGATAAAGCAGACTATGAAATATCCGTCAGGAGTGAATTGAATGAAAATTGGATCATGTGAACCCAACGTTGAAGTTAGGATTGTTTGGTGATACTGTGTAAAGATGTCATGCATATTCTGAATCTGGATTATTGGATGTGTGTTGTTTAAAGATTATGCGCATTCTTCCTGTCAGATTTTTTTTAGTATCTGTTGCATTTTTAAAAATTTCGTAGAGGATAAGCCCCAAATTCCAGGAAATAACTTTCAATATTTTAAGTAGATTACAACAATAATTCAGGAGTTCTGTATCAGGATATACTATCAACACTTGCCACCCTCTTTGGCAACTTCTATGATATTAAACTTGGGTGGGAAATTAATTGTTGCGAATGTACAATACATAAAATTTGTGATCATTTTTGGGTTGTTAACTAGTTGTGGTAAATCGTTGGAGAGAAACTAAGTTGTGTCAACACTAATCACATTTAAGGCAATGCACCAAGATACTTATGCAGCATATTAAGGACACTGCTGGTGAACAATTGGTTATGTTTAGCTCATTTAAAATCACCCATTAAATGCAATTTCAGTTAGGTATGAGCAATTGTTACTCCTTTGCCAAGGGTCTCAACATATAAATTAAAATATATATTAGTCTTTCATTCTCAAAGTATCATTTCTTCACAAGTACTTTAGGCATGTATAAAAATGTAATTGCGTTCTTGAGGGTTTCCTACATAATTGACGTCATCACCTTCACTAACATACTCATATGGAGAGCCCCCTTGTGCATGTTATTTAGTCCCACAACACTTGCTGAGTACGATTTGGACACGTGACATTGCTGTGGGAAAGGGAATAATCAACAATTGCCTTCGTTGAACTTTAGTATAACCATACTCATTAACAGAAACCAAACATCTTTATAAGCTTGGCTCACACCTGACAAGTTGCATGATTTGGACACTGGGATTAACAAGTCTTTGACATACTTCAATTCCTCAATGTTTTTTCAGGAAAGAGTTCAAAATACCAAAGCAAAAGTCAATCCAATTTCAGACAGACTAAGGTGGATTAAGTTTGTTTCCATGAGGATAAGAAAATAAAACCTTCAACCAAACTAATCTACTTTGAGAAAAGAATCTTTGTTGAAAAAATCATTAAATTCCCCCCCAACAAAATTTATCTGAACAGGGATCTAAACCAATTTTGGGAGGTGTTCACCAATTACACACTGTAATGATTTACTAGAGTTCCTGTGGTGAATGGGATAACACTCCCACAGAGCAGATGGTGGGCAACATGGAGTTATCAGATGAGTGAATTTGTTCATCGGTGATAAATGAAGTGTTAGAGACAGTGTTTGCTTCGAAACTCTATATTACTTATATTAATTTACTTCTGAATTCTGTAATTTTAATATTGAATCCGAGTTCAACAAGTCGCAGGTATTGAGAGTTTATCTAAGCTGACAATAAGTCTTAATTAAGTATAAGTGACATATCTGGCAGAACTATACTGAAATTCACCAAAAACAAGTGTTTCCCAATGGATTTACAAAAGACTGTTAATCACAGTTGTGTGATTGTATTTGAATATCTTCTGTGGTCAGCAAATACACTGCACTTCATCACATTATTTCATCTCTCAGACATTCACACAGTACACCCACAAGTCCTTAATCCTTCAAAATTCTGGCACAGAATTTCTGCCAAATTTTTTAAATAAATTTGCCAGCACTTTCCCTATAAATTTGCCCAGATATTAAAGTCCTGTGCATGAACATGACATCTCCTTATATCCGACTTTCAAAGGGGGAAATACTAAGGGAAAACAAGCAATTTATAGAGTGCCACTCCAAACTATTTTGAGTGTTTGTAACGAACGTCGAACGTTCGAGAAGTCATGAATGCGGTTGAAAATCCGTGCCTTTTCCTTTGTAAATAATTCCTCCGAATGCGTATTAATTGCATTCACATGGAACGAATTTAGGTGGCTATTGTTGACGCAATTTTTTGTCCTGTGAATTGGATGCGAATGTCATGAGGAAATACCGGCCTCCGACATTTTGTATAATTTATTAAATGACTTTCAAATCAAACATATCGGTGTATTTGCCATTTTCCAGGAAGCCGGGGTTTGTGTGCTCGCGATTCGAACGAACTATATTGTTGTGTCATTCGACCCATGGCTCCGAATAAATATTTTTGAAAAGGAAATAGAAGCCGTATTATTGTGTACATACAATATATGTAGCCTCATTTGACCACCAACATTGTTATGCGTGACTCGTGCACTTCACAAATACTTTGAAATGTATCAATCCATTCAAAACCCGGCAATTTCTATTCTAATTAACGTTCGATATCCTTTAATAATTTGATACACTTTAGCACGCGGCAATGATGCAAAACTGCGGTGATTTGGTTGTAAATAATCCGGAGAATCGAACGCGTTTACCACATGCATGAAAGAACAACAACATACATGTAGTAGGATATAAAACAACATAACAAAATGAATCCCCCCTTCGCTCGTGTAACTCTTACAAACAAAAACACCGCGAACATGCTTCGGACTTCGATACACGTTGTCAAAGGTCCGTTGAAATGTGACATGGGCGAGAAATTGAGGGCGCCAGTTCTGTATGATAGCAGCAATTGGCTTGCATGTAGTACAAACGACTAATGTGTGTATCAACAATTACGAGTTGTATATATAAAGCTTTCGTATTCATGCGTTCAAATATACCTGGCGTCTCCACACGTTGATAGTGAAACGGGTTGACACACACTTCGTCCTTTTTTAGACTAAAAGCAAACTCGCAGCAGTCCACAGGCCGCAGTTCGTGATGACTTTGAAGGTCAGGCCAGCGCCATAGTCGACAGTATATAACATGTGGCAATCCTTTGCGATGCGATACTTGTAGCCGGCCGTCTAAACTTCGCGGAATTGTCACGCATTTTGTAGGTAGACCTGGGTTGGTTATAGCACGTTCAAGCTCTTCCAAACCTCCGGTCTTCTTCAACTTTTTAACCAAACTCTTGACCGCTTTCTCGGCCCACTTGTCTTCGTCGTTTTCCTCGCCTTTCTTCCAGCCCAAAAGTCGTTTTACTATCGGCGGTGTAAAAGGCAACAACGAAGTCATTGCTTCGCCTAAAGTCTCACGCTATCCACTCCGTTTAAACAATGGTATAAAATGTGACTAGTTTTCGTTATATCCCAAGGGAATAGCTTGTCTAATTCGTACGCTCTCACAACTTTACTTTGCTTGCCATGATTGACAAGTACGCATTGTCTTTGCCCCTTGATGAGGATCATGTGATGCGATTCAGCGCCTCCCATTGGCCTGCAACAATCGGGTTTTTCATGTAGACCAAACAGACGTCATGAGATGCGGACGATCAAAGGGGAAGACCGGGACATGATTGGCTGCCTCTTGCCTATCTTTTCCGTTTGCTATTGAATTACGGTTTCCTGTTAGATTAATGTTCACGGAGGTACACGCAAACCGACATTAATAAATCTCATCTCTTTTTTAAAAAGATTGTAGCACCCAAAGCTGAATTGTACTTGCTGCGTATTAGAACTGCTCGTGCAAATGCACCATGGTAACTGAACTTCTGATGATGCAATATCTCTATCCAAGAGCTATCTAAGTAAAGAGCTATATAGTATCTCTGTTGCTAGTGTTCGAAGTAACAGTGTTCAGATCTTCGTGTTTTCCACGAGAATAATCGAACAGTAAAAAGAAGGCGATCTTCTGTTTTTTGTGGCTGCCATTTCTCAAAGTTTGAGGTGATTAACTAGACAGGTCGCTTCCTCAAACTTTGAGGTTTTAAAACTAGACACTCCCTTTACGGCCTGCTGTGATTTGCTTCAACTGAAACACAAGCCAGGCGCATGAGACATAATTTTAGACATAAAATCGCAAAAAAAGACACTGGAGTGATTTATGCCCTCCTTTAACATTGGTTTTGGCAAATACCAACTATTTAAACCGTAAAAAACCCAGTGATATATAATCCATTTCAACATCACAATGAATTATCTTTTCATTGTGTGGTCGAATCAACAATGTCAGCGCAAGAGAGGGATTTTATGCTAAAAAGATTAGAGGAAATATATGCGCAACTTTTCTGACGCTGGTTTTCGTCAACGGAATTCATCGTGCCATCATAATCATAAGCTGCGCAAAATCCCTTGGCCGCCAAAAAATTTCGATGATTTAGACAGAATGGGTTCTGCGAATCGAACACGTGATAATCACGATGCTAAAACCAACCTTTTTTATTTCGCAAGACACATCATTGATAATTTTATCATAAAAATCCCATTAGATGAAAAAAGTCAAAGACAGTGCATTTGACCTTTCCATTTATTTTATTCACACGGACAAGTTCATAGATGCAGCATATGTATTTATCTAGTGAAGTAATTACAATGGCTTTGTAACGATTTACGTATATTCTTTGTGAAACAAAAATAACTGTTCTTATGTCACGCGGAAGACAGGCAAGGTTATCGCAAGATCAATCCTCTTTAATTCTTCTTCATCAGACCGCCCACTATCCATCTCATGCAGACAACGGGAGTTTTTTTTTGGTACGCAAATTATCGATACTTAGAGTTCCAGTTATTAAATCATCGCTAATCAAAAATAATTATTGGCACACATTTCACTTGCGCGCATTGCATTGTAATTGTCACCGTCACAACGCACGCCGGCTTCGTCGAACAGCATTGAGCCGTAAGAAATGGTGATTTATCAATTGACTTTCTGACCACTCCTAGTGTTAAGTATACTAAAGTGTTTATGATTAAACCGCGTTGTTTTAAAGACTATTAAAGTTGTGGAATGCTAGCCCTAACATTACGTATACGCTACATTTGATCGGATTTTTTTACCGATGACACAACATCCTGACACCATTTAACCATTTATTCGGTATTATGTTTAGTACTTATGACGTAATCAACGGTTTGCCATCAAAATCTACATTTTCGTACGAGCGTCTTTCACCTCGTGATGGCGAAGACAAGTTTTGGCTCGGGTTTTCATTGTTCCTGTTCTCATTTTTCCGTTTCAGGTAAGGGGATTGGGGCACGGAGTAGTGTTCAGTCTTTGCTTTAACCGGCAAGGAATTCTGGTATATTTCATTTTTCTCCGGTCTCGGTGGTACATCATACGTCTCCTCTCCCTCTGTCAACATTCCATCTTGTTTTATAAGTGGTATCTTCATCAATCCAGGAGGGACATCATACGTTTCTTGAGGTTCATCAGGGTATTCGTTTGATTTAGGAGGTACATCGTAGGTCTCTTCGGGTTCATCTCCTTGTTTAGGGGGGACGTCATACGTTTCTTCTGATCCATCAGCAGGTGCTTTTGGTGGTACATCGTATGTTTCCTGGGAATCCGCATCGTAACCTTTGCGAGGTACCGGTGGGACCGAATATGTTTCCTCATCTTCGAGCTTTGGAGGGACATCGTAGGTTTCCCCGGAATCGTTAGGGTCATTAACATCATACGGGTCCACATTCCCATATATTGGTGCGGATTCCTCATCATCCACATCAACATTACTGTATATGGGCGCTGATTCAAAATTTCCATATATGGGTGCTGAATCGTCATCCTTTCCATATGAGATTTCTGGAGGTGTGAAATCATGCACTGCCCGAAGGCCCTCACTCCGATTCCGCTCGTCTGCAGGTACATCGTTGACAGATTTAGGTAATGTAACGAACCCATCATAGCCGGCTTTTTTAGCAGTCTCAGACTGAGCTTTATTACAGGGAGGTTTAGAATAGTGGCTACTGGGTGCCATTGTGATTGGCTGAGGCGATAGTCTCTCCACGTTGATTGGCTGTTCATCATCACGATTGCAACTTTGGTTGGTGTAACTGGGTAATCTGTCCTCGGCCATTTTGGAAGAGTTCGAGAGCGAACGAGCTGAAAAAAAAAAGTATGAGGATTACTGAATTTAAAGATAACAGTTTGATAATATTTTCATCTGAGTTATTTGGACTAGAATGAGCTAGCAATTGCCAATTGCCAATTGTAATCCGCGTTTAACCCGTTCATCATTTAAATCTAGAGCTAAGCTGAGATTGAAAGGAAGTCCTTTAGGCTCTGACTCACTCATCGCAAAAAATAACTCAAGTAATTTCGTCCAATCACAATGCTTGACAGTTTATTTTAATTCGACGCAAACACTCGCAACGAGTTTGCGAGTTGATCTTGCGATGAGTGGATTATTTGGTTTCAAATCCTGGAAGAGACTTTAGCGATGAGTGGATTATTTGCTTCCAAATCCTGCTGGCTAATATTTAATATTTCCGGCTTACCTTTGAAATTTTCAAGAATTTGTTCCTCCTTCGCCTCAAAGCGTTGTCCAAAGTCATCCAGCGAACACAACTCGTTGATGATCTCAGGGAACAAAATGCGTTTCTCTGGATCGGCATCCCAGCATTTCAACATGATGTCATACACAGGCCTCGGGCAAATATCAGGCTTTTCAAGGAGAACACCCTGGAGAGAAATATGCAACAATTCATTGACGATGAATGAAATGCAACTACAATCATGACATTTGATTAACCGATCTCGCATGTCATCTCTCTTTCAATCCTAATGACGATTTACCAGACTCACGAGAGATGATGAAGAATACAATATTTCGTATTCTCGTTTCTCCAATTACTAATGAGATGGATTTACCGAGATCGAGTAGAAATTCGTGTATTCGGCAATTATAATTATTTTGATTTGCTTGTGCGTTTACAGTCGAGTATAAATATCTGAAGCAGCTCTTCTTGAATATTCGAACAAGCATATATCTTAATATAGGCTTAATATCCCTTCGTGTTTCTAAAGTCGGTGTTTCTACCCCCACCCAACGGCTGGCGTGTGCTCTCCTTATCCGTAGAAAAGCCAACTGGATAGTGGTGGACTCATTCCTAAACCATTTCCAGTTTTGTCTCTACTGAATGAAATAGCGGCGATATTAATACCATAGCCCAGTGACCTTACCTCCAGAATCAACTCCATGGCTTTATTATTATCATGGTCATTGTATGGTAGCATCGCAAACGTAAAAACCTCCCAGAGTAGAACACCATACGAGTAGACATCGGAATACGTCGTGAACTTCCCGTCAACGAACGCCTCCGGAGGAAGCCAACGAACAGGGAGCATTCTTGTCTTGTCCATCTAAATCAAAGAAACTAGCAGCGTTAGTGAAACTAGACGTTGGAACCTCCTTATAGTTACACCATCAACTCACTCTGTAGTATTCGGAAACATAGACGTCACGTGATAATCCAAAGTCGCTGATTTTCACCACCAGTCCTCTACCAACGAGACAGTTCCGCGCAGCTAAATCTCTATGTACACAGCGTATCGACGATATGTACTTCATTCCTGAGGCGACTTGCACTGCTATTGCCAGCTGGTCTGTGACCGTTATCTTTGGGTACGCAGAGTTTGCGTCTTCTGCGAATTCATCACAATTTCTTAGAAAACTCGCCAGATCACCAAATTCTACGAATTCGAATATCATGCAGTATGGTTCGCCAGTCAAGGATACACCAATCTAAACAAACACTCGAATTGCGGTTAAAATGAACAAAATATTTTTACTTTCGCAAGGTTCATATTTGAAATTAAATATTAATTTAGGGCAGGTTGAGAGTTGGTCGGGATTGCATGCATCAAGAAAATCTTTAGCTTTACCAATTTGACAACATTTGGATGACTAAACGTCGACATAATATTGACTTCTTGACAGAATTCCTTGATGGCTTCTTGTGAAGATCCCTCTCTCAATGTTTTCACGGCAACAATACTAGATGTTTCACCGTCAATGTCCTCAATCACTTTGCCTTGAAAAACTAAGCCATATTGACCAGAGCCGAGATCTTTCAAGTACTCTGTACCAGGAAAAAAAATAAGTAGGGCTTTTTGAGAACAATGCAAGTAAATGAGGAAACATAATTGAGGGGGAGTGAAAAGTATAACTTCAGACTATCTCAGCTGAGTTACGTGACACGTGTCTCAAATTTCCTTTTCATAATCTATCGTGACTGTTTAATCTCGTTGTCGACGAGAACTTTTCCTTGTTTGCCAAGTCTGATTTCATACGAATCTTGCATTATTTTATCCCTTAGAAGTCCTTTCAGAGGTCGTATGAAGTTTAAAAAGACTTCTCTTACCAATATCATCCACAGGAATTTCCAGCACGCCTCTCGACTTGCATATATCGACAAGTTCGACCAATTCTGAAGGTGCTACTTTCCATTCCCGAATACGATCTCTCATTGAAACGACATTTGATAGTCTATCCTTGTTCACTCCAGTTTCTTCTTTGCCAGGTTCGTACAGAATTGAGTTCAGTCTTGCTTTCTTAGTCATGCGTCGATGGTGAATGGCGCAGAGAACGAGAATAAACACGGATAGTGGAACGAGAACAGCGATCGTGATGATCACGCCCTTGTCTAACTCCTTGGTTTTGCTCATCTTTGGAGGAATTTCTAGCAAGGAAATGTACACGATTTAGCGAACTGTGTATTTGAACTCAGACGATCTGTGTTTTCCGGTCAACAGTGAGGACCAATATGCCTGACAGGTTGAATTCACTTAACTTTGCATAATAAGTTGTCGTGTGTTGTGAATGTCACTTTTATTTCAGGCTCGGCGCTCTGGTTGCATACAGGGCTGTACAAGCTGCGGGGGGGGGGGGGCGCACGGAAGAGGAGAGTTCAAGGGGGGGAGCAAGAAAGGGGGCTTCCCCCCTCCCTTCCCCCGTATAGACACAATCACTTAGAATAAGCGTTTTAGAAAGGTTGTGAAGATGTTTATATGTACATACGTTAGTGCAATCTAGCTCTGCGTGATCAGCTTCAATAGTAAAGGCTGACATTTTATTGCATTAACTTTACCTCGCTTTATATTTTATGTAACGAACAGCCTTGCAGACTGTGTCCAAGCTGTAATACGAAATTATTTCTTTTTTACAACATGCACTTTGTTTTTTACAACATGCACATTCACAACGTGGGCTGAATGAATGTAGATCTTCAATACTGAACGCTAAGGTAGTTATGACTTATGACTATTACATTAATACAGTATTATAATATTTGTAACATATCCTTTGGATCAGATTACTGAAGACGGACTACAATGAGAGTTAGATTTTCTTTCATCAGGAATTGCACTAATTGTAGCCTCTCTACTGCCGTGTTTACAAAGTCAGGTTTGGGCTTGTTCCGGGCGTAACGCGATCTTATCGATTCTTTTTTCAATATCAACACTTACTAATAAATGGCAGATGTCTGCATGAGTCGTTTCCAAAATCCTCCTTAGAACTTTTGAAATCTTTGCAGCTGTCGAAACGGAATATTTTCGCCGGTAGCTTGTTTTGAAGGAGAGCTTTGCCAGCTCCAACAATCTGAGGAAGTCAAAGGTTGATGTCGAGTTAAGGATAAGCTTTGATGAGGAAACACGATCCTAATTCATGTTCCTGAAAAGGACTTCCTTATTGAGCACCTTGGCTGATAATCTGATAATTCAACTATTCTTTTCTTGATTGGAATTTTGTTTTTAATTTCAGAATTCCTATGACCTGCTAAGGGTATATTTTGTTTCTAAGACAAAGGCTTGCATCAGTTCTTTTGAACAAGGAAGTACAGCGCTGATGTTGTTGCTCCGGTACGAAATAATGAGAGATGTTCATATTTGGAAAGGCACTCAACTTGCGTTTTCCGGAGTATATTGCCAAAGATAAACTACACCGAAACAGGCCGTGTGTGTTTATCAAAGAACAACAATTGGTCAACTGCATGAACCTGGCTAAAAATTTAGACTCTGCTACAAAAATTGGATTTTCCGCAGTTCAAAAGTCAATATTGCCTCATGCTGCGTTGCCTGAACTAACTAAACATTCTGATCATTGTTGCACGGGTGCTTACTCCACCGCTCTCGGGTAAGGAGCAAGGAGAAGGGAAGACTATATGTCTCCCCCGTCTCCACTATTAAATAAATAAAACCACTCACTAAACACATGAAACGCAGGCTTGCTGTACAAGAATAGTCTTTAGTGAATGTGACTCACCAGGCTGATGTCACCACCACAGATCTCAAAAAGGTAGTTGCAGTCTTCACGACAATAATCTAGTTTTTTATGCTCCATTGAGCAATATGGAAACAGAAAGAAACAGATTGTTTGATTCACGATCGCTTCACAAGTCTTATCTGGTTTTGTTTTGTACGTTTTCCCAGAAAAGTCCAGAAATCGAATCGCAATATTTTCCGTGGCGTTGAAACCAAGAGTCGTGTTAATAAAGCGATGCTCTGTGGAGTTTAGGAAATATGAATTACATGCTCCATGGTAATGGATGCATTCTTTCGTAGGCGAATGCGTCCTAAAAAGACAGTTGAAAATCCTCTTTCAGATTGAATGGACAACTGCTACTACAAGAATACACTCCTACCAAAGTGTAAAATATCAGTAGTCAAAAGATGTGTCGTGCAGAATGCTAAAATAATCAGATTTTGAATTTTTCACTTACGTGGCGACTTGGGTTTTTTGTAAACCTAAAACGGAAGAAAAAAATTCTAACCATCAACTCTAAATGATCTAAAACCACTTTATAAACCGTCTGATTGAGGTGGAGATCTATTATCTGCTACCTAGATCAATGGTGGAGATCTGTTATCAATTCTAGATCTCCATATAACTGGTTGAAAAAAGTCTCCAAAAAAAGATAACCTCAGAAAGGAATTTGAAAATTTCTTCAGAGAAGCTGTGCGTTTGATGACAACTGACATAGAAAGGTTTATTGTTTCTTGTGTTGAAATAACAAAAAAACACTTCCCTATTATAACGCCATCTCAATTAATCCTCTGTCAATATTTTGATATAAAAACGGCGACAAATTAAACGACCACGTAAAAGTTGTGTTGCGAGATGTCAACAAAGTAAACATTGATGCAATGTTAAGTGTTCCTGGGGCACCTCTGAAACGAAACACCTTAAGATCTCACGCAGATCTGACATGTTTAGACCACTCTGTGAGAATTTCGCACAAGTTTTCCTGCGATTGATTGAGAAAACGAAATTACGAAAACTACCAAACATACAATAGTGCATGGTACTGGAGTGGATCGTTTCGTTTGCATTGTGAGACCCTAATTTGTGTAAACTATGATGTCTACCAAGGTACTTTTAATTTGTGGATTTTCCTTTATCAAAAAGGCATGTCTGATTGCAATATAGCTAAGTCGATTATGAAGATAGCCATGGACTCTAAAACTTGCGGGACAGGACACGTTCTAACTTCCTTATTAGAAATTTGATCAAGGCTAATAAAAAACAGGAATGTTTTTTAAAATTTTGACTCGAAAGTACATGGACTTTGGAACAGCCGAACAGCTACCTTTATACAATAATTAAAGACACGTGTTAGAAATTATACAACTAAATCTAACCATGTTAATTAAATAAATAAAAGCGAAGGATATGATGGTATATACGGTCATTACACGCACGCAACGCGCATGAATCGTTTGAAAGGTATACGAAATTAACCGGTTATATTTTGTGCAGGGTTGAACGTTCAGGATCCTGTAATAGGTTTGATCGCCAAATTCATGTAATTTAGATTTCACGTAATTTAGAATAATAGCAACGGGATACCAAATATTTAAGAAATTTAAAGCGAGGTGAAGTTACTGGTTTCACTTTTGATTGGAACTTCAACTTGCCCTGCGCGCAGACTCGCAACAGTATACGATGAAAATATTTATCCTGGAATTGGGTGACATTAATCAAAATGCCAAAGAAACATTTGGCTGCGTAAATTAGGACATGAATGTCCACTTAATCACAAAGGACGAAGCGGTTTTGCCCTCTTGTCGATTAGTATTTCTATTGCCTTCATTTGTGTTTTGCTCAGGAACGTAGCAAGAATTGCAACATGACATCTCAAGGTCAAAATGAACCAACACCTTTGAGCGATAACAGCGGGTTTAATATGTGATTTGATAAACCAGATAAACAGATATGTAGGGTATGGTCAAGATACATTATACATGATATAAACAACTACACCAAAAACAAAAGCATTCTGCCAATAGGACACTGCGTCGTCTTTTCAGTCCTTGCTTTTGAAATTATGTTTGCTTTTTGCAAAATGGACGTTTTGTTAGTTTGTGTACTTAAGTCTCGTGATGATTTCATTAAAAAAAAGGCTCATCGGGTTGGTTAAATCAGTTCTAAACGTTTCTCGTATAAATGGATTATTTGGCACCACCTTCTCAAAGTCGCAAACTGCATTTTGAATTTAATACGCGTTCGTTCTGATCATTTTGGCCACTTTGACCATTTGTAAACATTCATATTAGGTGTATAATCCCTAATCTTAAAAAATATGAGACATTATTAGACCTTTTACATACCTACGATTATGTAAAGCAACAAGATAGTCAACCAAGGCTTGTAGGATGATCCCATGCTAAACCGGCTGAACGCCATGACTTCAGTACTCCTCTCGCGGCTTTAAAAGAGGTGTACTTTAGACCTTAGCATAATCTCTTCATGAAGGCGGCAATAAACAACTTGATAATGTGCTCAATACGGAAGTGCACATCGACAGCGCTATGGCAAGTGTTACTTTGAATACTATCCGCGCTGCGGGATATCACGGTAGTTAGAGGTGTGTGTGTATACTTGTGACTTTTTGCCTGAGCGGGAATTTCAACCAGGGAACCTGCGACTAAGGTACGCGGGGTAAATCGCAGCAAGGGGTTGGCAGATGCAGTAGACGCGAAAAACCCTCTTTTGTCCTAAAAAGTGTTCTGTAAAAAATATGCGGTCTTACATAATTATGGCAGAGTGCCACGACATTCTTCACCAATATTTCGTCTAAGGAATTAAGCTTGTAGGTACACCACGTAATTATATAATACTGCATATTTACGTGATGTACCTGCAAGCTTAATTCCTTATCGATTGTCACCATGCAAACGTACAAGAATATCATTAATATTTCGTCTGTTTTTTACCATTCAGAGAGATAAATTTTTCTAGTTGTATAATTATTTATTACGAAACAGCTTTTTTCGTGTAGGGGAGAATTGTAGTTAAGAAAAATCATTTACGGTGCATATGATTAATTGTACGCACAACAGCGTGTTTCCACTCAGAAAAAATCTCCTTTGGATCAGAACGGACCGGGAAATTTCCTTTGTCGGTGAGTTCTCGGGCGGCGGTTTATATAATGGAAACTTTCCTATCCTGTCCGATCCAAAGGAGAATTTTCCTGAGTGGAAACTAGCCTTAAGTACTAGACTAATACAGTGCTGCAATGCATATTTGTACAAATGTTCGTTCTGCTTTCGGGTCTTATGCTAATTAGTTCTTCAGTTGTCTGGTATGTTAAATATAGTTTCGCAGGCGTTTTCCAAATCGCTGCCGTCTAAGAAGAAGGGGGTGACTATTTCTTCAAACCTGAAAAAAGGAGAGGAGAAGTGTTCTTAGACCTTAAATTGCTTTCATAATGCAGGAAACATGTTCTGGCATATGCACTTACTGGGATAGCTTCAATAGCTTTTTATTGAACCTCTTAAATGTGACAGGCTAAAATTAAAAAATATATCGAAAATTTCGAAATGAATTAATGATACATGTCTACTATGAGGAAATTCAAACTGTTTCCAGAATTTTCAAACTATTTCCAGAATTAATTATATAATTTTGTGAAAGTAGTAGAAATTCAGAGCTTTCCTGTAGACTGATTCTTAAAACCATTTACGGGTTTTCCCAGAATTTTTTCTCGGTATATACGGGATCTTTTCGAAGGACCACACTAATGAGACTTACGTTTCCACAGTAACGCATACCAACATAATGTTGACCATCCTAAAAGCAAGAGAATAGAAATTTGACCTCAAGGAATCAACTACACGAGATTTTTAAAAATTAGCGCTGCTCGTGGTCGATACAGGTCACAGCGCTGTGTGCAGGCTGTTTTTGAAAGCAGTATTTGAGGTATTTGAATAATAAAAACCTTTTTTTCGTATAATTCCAGTGAAATGTAAGCTCCAAACGGTGGCCACTTGTCAAATTTCATGTCCAAGGCTGAAAACAAAGTTATCAGCGACGTGTCGTGAACTGAGTACAAGTACAGTTTGTATTGGCTGAAAAATAACAGAAAATAAATCAAAGGTGTGTTTACCTAGTATGTACATGTAGAGAAACTTAAAGTTTCAAGTTAAAAACATACTTTTTCCTGTCAATTTTTGACTTCATATTCCTAAAAAGAGTTTGAACTAGCCGACCACATGACATTGGAAGTACTTTGTCACTATATATAAATAGTAAAAAGCCTACATTAAAATTGGCAGTCATGGTTCAATGAGACAGTCCCATCAAATCTTTAGGTTTATTGGTTTTTTTGAAGAATAGAATTATTGTCACATACTTTGTCCATGGTGGAGGAGATAGGAAAGACTCTGATAAATGCTGCAATGCATGTTTTTCAATGATACTCATGAAACTTTTGATATTTTCTGGGTATGCTTTGTTATGAGCCTAAAGTGTTCAAATGACAATATAAAATAGTAAATTCAACCCCAAATTTTATTCAATTAAGCAACAAGACAACCAGAATATACCACTTACTCTTCGACAGTTCAAATCATCATATATATCAATGAATGTTTTCTTTGGCAGAGGTCGTCCAATCATTTTTGAAAATTTCTCTAAGTCATCTTTGTATCCTGGCAGTCGGTACCCAGTTTTAAAGCAATACTTTATATACTGACGTAAAGCTTTGCATGTTTCCCAGTTGGGGAAGAGAAATTCGTCATCCAACGGCATGGTCCAAAATGTCACTGGTTCTATAAATGATTTTGTAGTCATGCGATTATCCAATGTGATTTCAATACAAGGTGTTACTACACTTAATGGCCATAAAAATTAAATATCTTACCCTGAATATGACCTGCAAACATCCCAGCAACTAGACATCTTAATGATTCAATTGTTCTTTCCACATATGTTGTTCGAAGGCTAGCAATTTTAAACACAGGGGACAATTAATCCCACATGTTCTAGCTATTGTGCTTATGTGATATGATGGAGGTTTATACAATCAAGGGTTAACTTACTAAATAGAATTTGGATCAAATGTTTGCCCAATAAAATTCAAATCGTCAATATACAATTCCTTTAATTTTCTACCAAGTTCGAATGTTTGTTGTTGACCTGTTATCGTCATTTGACCCATGCGACAACCTCCCTAATTGGTAAGATTTTTTACTTTATTAGGGTCATATTGATATTGAGGTGCAACTGGCAGCGTACCTACTGGATGGTATACCAGGCTAAGTGAGTGATTGATTGTGAAAATAACCATTGATGCAGTTGTTTGTCCTAGCTACCATCAAACTGGCTGACAGGTAATTGACAGGACAAACAAACAAACACATAAACAGTGATGAAATGCACAAATATATGTAAAAATTCATGACAGTAAAAATAATCTAACAATGGAATATCATGAAAGCAAGGCTTGGTAATCTATCAATAAATTAATTTATCCAATAAATGTTTAAAAAATACTAAAAAACCGGAAGTAAACACAAGCCTACCCTTAACTCATCCTTAACAGAAAGTGGGGGAAGTTCGCCTCGTTTTAAATTCTTTAATTTATGTCTCAACTTCGTATGCTCTAAATCATATCTTAGTTCGTATTTGTTCCAGACAGTTTCTTCCAGTCCTGGAATCAGCTTCAACGGCGTTCGCGCCCCATGACGAAACAGCACTTGAACCAATTTTAATTCGGTATTTTCATATTCCAGCCCAACATCGCCGGCGTTTAAAACTTGTTCTCTTCTTTCGAAATGGTTTAAAAATTTCACGGTTAAATATGAGCTAACGGCCACGCCGGACACAACAGATAGACGGTAAAACATTTCACGAACGATAGTGACTTTTTTTACCCAGCCATTCCTGTTGATATCTATAAATATATTAACCTGTTTGCCGGTTAATATTATGCAACAAGAGCTGCTGTATTTTTGTGTATTGTACAAAGTTTGTACAATCTCTATAAAGATTAAAGAATAAATGTCGATGAAAAAAAAATATAGTAATAATTGTATCGAATAATCTTGTAACGATATTTTTTTATACGAAATTCTAGAAACTGAAACTAACAAATTGTTACAAAATGGAATGCCGTTTTGGCGCAAAATTCCGCCAACCGGTGAACTTGGCGCGTCAATTTACCGCCAAATCAATTTGCAATCGTATTTTTATTTTCAAGTTCGCCTATAAAAAAAAAAAAAAACAAGATGATCATGCAGTAATATCTTTATGAAAGAGAAGATCTATTTTGCTGTCGTATTTGCTGAGGAATATTTGAAGGAATTATTTAAGCTTATGGTGAATTTTCGTCTCGATTTGGTAAAGATTTGATCAAATTCTATGAAAATTCCTCTCTGATATATCAAATTCCACGACATTTTTTGCTTTAAACTTTATGGAAGTTGATCAGCAAGAGATCAATGAAAAAACTGCGAATGCTACAGTGGACACTGATGCAGGCACTAGTCAGGTTTGCTCAAAAGGAGAAACTTCAAACAGCTATTCAGGCATTTTAACAGAAAATGTTGAAGATGTAGTGCAGCATTTGACGGATGGATTTTTGACCGAAGTGGAACCACAGTTGTTAGAATTACGAGAAAAAACAAAAGAAATAACGTAAGTGTCTCAGGAGACGAAATTTAATCAATAAATATATAAACAATCTTGACCTTAATATGAAATGACCTTTACAAACTTGACCCTTAATTTGCTATTTTTTACAGGAAAAACCAAAGCATTCTAATTGAGACAATTGAGCAGGAAAACAGAAAATATTCAGAAAACAAGGACATAGAGGAGCTGACTAAAGTGGTAAAAATTGTTCACTATTCTTTGTTAGTCCTTTCTCGTCATTTGTATTTTCCCTGGTCCTTTTGTGTTTCTCATAGTTTGTTAGAATACCACAAGTCCTGACAATTTTGGATCATTTTAGATAGCTGTAGTTCAATCTTATTACACCAAGTTGAGGAAGATCAAAAATGATATGGATCATTTGGATGACAAATTGGGAAAATTAAAGGTAAATTAATCTTAATTATTCTAACTGCAAAATTCTCTACTCATGAATTGAGAAGTGATTCAACATTTCACAAATAAACCTTTTTCTATTAATAGAAAAGGTCATTGAAGCTGAAAGAGAAAAGACAAAAGAAAGATCAGGATGAGGCTCAAAGGAGGGAACGGGAATTGGTTTTGGAACGAGAATTAACTGCTAAAGTAAAACCTGCAACATAATTTTTTTGGAATTCAAATGGAAAGGTGGGGAAAGAATTTACATAAAAGATAGGAAGAATTAAATGCAGCAGTACTATGCATACACAACAGAATGTTATGTGATTATGTATGTGTTGAAGTTTGTATTCAATTTCAATTGTAAAATAGGTCTTTCATGGTGTTATTGACTTAGACACAAGGACTTGTTGTTGGTGTGAGGAAACCCTTAGAACTATGGTTAAACATGTCTGGTAATCAAAGAATACAAATTTCATTTTGTACATTCTGCTCGTCTGTGTAATGAACCAATACTACCAGTACACTTTACTTTAAAATCTATAAAATTAAACATCAGTATAGTGAGTTTTTTCAAGTAATATTTGTTCTTCGTCTGTACAAGGATTAAGGATATACTACATTTTGCCGTACATATCTGTGGTAATGACTGCATGCAAGAGTTGTTGTACCAAATAAACTACAAAATGCTTTATAAATGCCATATAGACCATCAAAACTTTGCACATTCTAAAACTTAGTAATACTAATGTCCAGAATCCACAAATGTTGTCTTAACTTTGAACCTAAACCTGAATCTAACCCTTACCTAACTACTAACCTTAAATGATTAGATAAAGGATAAATTCATGGTTCTGAACACAGAGTTGATACTGGAGTGTTTGAAATATTAAAATAACTGACCAAACAGAGAGCATCAGCTAAGATATTATCCACACTTCACGGTAATTTGTATACTTCAAATATAAATATAAACAAATAATAGCTAAGTGAGCACATTGATAATGTGTTTTATCATAGTCTATAAAGTTGTATATATGATTTTAATAGCTACACTGTTTCTACATCTCATGAGCTCTATGTTCACCACTAGGCATAGCTGTCAACACCTCATCTAACAACTGTAGAGCCCGATGTAGATGAATTTCTATCCAGCATGGTGTATCTTTGATACTCTTCCGTGGGTAGTCCGGTCCCCAACCTTTAACAAAGCTCATGCGCAATATGCACAACCGGCGGAGGTCATCAACACCGATGCCTGCAACAAAAGTAGTTACATAACTTACATTGAATACTGGCTAGTCGGAGTATTTTGTAGTATGTAATACCTTAAAACTGTTTGTTTTATTATGGGTGAGTAAATTTCATCATACCTGTTCCAAGTTGTGATATAGGCATCAAGGCACCAGGGCCAACACCGCTAGCAACAGCCACTGCCTGGGCCGCTGCAGCAGACTGGGCAGCATTCGCTTGCTGACGAATCTGTCTGAAACATTGACCAAGGTCAAAGACCTTGATATATGCACCTGGGTAGATTTTGTGCACTGCATCACCTGGCGAACGACCCGACTCGCGATCTAGGTAATAGCTTTGTACAAAAACGCTGTGCTCACTTAGACATCTCACCCAGACATCACCTTCACCACGTAACTCTAAGTTCACGCCTTTACCTATATGAAAGTCACATTTCATGAGATCAAACTTGAGTTTTGCAATGCATATTAGACAGCTGAATAATGTGCTAACTTCTTACCTATGTGCAACCTTGCCTTTTCACTGGCCTCAGTTCTATGAACATTGGATAATTGACCCAGGCAAAACCTGTGACCACCGGATGGGTCAACGTAACCATCAATTGTCACAGAAGAGCAATTGGATGGTACTTTGAATATTTCACCAACTTGTTGATCCAATTCGAAATATGCAATTGATGACCAATGGTCAGGTGCTAAAAATAACATTTATTGATGGCATTGGTTATTAGGTTGATGGCACATTTTCAAAGCAAGATGCAAAAAAAAATTCAAAATGAAAAACATACGAGGGTGTTTTGAGATTGGGCCAGCCACATCATGTTCTGGCACTTGTTTTTGATCCCCTAAGGAGTGAAAAGTAGACTGGTGTCAACAGCAAAAGTACTCATTCTAGTCCAACTTGAACCATGAACTCAAGTGAATAGCATCAGAGACTTACAATACTGTATGGTGCTTGATTGCTGGGGATAAGTTGGTGTGGTTGGTTGTTGACCAGGCCAACCTAAAAACAAGATCCATTGTATCTAGTAAATTGTGAGTTTTTGTTCAAGAATGGTTTCATAGTCTGGTATGATATATCTTACCCAAGACTTGACCATTTATTGTTTTAACATCCACAGGACCAGGATGTCCAATTTGACTATCTAGGAAATAAAAAAATGGATTATATATTGTATACATGGTTGCTGCAAGGTTAGTGGAAGGGTTAAGCTCACCAGGATAATGGTGGATCTGCCTATCCGGATGCACATCTGGAGTATGAAATCCTGGGTCACCTGGATAACAAAATTATTGTGATAACAAGTGTAATAGATAACATGATATTAGGTATTCCTGTGAAAAAAACTTCACTTACCACGAGTTAATGATAAACCAAGATCTGCAAAAAATAAATACCAGTTATTAAAACAATAGTATAATTCTATAAATGAATCTATACTATAAAGGTAATGTTTTCCATAGTGTTCAATGGCTAGAGAAACATGTGCATACAGATGAAATCATCTGGTGTTCAACAAAGTAAAATGTGCAGAACAATGGCAGGAAATGGGGAGTGGGCGTTTACTGGAAACTAGAATAATGGTAATGTTACAAATTAAGGTCCTGCTGGGTAATTAAGTCTGTTAATTGAATAAATTTGACCAATCAATGAGAATTTGATCTTTGGTATAAATATGGTTCCTATTTGAACATTTACGGAAGCATGATATATTTATACAATAAGACAAAGCAGGAGATCAAATATTGTAACTTTAGCAATTATACTACAAACAATATTTATCAACGTACCTGGTGACACAACTCTTTCGTAATGATACGGATTCACGCATACATTATCGCACTTTAAATCAAACGCAAAACGACAGAACTGGACGTGCTTAAGTTCGTTTTTATGAAGATCAGGCCAACGCCATATTCTAGCGTAAATAACGTGAGGAAAGCCCTTTCTCCCAGCCACTTGCAAACGACCGTCTAAAGTTCGTTGTATCGTGACGCATTTCGACGGATGGCTACCGTTTGTTGTGATAGCTGTTATTAACGACTCTAATTCATCGCGTTTCTCTTTTAATTTCTTCACTAAACTCTCAATAGCTCGCTTGGCAAACGCTTCGCTCTCTCCTCCTTGCCGATGGCACATCAGACTATGAACTATGCTCATACAAGCATCTGAACTCGTGGGAGCCAAAGCCATGATTTCTGGCGCTGTATTTCACCGTTTTTCGTGCAACTTTCGCGTAGATTTTTACCAGGTATTATCCGCAACTCTCGCAGTTTAATTTTTCATGAATTTCATGCTGTAAAATCACAGTAAAAACAACCACTTGTGATATTTTCTAGCTTTTCACTTTTTCACAGAAATTAAGAATTCACATTCGTGCTTCCACCGTGTATTTTGCTGGGAAATTCGATTTCAAATTTTACTCGTTGTTTTGGCTTTTGCCAGCGGCTTTCGCTGAATGTTAACGACGAATTCCGACCGTCAACGATGTCGTCATTCTGACGTTTTCCTTCATTATTTCAAATAACATCAACGTGCATACGAATTTGCGACGTGTTCTTTGCCCTCAGTCTTTCATCATACATAAATCCAATTTATTTTTTGTGGACATTTTGTTAAAAGCCGGTTGAATTTTTTTCACACGAACTTTGAATATACCTAAACAATACTAGTTCTTATACTTTATCACACGTTAACGTGCTTACTTTAAACCGAGTATAAAAATAACGCGAAGATTTACAGGTAAACATTCACATTTTAATACATATATATGGCGTCGGATGCGATTGGAAATGATGAAGATTTGTACGACAAAGCCAAGACGACTCAAGAAGATGATTGCCACGCGGGAAGCCAATTGCTTGAGAGGGTATGAGTAATCGACAATGATAAGTGTTAATGAAACTGCTGTACTTTGACATGAACCCTAGAGATTCTGTTTAATAAAATAGTTTTAAAAGTTTATTAATTGCTACATATGCTATGTATCAATTTGAATAAAATTTATTCTAATTTTTCTATTGTAAAGCTATTTACCCTGTGCGATTTGTTGCATTAACCCTTACCCTGACATATGGGATTAAAAAAAAAGTTAAAAAACACACATAGATAAAATTTTCATATTCGAAATTTGCCGTCTGCTAAAGGAGAAAAAGTATGCATGAAAAAAAGGCCATTTGTTTCTATCTTTCAAATTTATCAATGTACCCAAAAACAGGCCTGTAAGGTATAAATGTAATGTAAATTCTAATATTTTCAGGGTGGTAATGAAAGTCTATCTGATCCAGATAAGAAGTGTGTCCAACCAGGAGGCCTCAGAGTGATAATAGCTGGTTCCATCATATTTGCATTGGCAGTAACTGTTGCATTGATAGTTGATATATACACTGGCGATCATAATGTCGGCCATGGCGTGGTGTCGTCAGATTCTGCCCAATGTTCTATGATTGGAGAAAGTATCTTGAAGAAAGGTGGTTCCGCTGTTGATGCGGCAATAGCGACCACATTGTGTGTGGGTGTAGTTTGCCCTGAAAGTTCTGGTATTGGAGGGTAAGAGTTTATACAATAGTTACACCCAATCATTTTAATTGAACAGGGCATCCATTGTAGTCATAATTTGTTACCTGTCTTCGACTGTAAGGTGGAATAAGGATTATTGATATTTTCTATAGTGGAGGATTTATGCTTGTTCAATCGCCAGAAGGAGTAGTGAAAGTGATAGATTTTCGTGAAGTGGCACCAGCTGCCTCAACAAAGGATATGTTTGGGAAGGATAAGAAGACTTCACTTTCAGTAAGATCCTGAAGCATTGAGTTCACTTTAATTTATCTGTGTAATTCAATGCATGGTGCAATTTCAAAGATGAGATATATATATTTCTTGATGCTAAATTTCTATAAACATGATAAGTAATATCTTGTTTTGCAGGGTGGTTTGGCCGTTGCCGTTCCAGGCCAGGTGTTGGGCCTTGAAAAAGCCCATGAAATGTTTGGAAAGTAAGATTTTTCAAAATGTTTATGATAATCAGCTAAAAGAATATAGCTAAATTTATAATTCAAAGGTAACCTGTGCAATATTTTATTCCTACTGAGTTATAATGCCGCATATCTGCTCACATTATTTAGACTAAAGTGGAAGGAGTTGTTCAATCCAGCTATTGCACTTGCTCGGAATGGGTTTAAAATACATAATACCACCGGTAAATATGAATTACCATTCCGCAAACCTTTTTTTATTTGTGAATCAGCAGAATCACACATCTTCACTGGAAAGTGAAATAGACACATATCACATAATGTTTTTAAAACATGAAATAAGTGTTTGTTCGTTGTAACATTTTTTTAGAAAAATGGTTAAAAGATGAGATTATATCTGACGATTTGGAAGAGATTGTCAAAAGATTTTTTAGATTTACTACATAAGGTACTGTACATTTAGATGTTGTTCAAAATTGTCAAACTATACATATATACGGATGCCAAGGAAATGGTATGATATTTCTGCTTGTATTTTCAGAACATTACAAAAAGACCTAAACTTGCAGACACACTACAAGTGATTGCAGATCAAGGCTCATCAGGATTCTACAGTGGTGCTGTTGCTGAGAGCATTGTTAACACAGTAAGATTACAATTTACTTCCAAATTTTTAAAATAATAAAATACTCCAGGAGAGCCAAATCAATTGCAATTGCATATTGTATTTCAACAATTCTTTTTCATGCAGCTGATTCAAAGAGCTTAGAAACTGTCCACACCTTAGAAACTATCAAAGATTCTTTACAAACTCTGAATGTTTTAATTGTGTTGACCTTTTTATTGATCTTATCAGGTTATAAAGAACAAAGGCATCTTGACTTTGGATGACCTAAAGAGCTACACAGTTGAGACTCGTCAGCCATTGTCTTCCAATTATCAAGACTATCGCTTATTCACAGCTGGACCACCAGCCTCAGGCGCTGTGCTTCTTTCTGCTTTGAACATTTTAGAGGGCTTCAACTTAACAGCTGCTAACAGCAACGACACCATAGTTTATCATTATATTGTTGAGGTAAGCTTTTTAGCAAGTGTTTCTCTCCATATAGGATGTTGAAAAGCATTGAAAACTCTATCAATTCCAGATCATTTACCAATCTTTCAAAGCTTCCTAGTTATCTAGTACATGGCCGGTTAATACACTGTAGTGAACAATCTCTTCTCTAATCCTTTACAGACCCTTAAGTTTGTTTACGCCCAGCGTAGTCATTTGGCTGATCCAGGTTTTGTAAAAATGAGAAATATTACAGATGTTATGTTGAGGTAATTCAGCTTTGTGGACATCATTCAAGCCACATTGAAGTATTGACATAAAATTCTCTCTGATCTTGTAGCAAGGAAGAGGCAAACATGTTGCGTGACCGTATCAACATTTCAAAAACAGAAACTGACCCAAGCTACTATGGACCATTTTTTGATTCACCACCAAACAAGGGCACCTCGCATGTTGCTGTGATTGATAGGAAGGGAGGAATTGTTACTGTTACAAGGTGAAAAATATATTTTTAGGGATGGTAGATGATTCCAATCAAAGGCAATTAATCCAAATGGTAATTAATTTACTTTGTACGGTATAGCACTATAAATGGTCCATTTGGTTCAAAGCTTTACACACCAACTGGAATAGTTTTGAATAATGAAATGGATGATTTCTCAAGACCCCATGTTTCTAATTTTTATGGTGTTTCACCATCAAAGGTAACTGATAAAGTCTTTAAGGTCTCTAAGTCTTAAAGGTGTAGAGATATTGCATATATTGCATCTCTGGGCTAGGTATTTTAGCTGTCAGATGGTATTTTGCATGTCATTTGAAACTGAAAAATGAAAAAAAAATGAAAATCCCTAGGCCTAGTATCCTCCTGCACAGTTAAACAATGTAATGTCATTTTACTGCGTATTTCTTTTCAGGCAAACTATATTGAACCAGGGAAACGGCCATTGTCATCAATAACCCCTGTAATTGCATTATACAAACCAGTATGTATGAATAAAATGGTTTTTTGATTGCATCAACATAGTCTACCTGTTTGAGTCTGATTGGAGTTGTACTTTGCAGGATTTATGTGGTCGTCAGGTAGTATTGGGTGCATCAGGGGGATCTCGGATCACAAGTGCAATTATTCAAGGTAACCAAAGTCGAATACACACTACAGTGACTATAGTTTAATCACAAGTTGTTTTTGCCGTGGTACTGGAGAAACAATTTTTGATACAACAAATAAAGTTTAGATTTAAATTGTTTGAATTTGGAACAGAATTTCCTAATGTTTTTTATATAAATCCATTTAGTTTTACTGAATAAACTAACGTTTGACCGAAGTCTCAAAGAGGCAATAGAGTGGCCCAGATTACATCACCAGCTCCTTCCAATGTTGGTAGAGGTTGAGGGTAAGATTGCATGCTTGTGACTGGGTTCACTGTAGTCAATATAATTCACTATAAGTTTTTAACTGATCTAAACTTATATGGGCAGAGACGCTCTTGTATCACAACGACCTGACTTCTATGTTACAATTCATATATCTAGGAAGAAGATTTTCCGATGAAGTACCAACGAAAAATATAGCTCAATTCCTGATAGACAAAGGTAACAATGTAACCAGTTCTCCGAAGTTTATTGCCATTGTTAATGGTGCCTCAAAACTTGACGGTCATTTGTATGGTCATGCCGACAGTAGAAAAATTGGTAGTTCAGCAGTGGTATATTAACTCTAGTTAACAATTTACTAAGAATATAATTGACGTGATATGGGACCTTGTTGTTATTTATATAGCTGTTGGTATTGCCTACAGACTATAGAACGTAAATATTACGTTTAGTTGGGTCAAAAAATTGTCATGGGAAAGTATATTTCATTTTGGATACAATTTTATATATGCTCCGCCTGGTCGCGTGCTGGTGTTTATTATTTCAATTGACTTTATCGCACAAATGTGCTTAGTTAAATTAGAATTTTTGCATTTAAGCTGTCATTGAAATTTATCGGGGAAAAGGGAAAAGTATTTGTATATAGCTTGGTTGATAATAAATGATAAAATATAGTGCAACTGTGAGTTCATTTTTAGCTAGTAAGTATATGAAACCAACGCAAAGCAATTTAAGTTTTCTTCCATTTAATATGTTATATAATTTGTTTAATTACGGTACGTTAAAAATTATTGAAAGATATCACAGGTTGATATAAACACCGTTAACAATCAGTAATAAGCCTCCCAGAGGTAAACGAACTCTACACACAATATTAATCAATTTTCAGTTTAAATACACAATGCACACTATATATTTTTAGTCAATCGATAGAACCACAAAGTTAAAGAACAACGGGCGTTTTTGCCCTTTTAGTAAATTAAACCACGAATAAGGACTATAAAATCTGAGTTGTTTAATATCTAAGCATTGTTTTCTCCTCTTCGACCCTAATAATACGAATTGTGTTTGTATGTCTTGGTCCAAATTTCCAACCAGAAACCAAGACAACGTAACCGCCAACTTTGAGGAAGCCCATTTCTTTGCCTTGTTTGATAGCAAAATTAACACGATCCTCGAGATCAGCGAACCAGTCCTCGCTGTTGCGGTTATCATAGATCAAGGGGAAGCAACCTCTGTAAAGGTGTAGTTGCTTTGCCGCCTGTTCGTCACGTGTGATTGTGATGATTGGACAGCGAGGACGGTACTTGGATAGCAAATGACCAGTTCTGAAAACAACAAAGTTTTCTCAGAATTTTTTGTGAAGAATTAACTGGTCTACAACATACCATGGGAGTTGGGAGGGAACCGTCAAGAATTGTCAGGTAAATCGTGGCTGTGAGATGATGATATACTCACGTTCCTGTGTGGGACATGCATATGATTGCTGAACATTTCTGTTTGAAGGATGCGTCAACCGCAGCGATTGCAATGGTCTCGGCAACCGACGGTTGGTCGACGTAATGACGAATGTCGTTGAAGAACTGACGATGGAACATGGCGGCCTCTGCTTCGCAACATATCTTGTGCATTACCTGGATGGAGGAGTGATGAACATTGGAAGAATTAGAAGATTTGTCTGGTACAGCAGCTGCATTTTGCTAAGCAAAATGGGGTTAGTGGGATTGAGTAAGCCAGATTGGGTAAGCGAGATTGGGCAATCGAGTCGACCCACTGAGTCAACACAAAATAATGAATCAAAGAAGTTTTGGCGGGCAAAAGGGTGCCAACCACTGGAAAACCAGACAGAGATTGAGCCTCCTACCTCAACTGCCTTCACTGGGTATTTCCCTTTAGCTGTTTCCCCAGACAACATGACGCAATCAGCACCATCCAAAACAGCATTTGCAACGTCAGATCCTTCAGCGCGCGTTGGCCGTGGCTTATGCACCATACTCTCCAACATCTGAAAACAGACGATAACTGTACGGACACGGTTGCAAAGCTTTTCTTACCGAAGTAAGTCCTACCTATATTGCAAAATTTAGCCTAAATATATACATACTCCTGATTTTAAGAGGTCAGTTGGCCGTGCCTGAGAAGGGCCTTGGGTGCGAAAGTAAAAACGTGTACGTAAGTAACGTCACTGCTAACCTGTGTCGCTATAATCACTGGTTTGCCATGGCTTACGCATTTTCCAACCATCATTTTCTGCGCAATGAAAACTTTTTCCGTCGGAATCTCTATGCCAAGATCACCCCTGGCGACCATGATGCCGTCAGCGACTTTGACAATGCTATCAAAATTCCGTACGCCTTCGTGATTCTCAATTTTTGCAATAATCTTGATGTCTTTCCCCTGGGGTCCCATCAGTGCTCTGATCATTCGAATATCACCCGCTTTGCGAATGAAAGAGGCAAAAATGATGTCGATCTAAAATGAGTTTTGAGGTAGTTATCAACAGAGACAAACAATAAACGGGGGAGGGGGAGTTATACTTCAAGTCCCAGCTACATACAGGGTGCAATTTTTCTTGCAACCTGCCATGCAATTCTACTTTTGAGAGATATAAATGACTTCAAAATATAAGTGTAAGAAACGTCCTTGGAGTGTAATCAACACAAAAGCGAAGTAGTTTTCAAATTTACATCCTTCAAAAGTAAAATTGTATGGCAAGTTGCATGAGAAATTTCACCATGTAACATGGGCCTTTAATCTAGAAATTTATCAAATATGATTGTGATTGTGGATACATTTTGGAATTATCAGTTAGATAGAATTAGATAGAATATCAGTTATCAATTAGAGAGAATTCCTTACCCCATTTTCTACACCAAATAATATATCAGCTTTATCTTTTTCAGAAACAGCTGGTAGATCAACAATTGCTTCTGGCAGATTAACACCTTTTTTACTCCCCAACTTTCCATTATTCTCCACCACGGTCATGACATAGTCCTCGCCAACCTCTGTGACGCGCAATGCAATAAGACCATCGTCCATAAAAATCTTGCTGGATTTTTTCACTGTTTTGCCAAGGTTTGCATAGTCCACATATACCATGTCTTTATCACCTTGCTCATAATCCTCCTTCTTCAGTGAAAGTTTGAATGTCTGGCCTTCAACAAGATCGACTTCACCTGTTGGGCCCTAACCAATAAAAAAATTATCAAAACATGAAGAACACATTGAGCAATAAACCCTAGTGTGAACTAGCCTTTATTATTCTCTTTCACTGAGAAACACAAGAAATTCACAAAACCGTCCTTACAGATTTCAATAAACCTGTCCGTATTTCTGGTCCTTTGGTATCAAGAGCAATGGCAACTGGATGAGGATATTGATCCTTTGCAGCTTCGCGGACATTTGTAATCGTCTCTTTGTGGTACTGCATTGATGTAAAACTGACATTAGGTAGGTAAGGTTCTCCAAGATATTCACTATACACATGGATAATCTTGAGGAAAAGTGGGCCCTGGGAAGCACCATTGAACTGGAGGAACTTATTGGGTGTGGCAAACCCTTGTAATTATCCTAGGGTAATCTCCAAAAGAATGGAAGAATGGAAAGTGAGGGTACCTTCATTTGATGCTAAGGTGACAGGTATATATTAGATCTACACTTTCTATTCTGCATATAAAATTGACATACCGCATGAGTTCCATGTGAAAAATTCATCCTTGCAATGTTCATACCAGCATCTATGAGCTGCTTCAGCGTAGAGACATCACGGCTCACAGGCCCTGGGAGATTCAACAAATTAAAAAATTTTCATTTGGTAACACCCATCATTGTTCCTGACTTCCTGGCTACCCCATATATGATTGACACATCACTCACTACTGTAGGTACCCACCTATGGTACATATGATGCTTGTTTGCCGTATAGCACCAGGGTTAACATCAATATTCAGGCCACAAAGGTACTCAAGAAATGTACTGCTTTTATCACTGCCATTGTTCCTCTCGGAAATCAATCTGCATTGCATATTCGGACTGCCTCCGTTTCGACGACATCACTGCTATATAAATTGCATTATAATGTGGTAATGTTTGGGCTCTCTCCCCTACACTTTGCAGCTTTAGTCATCAGAATTCAGCCACAAAAGCAGCTATTAAACTAGCTGCCCTGACATGCATAGTTTTGCATCGGGAAATTGCCAGGGACAGGGACCGGTTCTTTGTCCATATGCAGCCGAAAACTGCGGGGAACCTTTTTATCACGAGATCTATCGAACTAATAAATAAATTGATCTGTCGTATATAAAATACCCCAAAAATTTACCACATACTCGACGAAAATTAACATGTTAACCAAGACTGAATGAAGAATATTATCGTGTAGAATGCACTTGATTTATTGAATAACATTTATGGCTTTTTATTCACACTCGCTGCCCGGCTTTTTCGGGGATACAGAAATAACAATCTACAGGTGTATCGTGCAGATGTGTACTTTTATATTATTCTGTGGCTCTTTTTGCAACAACAGACACGAATTTGGGTGCAAAACAAATGCAAATAAGTAAACATCTTACCTTTAAGAACGTGTTGAAAACGATGTTTTTGTTATAGAAGATAATTTAACATAAAATAAAGAAATGTCAAGTTCATTACTGTATAATTTTGCCTTGTGCGGTGTTTCCACTTGGCAATTCTATAGAATATCTGGGTGGGGTCAATCATGGGGTGCATGGCCCAGGCTTGAAGCAAGAAAGATCTACATAGACTCTCTCTTTATTTAGAAAATCTCTGACCCACGTGTTTTATAGGCCTTTATACGTAACACAAAAGAAAAGATTATTGTCCGTACGAATGTTTCCAAGCCCTGGTTTGGCATACGAATGAATGCTTATTGGGTAAGTTGCAACTAAATTTCCTAGGAGAACTTGAATTGCGTAAACATCTTCTATATTAGATAGTTTGCAATCTTTTATACATATTGCAGCAGACCAGTGATATCAATGAGTTTCATTACCGTGTCGCCATTCAGGTGTTAAACTTATTCAAAAACTGATATAATACATTTCACATTGCATTATAATGACTCCCTGTAGCTATAAACTGTATTATTATATACTGCCCGGGGTTATTTTTTTGTTGGAAGGTTTGATATGTTAATAAATCTCGGTTGCCCGATATGATTCGCAATCCGTCATATACGATAAGAGCGGTTTCAAATTTGTGGAGAACTGAAACCTTTGGAAATTCCGACGTTACGTTTATACACATTGTGTATGTTTGAAGAATGAATGCATACATGGAATAGAGGTTACGCACGGAAATTGTTACCATGAAATTGTTACCAGATAATTCTCGTCCGTATTATGCGGAACACGCTGAAAGGCATTGGCCTAAAGTACACCTCCAGGTTGCATCTCGTATACACAAATACAAATTTACTGTTGATCATGAATATTTTCTGTTGCATGTACTTCGGCATGTTTTAGCACCTGCTGGGTTACACGACTAATTTCCTGACCAGTCAGCAGGACAAACATTCCTTCAGTAATAGTCCTTTTTTTTTGGCAAGCCAAGTTCGCAAGACAATGCCTTGCCTGCATGCATTTAAGTTAGTCCTTTTTTCCGGCAAACCAACTTTGCATGACATTGATTTACTCGCATGCACTTAAACCCTTGAAGACGATCAGTTGTTTTTACGATTTTTTTTGGCATGTTTTATGTACTAATGAATTGGGTATAGTCACGGCACTTCCTTCGTCTTTCCTCGTCTAAGATAACAAATGGTTTGTTAAAAAGCTAAGCCACAAACGTGAAGTCAAAGGCACACACAGGGCCGTAGCTAGAAGCTTAATTGGGGGGGTGCATATTCATATATTCGTCTTATGCCCGAATGATTTCTTTTGTATGCTATTGTTCCTATGGTATATAAACATGAATATATGAATATACACCCCCCCAATTAAGCGGTCTAGCTACGGCCCTGGGCACACACAAAACAGAGAAATTGTAAAACAAATTGTAATAGCAAATATCGTGACAGTTGATTGCGTGCAGACATCAACGAGCAAACAGAAGAATTGTCATCGAAAACGCCAGTAAAAATTGACAAATGATTGTGTGCAGACAAGCGGGCAAATAAAGTTTGTTATAGAAAATTTGTCGTAAGGAAATGTTTATCCGTGAGAGACCTTAGCCTACCGTACATTTTGATTTTTGTAAGTTAAGACATTAATTTAACATAACAGGGCGAAATTAACATTATCCGTGCGAAAATAGGCCGCGGTCTAAATTAGTAAATACGTAAGCCGCGCCTCAGATAAGTCGCAAACAGTATACGGGTTGGAGAACTTAGCGACTTCAATTATCCTCGGGTCTGTGGCCTTTTTTAGATAAGCTCTGAAGCCTCGGCCAATTTAGGCCGCGGTATATTTTCGCTCGCCATAAATGAGCGTATAATATTGCTATTTTATAGGTTTTCAGTTGCAATTATTATGCTAATGACACTGTTCGTTGGAATGCAGGCGTACCTAATGATTTACAGTATTCTATCCATTCAATAGCTCGCACAGGAGGAGCACGGTACGCTATATAACCCAGCAAGAAAATATCATCAGCAAACCGATCCGACAGATCAATCATCATTACCTTCGATACCAGGCCACTGTGCTTCTAAGGTTAGTCCTCAATCTTTAGAATATATCTGTAATAAAACTGGTAAAATGATAAATTTTGATACTCTAAGCATTCGGGGCTGTTTATAAATGCCAGTCACGAAAATCTTTCGCCGAAATAGTCTACAACAAAATATCTTAAAATATGATTCTATACACGGCAAGTGTGCACCTGGTCTTACTAAGTGGGTGGCTATATTCCTTTTAGCTTTATTTCACGCCAAATTTAAATAAATCCGGTTAAATAAAACAAACCCGTTTATATAACAGTCCCGAAACGTCGAATTGAGCACGAAGCCTGACTATAGACTATATGGTTTAAATTCCTCGTTATTTTGTTAATTATGATTAGTTGAAAACGAGAGAAAAGTTTAAGGTAGCCCTGAGTCAGAACGAAAGAGGAAAATACATATTTTTGGTATCTTCTCGATCCCCGAATCGTTTTGAAAATATTCGAGTGGGTTGAAAAGAATTTAGCTTGACCAAACGCAGAGATTCTTCTCATTGGAAGTTGGAACAGAATCGTGTAGAGTCGATACTTCTGCTGTTGACACTAGTGTACAAAACTGTTGAAATTTTAGTTAATGTTTGATCAGGAACTCTATGATATTCCAAAGCTTTTCCCCGCCGACAATGAGCTAGCTATGAACGGTTAAAGCCGGCTGACACCAGGGGACCGAAATACCTGAATAATGATATATTCCTAAATATAAAAACTTTGCATATAGCTATTATAGCCTGACTTATAAGTTTGTCTCAACATGCGAGCTATATACTATGTCTTAATCATAAAACCTGAGTTCCTTTGAAAAAAGGGAAAACATTCTGAATTCTAAAACCATATTCACTCAAATTATGAGTTTACATTCATATTATGCATTTCATGCATGTGCGTATGTTGAATGAAAACAATTTTAAAGATGGAAATTGCAAATCAGTGAACAAGATGTAAATATACACCTGGACATTTAACTCGTTTTCAAATCTTATAACATATTTATATAGTCGCAATTAACAGAAATTAATTAATTTAGCGTTGAATGCAGCTTAAAATGGATTGGTTAAAAGAACCTTCAAAGAGTTAGAAAAGCCGAGTTTCAAAGATAAAAGAATGCTTTGAAATTTTTTTTGTAATGCCTCATTAGGAAATTCCTTGCAATAAATTATATTGTGAACATGACTATTTATAACGTCGCTTTTGAGAATACGATTGAGATGAATGAAGTTATCTTAATTGAAATCAATTAAGATGAATTATTCTTTACATACACTATTTGCTTTAAAAGATCCGATTTCCGTAGAGAAATAAAGTAATTCATAAAAAATACAATACAATTTCTCCTGTGTATCAAAATGCAATCCTAACTAGTGACATATGACTACGTAAGTTCTGTACACATAGATGACCCCGGAAAAGCTGTGCCAAAAGTCGATTTACGATTTACGATTAAAGTAGTTTCAATTTCATGAACAGATTATTTCATACTGATTTCACATATATACTATTGTACGGTATACGCTTGAAAGGTCCGCCTATATCATCAGCGATATATAATGAGAACTAATAATATCCGGTGTATAGAAGTGCCGATTTAATTGTCCATATACACTCACGGGCACAGTTGCCTGAAAAAAGCACCTTTTTTCTGCCAAAAATGTCGTCTTCGACACTACAGAGTCTTGAAACAAAAGTAATTAATTTCCACTGAGTAAAACTGAGTGAGGATAAATAGCCCGTCTTTTGGACAATCGCTCTCTCCCATTTGGGTCTCTGCCCCACAACCAGCCGTTTTGTTCTTGTCACCTCACGAAACAAAAAGCAATTAAGCGCTTGGTTACAAGGCATTTGTATCCTTGAATCTTCTTTGGAGAGATTGGATAGACCTAAGAAAATGTCTTGTTTTTACTTCAGACGGGAAAACATAAAGTTGTTCGTCTGCGTTTCATTAGATGGATAAAACTAAAGATGCCACGACGGTGTCCATAAGACGTAGAGGCGATGAACACAGGACTGGAAAATTCGGCTATTTTGGTTGCAACCCATCCTTTCTACAATGGATGAATTGTCCCTGGGTCATGTTGATCTTAATTATCCTGGGGATGATTGCCCATAGTAAGTGAAAACAAAGTTTCTTACATGGTAACCTTGCATGCACGGCAGAGCCAAAACAGTTCAGTTTGGCCTGTCAATAACCGTAGTTTTGGTTTACCATATCTCAAGAGGTATAGTAATTATGAAAGTTTAGGATCCCGAAATCGACTTATAGAAGGTCTGTCAATGAAGTCGTCGGGCACTTTTGGAATAAATCAGTCCTATAATATATTAACTTCTTTAACTTCTTGCGTATATGGTCAAGCGTGCAGTTCAACCCCTATCTTAAATTTTTCGGTTCTGAATGGCTGGTATGAAAGTGACTGCATGCCAATCAAATTGTGTTCGTGTGTGTGTTATATCATCAACACAGATATCGGCTGCGCAAAGCTGCCGAGCCAATCAAATTGCATGTAACATAAGCCTTTCTGCGTTTGACGTCATTGTGAGAAAGTTTTATTCTGTTTTTATTTCTTATTAAGCTTGTGCTATAGTCGGCGTTTTGGCGACAGTTTTGCCGCACATGGAAAAGCGGTTTAATTTATCCAGTTTTGATTCTGGTATGATCGCTGCTGCCAATGATGTTCCTGCAGTCATTTTTGGTCTTTTTGTTGCGCACTGGGGCCATTTTAGTAACAAGGTTCGCTGGATTGGCGTGGGAGGCATAATTACAGGTATAAAATGAAGTAACTGGAAAAACAGGTTAAGACAGGCTTAAATATTGTACTCGAGATAAGCCTTCAGTGAGCAGGGGGGGTTTTGGGATTAGGGTGCGAGATGACCTGGAATGATTCTATAGCATACGGTGGTCCCGGGCGGCCTATTTAACCTGCTTACCAAATGTTTTTCTGAATGAATTCCTTGGTAAATTTTAGTGATGACATGATGAGAAACTAGTGATGATTTATATTTTTTTTATTTTAGCCGTTGGCTTAGTCATCAATGCAATTCCGCATTTTATTATCGGCGAGTACAAGCCGCCACTTCCCCAGAATATATTGTGTGGTCTTCCTCCCGGATTTGCCCCCCCAATTACGAACACCACGCCCGTTAATGGTACGGGAGGCGGTGGTCCACCAACAGCATGCGACTCCGGAGATATTGCTGAGCGGTATAGTAACTTCTAACCTGTCTCGATTTATGATTCATTTTCTTTCAATTAATTGAGTTTTTATTCAAACTAATTGGGTAGATTTTTGTATTATAAAAGCGTTGTTAAGACATTGCTTTTATTCACATAATTCGACAGAACACACGCTCTCCCAGTGCTATATCGTTTGGAATAAAACACTAACGTAACATAATATGACATTGCAGGTATCATCTTGCACTGATATTGATTGGTCAGTTCATAGCTGGAGTTGGTTCCATTCCCCTGTTTGCCTTTCCTCCTGCCTTATTCAGAGAAACGATGAAAGAAAAACATATGCCAATGGCATTGGCATTCTGGCAGGTGTCTGTGTTTATTGGACCTATGATGGCCTTTGCTTTCTCTGAACCACTCCTAGAGACGTGGGTGGATATCACTGAGGTAACTGGAGAATGTTTCATCGTTTTAAAGAACTTTATGACCATTAAAATTTACGAATTATTACGGCTCTGAAAAGCGCAGGGAGAGGGAATTGACTTGACATTTCACACAGTTGTTTTCTGCATTTTATGTTCCCAAGTTTGCACGAATCTCTCGGTCGTCTAATCGTTCTTCATCTGCAATTTAGCCAAAAGGCCTGAATCTGACCCCGCAAGATCCACGATGGATCAGCGCGTGGTGGATTGGTTTCCTCGGCCCAGCTGGACTAAGTTTTCTCGTGGGGGTTATCAACTTGGGTATGCCTGAGCATATCAGCAGCCAGTTGAATGATGCTGAAATCGAAGAAATCAAAAGAATTGACGATAAGGAACGAGATCTAACGCTGAAAGAAAAAGTGTTGAAGATTCCAAAAATCCTCGGAGAGTTATTGACAAATTGGACCTTTGTTTTCAATAGCCTGGCTTTTAATTCGACGTTGATGTTTGCCGAAGGACTGGCGCCATTTATTGCAAAGATTTTGATCCTTCGGTTTGGTGTCAAAATCCAAGACGTTGGGAAAGTTTTAAATATATCCATCGTTCCTCCACTTGTTCGTAAGTTTTTCTGTTCATATGTATTTAGTAACCATAAACTCCGTATTTTTTTTTGGAATGGGATAAATAAGAAATGGAGAGATGAATTTAATTTTTTTTTCCTCTGGTTCTATAGTTGGTGTTTTGTTCAGCATATTTTTGCTCAGAGTTATCAAAATCGAGAATTCGGGGAGAAAGTCCGCATTGATTTGTTTTCTGCTTCATTTCGCTGGAGTTTTTCCACCAATTGCAACCTTACTATCTGGTTGCGATAACGTCAATTTAGCCGGTTATTCAGTTGACTATGGTATACGGTGAGTGTTAAAACCATTGACTATTAAATTATCATAATTTTAAGTGGGAAAAAAAAAGGTATTGAAATGAGAGGATAACATGATCCTGGCAGTCGTATAATCACCACAACAATAGCATGTGCTTGTTTGATGTCATAAAGACTTATTTCAATACCCCAAAGTCCTCTCACGCTTCGTTGAATCTCGGGTAACCGGGCTCATGTAAACAGCCCCTTAGTCCTCAGTGACAGCTCGGAGCCAGTAGTCGACCAGTCGGTTGTCTCATGCAACTACAAACTGAATAGAGATAGATATCACAGCGCATGGTTTGTCTCAGTGATGAAAATGACGCAATGATAAGATCTAGTTTGTCTCGTTATTAAGGAACAAAATTGGAAACGAATTCCATCTAAATAAAACATTCCCATCCATTCCCGGTTATCCACTTGGATCAACATGTAACGAGAATTGCAAATGTGGCTTGGAGTCCCAAGTTCCTGTTTGTGGAACCGACGGTGTGAGCTATCTCAATCCCTGCTTTGCTGGTTGTAAACTCCCAAGTTTCACAGAAAAACTGGTACGTGACATATATCGAACTTTCTTCACCTAATACACTGCAACATTTCACAAAAGCGCATCTCGACCGATCATACAGTAAAAAACGTAATTTAACAAATTGTTTTTAGACTTTTACTAACTGTTCATGTATTCCCTCGGACGATGGCTACGGTGGCAAAGGAAAAATCGGATTTTGTGATGCCAATTGTAAGAACTGGTTGGCTTTTCTCGCCATGATCAGCGTGTTCTCATTGGCTACCTTTACTCAACTGGCCCCGTCGAAAGTTGTTGTTGTGAGGTAGGAGCCAACTCGGCAGTAGCGACTGACCGTCAGGAATATTTTTGGAGTAGGCCGTGGGATGAGCATCGAAAAGATGCAATTCCGTTGCACCCCTCGTGAAACTACGTAATTTTTACATGAATCAATAGATAAAAACTTACTTTATCAGAATCCGTCGCTCCCCAAGTGAAACAGGTGCACAATTGGGAAAAAAATCCCTCCAAAGTTTGCTAATTTCGCGTTTCGAAATATTCGAACCGCCATTGTTTTAATAGCAAATACGCATGCGCATGTCAGCCAAAGTCGCACTGCGCACGCTCACACAGGAAAAATGGATTTTCCCTGTGGGTTTTCCCCGATTTCCCGCGTGAAAACAACAAAATAAAATCACGGAATAAAGATTAAACCTTGTAATATTAACGAATAAATACACACACATCAAATATTGTTTAAAACACATTGTACATTTGCTTGCTGGTATGCTAAATCACTTCAATTCATTGGCTATTGTTTCAAAATACCGTTTTACGTTAACATCGTTATTCATTAAAAATTGCGTCAGGTAAAAATACCACCTGTATCAAACAGGATGGAGAATATATAAATATACATACAACTCACACAATCAAGGGACAAGTTAAATATTTCGCTTAACTATAGCCTTCACATCACTAACAAAGCCTGGAGGAATAGCAGAATCCTTGGATATATTCATCTGTTCAAGGGCAGTCTCATGGCACAATACAAATGAGTGTGACATGCAATGTCCAAAACAACTCAATAGAAAAATTACTGAGGCTGAACCTGTCAGTTGTCTAAGTGTCATGGCAAGTGCTATGCTCTTGGGTGTAGGATTCCTTCCCCCAGATACTAAATTCACAAGGTCTTGTACCATTGATGTTAGTTTGGCACTGTTCTTGCCCTCAATTGGCACGTACTCACTTAAAGTTGGCTCTGAATAGAATCACAAATCCAAGCCAATACATTAAAAAGTTCACATGGAGCCACTTTTTGCACATTATCCATTGTCAAATCAGATGCCAATGGTGGCTAAGGAAGATTTAGTTTTGGTATTTCTTGGACCTTTTGGCAAAGAATCAATGCAGCATTGTATAGAATTTGTAACTCATTGACTTTAGAATTTCCCTCAGTTTCTGTGGAATTCAGATCATCATCATCAATGGTATAGCTTTCTTCATCAAAGTCTTCATCGTTGTTTTCTGACTAGTTTGACATGTTCCTCAACCAGTTTGGAAGAATCCAAATTTTCCACATTTACAATCTCGCTAACATTTCTCATTTTCGGTACATAGAACACAAGTTGGGGATAACTTTTCATCAGTCTTTATTTGGATGAAGCTCTATATTTGGATGCATCCACATTCTCTGTGTCCTTAGCAATGATAACAAATTTCTCCAGCAAATCTTTCATATACCTTATTTGCTTAAATTTGCATAACTTCAGTGTCGATTACTTTCTTACAGAAGACATCATAAGACTTCTCATACACTGATGTAGATCTTTCAGTCTCCAATTGCTTTTTTGCCTCTCTGGTGAGAAATTTTACATAATTGTAGTAACAAACTTTGTGATAGAGGACTTCCAGTGCTACACAGTCTTTCCCCCGGATTCGCATGAGTATCCGTTCATCATTCCTTTTCTCCAAAGCTGTATGTAGAAGACCAGCATCAATTGTTTCTGCCAACATGAGTGGGGTTCTTCTCTTCTTAGTTACCTGGTGTGAACAAGATATTTTAAAACCAAACTCGAGAATGCTGTGCTACTAGTGCACATTGCACTAGTATAATTATATCTATCAAAATGATCATGCATACCTTGTCTAGTGAGAACCAAGAGGCGTCTCTTCCACAAACAATACATATCTCTGGAAGTACGTGCTCGTTTCTTTTAGGCAGGGTCGTATTAACGTCTGCGACTGATTGGCGTGTAATTTTTCGCCTTGGTTCCATTGGTTCCACTTCTACATGTATTTCTTCGGTAGAAGTTACAGTTTACAGTTTTAGAGCTTTCTTCTTTTCGCTGTTGTCTACAGATCTTCTCTTCATCACAAAATCTCTTCCAGTATTTCATATGATGGTGCCATTCTAAGTTAATGCTGTCAGGGTTCTTTTCCATGTATGAATTGACAGATCCGTCATCGATGTTCGCGTACGATTTCTTAGCTATTTCTGCTTGTTGACATTTGAGTTTAACCCATTTAGACCTACACTCAAGAAATTTCTTAAGCCTTTGGCGTGTAACTTTGCAAAGTTGCTCCGTAACGCCATCAAAATGAATAAAACATGAGGATATTCGAGTTTTATAAATATCTTCAGCCATTATTATTTTGCATAACTAAGCGTGTTTCCACTTCGAAGCATGTGCGTGCTTATGCGCGTGCGCAGTGCGAGTTTTCCTGACATGCGCATGCGTATTTGCTACTAAAACAATGGCGGTTCGAATATTTCGAAACGCGAAATTAGCAAACTTTGGAGGGATTGTTTTCCCAATTGTGCACCTGTTTCGCTTGGGGAACAACGGATTCTGATAAAGTACATTTTTATCTATTGATTCATGTGAAAATTATGTAGTTCCACGAGGGGTGCAACGGAATCCGTTTTCTAAGCATCTTTTGGATGCTCATCCCACGGCCTAGAGGGGGAAAATTCGGGAAGTTTTAGAATAAATCAGAATTTTTACTCTCTAACTGTGGTAAAACTGATAATATTGATAAAATAAAATTGATAACCTTGGTTTATTAAATCTGGACAAATTTGGAGGGAGGCCTTTGTCCCCCCTGGTTTTCCCTTTGCCCCCTTTTGCCGGAGGGAATTGAACGAAGAGACAACAGAAAAGGAACCACTATAATGTCGCTTCCATCGACACGTTAATCGTACCTGAAAATGTGTTTTTCTTTTTCATCAGAAATTAGGGTTGTAACTGTTAAAATTTCACCTTAGACCTGTGTAAAAAACTATAAGGGGGAGGTTTAGCATAAAACCAGCATGGTTAGTCATATTAGTTTTGCGAAAACCAGATGTTAAATGAAATCAACAACGGACGTGAATTCATGTTTCCATGCACGCGTTATTTTGTTTTCAGAGCCGTAAAAGCAGAACACTTGTCGTTTGCCTTTGCTTTGCATTACCTTTCAAACAAAGTCTTGGCTAACATACCTGGTCCTATAATATTTGGCCATATTGTGGACCTCAGTTGTGACATATGGCAAAAGGTCTGTGGGAAGACTGGTTTTTGTATGATTTATGATATGGATGATTTGATGACACAGTGTGCTATCATTGTTGGAACTTTGTGTGGTAGGTTGAAGCATTCAAGATGCCCACTCCAGATACATAAAACGGCTCAGCCGGGCCTGTGTTTTTTTTGGCGGTACTCTTAAAGATGATGTAAAGTCCGTTCTGAGCATATATTCTGCGCATAACAATGTTTGTTTACGTTGGTTATATAATCTTTACATGACGTATGCGTCGTTATAATTTTATTATTTTCTTCTCGCTCGACGGGCTGTGATCTGTGATGAATATGCTAATTTTTATTATATTTTGAAGAAAATATTGTTATATTTTGAAGAAAATATAAAGCGAAGCTTGTAAATAAACCGGCCGTTATTTAAAACGTTATATATTTGTAATTGTAGGACAAGCGAGAAGGTGGCGTCTGTAGCGACAACAAATAGCCTCGCCATTTCGGGCCTTATTCAACAAATAAATTCTTGGAGCATTCCTTTCAGCATAATATTGCTTTTTTCTAGCAGCTTTATGATAAGATAAGTTATCGTCGTGACTCGCAATTCGAGCCTCTTCGCCTTGCGACATAAAATAAAATAATTTTGCTCCCGAACTGCCGTTTGTAATACAACGCGTTAATATCGCATATCATTAACATTCCAAAAGTTGCTCCCCCACTGATGGAATGTGTTGATGCGCGGAATATATGCGCAGAACGGACTTTACCTCATCTTTAAAAAAGTTTCGTTAGTTTCAGAGCGAGCGATGTTTTCATATAAAGGCACTGTTTTCTTGTTCAACTGTTCACCCACATGGCAAATGCCGGCTTTAATTAATCATTAGTAAATACCCTGTGCTCATATTAGTGCGGGAGCGAGGCTCAGATAAAATTATGGTTACGCTCGTGATTGGTTGATCTCATAGACATATCGCATTTGATTGGTTCATGTTCCCTCCCCTCGCTGATCTGTTACGCTCGTGATTGGTTAATCTGATAGACAATTATCGCATTTGATTGGTTCATGTTCCCTCCCCTCGCTGATCTATTACGCTCGTGATTGGTTAATCAATGATCAACCCAAGGGCATGGTACAACAAGTTTAATGCTTTTTTTTCTGCTAGGTATTGGGCTGTTGTGCTATTTCATCACATGGTTGGTATACAAGGAAGCTGAACCTGTAGCTGTGAAAAGGGAATTTGAGCTTAACAACCCTGGGTATCAGAGCGATAGTAGGGGCGATGGAGTGAATGCGCAAATTTAATCCGGTATATAGTACACAACAAAATACTATATATCAGTATTTGCAATAAAAGGTAGCTTAAAAATTTAAAGAGTCGTATGTTAGCATGCGACAAGGGTTAAGTCATCTTCTTCTACTTTATTAATAAATTCACACATCAATACATTGGGCCAATGGGCCTTGTATTTGTGTTATGCTTTAAAGTTAATTTTCGCAACAAGAGGCCTAGGACTAGGCTCACGCCAGTCTCACGCAGCCGGGTAACGCAGTCCAGTCACTCCAGTGAGGAACGCAACCTTTCCAGCCTGGTGTCAGTGAGTGAGGATCACCTTTTTCTTATTCATTACAACAATCAAATATAACTCCTGGATATTTTATTTTTTTTAAAATGCATAAATAACTGCATAAATAAGAATATTTCCATACAATTTCATACATTGTTACATGGTAGCCTAGCTAATACATAAATGGCTTTAAATATAAATGGGTATAAATACATTAAGGTGAAAGTCACTTTATAGTTATTCCTCGATCGCTACTGCATTTTTGAATTTGCACTTATTCTTTGACTGAGTTCTAAAAACAGAGTAAAGAAGAATAAGGTTCAAGAATGGGCCATGTGACTGGCCATCATCAATCATGGTTATGGATGGATCTGATTCATGTACTGTTATGTTACCTTGATAGTTAATTTGGGTGATCATTTTATCGAAACCATACTGTGAGAGAAGTTGTTGCACTGCAATTATAAAAAAACTTTTTAACAACCATGAAGTGAGGATCCTCAACTACGAGGAAACATCAGATCATATCTGCAAAAAGATGTGGCTAGCTCATCTCTAAGGTAAATGGTTTATGTGTATGGACACTAATGTTTGCAAACCTTCATGTTTTGTCATTCCTTCTCCACCCTTTACAAGAAGATGTTCAAACTCAGCACGGCTAATATAACCTTTTCTGCTTTTGTCTTGTAAGATAAATGCATCAAGAATCTCCCTTTCAATATTCACATGTTTTGCATTTTGTGCAGCAACCATTTTCAGGAATTCAGGGAATGTAACGCTTGTCTTTCCTTGAGAAAGAAATGTATTCAACTACATATATTAATGTTGACATCACCCATATAGAATGCAATGGTTTCTCACTGATACATGTTTGTTAAACTTCATAAAGACACATATTTTGATTCACCATACCATGTTCTTTCATGATGTCAAAAATCTCGACATGCGTAACAGGATGTCCCAGAGCGCGCATGATTTTTGTTAACTCGTCTTTTTCAACCTTTCCATCACGATTTTTATCATACAAGTTGAAGCAGTCTTTGAACACTACACAAAATACGTCCATTTTATATATGTTTATATATATATTCTATTTAGAATTTTTGAAATACCATACCATACTTAATGTCTAATTTAATAACAAAAATACTTAACAAGAAGCATATGATGAAAGATATGGTAACTTACCATCAATCTGATGCTGCGAGAAACTTTCCGCCTGTAAATTGTAACAAATTAAAGCTTAATTGCAACAATTTAATGACAACTGTCAACGTCAACACCGAATACAAAAAACCGAGTAAAACAAATATAAATTTACTAGTACTCCGCATAATTAGTACTGTAGATGAAGATAACTAGGTTTTCAAAACATACCATTTTATTTCGAGTGTAAGAATATAAGATGTATCCGATGTATGAATTTGACACCAAAATACGAGTATAATATTTCAAGTCGGTATTGTATATACGCTTGACTGGGGATAGATTCACCGGTGGGGCTTTTTACCCTTCAGAGCACTCCAATAACTGACCTCTATATAATAGCTGAATGCAAGTTGTGTTTTTCTATCAAGCGCCTGGGTACGAGGCTGTGATTTGGCGCGAAATTCAGGCAAATTAGAATCGAACATGTGAGAGACGGCCATATTGCTTTCATACATTCTCATCTTGAAAAGTTATTATTATTTTTAAAAATCCTATCAAAATGGGCGCATTACTCTCCTCGACGGTAAAAACGGTTAGCAATTCATTGTATCCATGCAAAGATCAGCTGCCGCAATCGATAATGTTTAGTAAAATTAGCGAGAAAGCCATCGCACCCAGCCGTGGATCATCTGGGGCAGCTGGCTACGATCTGTATTCTGCGTATGATATGACAGTACCTGCACAAGGGAAGGCTCTTGTTAAAACTGACATTGCTGTGGCATTGCCCGATGGATGGTACGGTAGAGTTGCTCCCAGGTCGGTGGAAATATTATTTAATAAAATATTATATCAAATCTGCACATCAATAAACTTTGTTGATATTTTTTATCATCTTTTTATATGTTCGCCTCTTCGATTAATCTATTTGTACATTTTACGTACTGTTCCATTGTAATTGATACATTAGGTCTTCTAATTGTGTTTGTCTTAAATAGTTTATAGTTTACACAAATTTTTGCACAGTAACAGTAGGCTTAGACCAGTTAAGGGAGGTTCAGTTGGAGAGGTTTTGGTCTGGATCAGAATGGCAATCAAGGTTGTATCAAAAACAAAATAGAAGTGCTAGTATATAATAGAAGTGTTTTAATATGTTTAGATCTGGTTTATCATGGAAACACCATCTTGATGTGGGCGCAGGCGTCATTGACTCAGATTATCGTGGCAATGTTGGTGTCATTCTGTTCAACCTAAGCCATATTGATTATGAGGTGAAACAAGGTGACAGGATTGCACAACTGCTTATTCAAAGAATTTGCACACCTCAATTAGAAGAAGTTGAGGTAAATGATATTCCGGTATTGGTTAAAATTTCACTCCTTTCGTTCAAATAACACCTAGCTCTAACAATTATGATTGGTTTTCCAGAGTCTTGATATCACTACCCGTGGTGACGGTGGGTATGGCTCCACAGGCCGAAATTGAACTGTTTGAGATTGATACAATTCCGAAAAGGTTTTCATCTGAGACAAAACATGACAGTGTGCTGTCCCTGCTCTCAAAGTACTGTCTGCTGGGCAGTATGTGGAAAAACTTTAAGTTCATTTTAAACATTACTTGTAATTATATTGAAATTTATTTGACAAAATAAAAGTAGCATTTGTAATTGTGTGGATTTTGGTAAAACTAGCTGTGAACAACAGTCTTATTGCATACAGAATGCTAAAAGAGTACTTAACGGCATCTCACACTGTGCAATTTTTCTTGCAACATGCAGTGCAATTCTACTTTTGCGAGATGTAAATTAGTGAAGAGTCTTCGAAATGTAAGTGTACGAAACCGCCCAATGAGTGTAATACACACGAATGTTTCGTTTTTGCAAATTTAGATCTCTTAAACGTAGAATTATTGCATGAAGGTAAACGAAGGTCTACTATGGCTGGTGGAATATTAGTTAGCATATTATCAGTAGGACGTATGAACAACAGACTGACTAGAATATTCCATAAGGATGTCGCAATATCGTTAAAGAGCTTGACGTCTACGACAACCCTCTAACTGCAAACAGAAAAGTTCATGAGGCCGAGAAAATTGGTGCATTATTTTCAAACGTAGAGTAAATACTGAGACAAATTGAGGCCGAGAAAGTGCAAAAAATCTAATTTAAATGTTATTTGAAATTAGCCGTTTGCTGTTCGCGGTTCCTTTAAAGGTCTTTATTAACGCGATTTTCGCTTCCGAGAAGTGAAAAACAAAATACAAACAGAGAGAACCTAAAATGCATAGAATTGAAGAAGTTGGAATGATGAACTACAGAGTTTACAAGATTTTTACTAAATCAACATTGACATAAGAATGTCTTTCGTAGAAGGTTCGTTTGAAAATTGTAGTGCAGATTCGACTTAATAAATACAGCTGTTTCAAATCAATCGATTGATTCTTCGCAATCGATTATGCTTAGCAGCGGTCGGATTGTCCGGATCAGAAGTTAAAATGATAAACAAGTTATAAAGTAAACATCATTGACCTTCTTCGATCATCTCTTGCGTAAAGTGCAAGCGTGCTAGAAAGTTCTTAATCTGTGTGATTAACGTTCATGTTAACAAAGATTTAAAACGTTTACAATACCAATGGGTGCAACCCTTAAAAAATTTGATAAAAACTTCAATTACAAAACCACAATTGCATTTTCATGTTCAAGTTAAAGAATATGAATACGATCCATCGATATTAGTATATTGATCTATTGCTTTATTCAACGTTTATTTTATTACTAACCCGCTAAAGTTAACCGATTGAAACAGCTCAAGGACTTCCCCAATATGCAAGCTTAACAACGCTTTTGATAAATAAGAAGTTTTGAGAGCATATCCATTGAGACTGCACTTCGTAGTCACATTGTGTTGAAATTTACCACACTGAAACAATGGTAGAATACCACCTTAAAGAGACCCTGTCAATCAGTCTGAATACTGCGTTTCTGTGTTTCAGGAAGCACTTGTAATGAGGAATAATATTGTCTGCAAGAGTACTTGACCTTATACCCCCCTCTATCTGCATTGAAATATACAGATGTTGATTCAATCATCCAAATGAAACGTGTTCTAGTAAATAATGACCATCTTTCATTTGCAAACTTTGAATCCTTAAATAATGATTGAAGGTGATTATTGACGTTTGAATAACTCCTTGATGGCATGCGTCCAATAAAAATCAAGATATTTTTAGAAATTCAATGCAACCACATGTAACGCTGACGTGCTCATCAAGGCAGCTGCTCCGCCCTACCGATATGATATCCGCCTTGCCGACAAGAACGCCGGGAGAAATGCCCGGTGTTTGGAAGCAAATCTGTCATATGCCTATTTTGTCATTCCGCTTAACATTCTTCCTGAGGGAAATGTTCCTGGTTTTTACCCCCGGGAACCGTGTGGTTAATATTTCAGAGTAATATAGGAATGCACTGCCGGCGTCTCCGGACATGCGTGCTTATGAATTTCACTGCGAGCGCCGTATAGTCATACGCTGGAAGGTTTTCTACGGACCCTCATTTTCAATTTACAGCATGGAGTTATATCTTGGATTTGACGAAGTGACCCTTCACCTAAACTACATTCCGTGCGACGGCCGGTTAACGACACGAAGAATTGGCATGGCGATTCTGAGATAACGATTTGATTTCATTGTGATGCTCGGTTGCAGCGTGATATAGCGCGTCTTACCCGCACAAAGACGAGCTGTGATTGGTTGATTATGATAAACAACAACCACTGAGCACCCTTGTTTCAGTAGACCAATCACAAAGCGGCATCGCAAAGCGCAACATGTCAGGGAGCACGGACGCTTCGTTTGCAAGCAATTTCATGGAACGCTTTTGCTTTCAAAATGCTCGCTCTGCAAACATACCAAGCTACAAAAATGGTTGTATTCACCTAATAAGTCAACGGCTAGAACCTTCTTTAAATTTCGTTGAATTTTTTTTCACCTTGGCATTGGGGCAAACCGGCCATTATTTATAAAGACCCCCTTACGTAACACCCGCATATATGAATAATATCACGCGCCGCATCGAATTTCAGCCCTCATGAAACTGTAAACAAAATGCATTTATGGTGATCTGCCTTTGAACATGGACGTGGAGTTGTTGACTGCAGGGAAAAACAGGAACGAGCTATCAAACAAGATGACTTCGGCAAAGTTTACTTGTAAAAACTGCGGAGATAGCTTCCTCAGGGAAAAAGATTTATCGAAACATCGAAGATTAGATTGTAAAAAGAAACCGTACGGTTGTCCTGAGTGTGGCCAACTCTTATCCAGACGAGATTCGCTCAGGCAGCATTTGCAACGACATGACGGCGGAAAGAAATATCCTTGTCAGTTCTGCGACAAAACGTTTGATCAGCAGCAAAATTTGAAAGTACATTTACGAATTCATTCTGGCGAGCGTCCGTACAAATGCCCCGAATGCGGGCGGCAGTTTAATCAATCTCAAAACCTAACTACACATCTGCGTGTACACAGTGGAATAAAGCCTTATTCCTGTAACGATTGCGGGGCAACCTTTAGGTTCTGCAGCGGCTACCGAAGTCACATGTCAAGGTCTCACAATCCTTTAAAGCCCGCTAAAAAACGAGGCAGAAATAAAGCCGACGTCGTTTCTCACGGCGAACAGAGTCCTCTTGAACCAGAGGAAAATCGGGTTCATCGTGTTAGCGTTATTGCAAAAGTTTCCTCACCGTCAAGCATGGCTGGGCCAGGCTTGATCGAGAGTGTTCCAGTCGAGAATAGTTGCATCAAGTCCGTAGAAGATTCTATCGATATTCCCTCTCCTTTTAATGCAGGCCTTCTGACTCATTCAGAGAAACGTGTGACTCCACCGGCATTACCCGACCTGCATTACACATGTCGCTTATGCAATCTTGTTGCTTTTAGACAGCCGGAGATTATGCAACACATGATTATTGTTCATGGCCTTCCTCATAATGATATCTTTATTAAGAAAGATTCGAGTAAGGTTAATTAAAGACAAGGGAAAATACGCCGGGATATAGAGATGAAAAACGTGAAAAAACATGGACCTTGCCGCAGTCATGCACTGTAGAGACAATATTATATCTTTATCGTTTAAAAGCGTTGGCTTTGAGAACGGTACAGTTTATTTGAAGTGAATACTTTGTTTATATGTATAAAAGATTTCATTGAAATTATTTATTAAATGCATGTACTCCCATCTGTAAATATACACACAAGTCTGGCGATGATATATTAGCACGTTCCTCAGTACATTGAACCTATAATAATATTTGTCGCCGCATTGAAAACTCTTTCCATATTTGATCCATACGTTCGACATAAAATATAAATTGTTATGATAAACTATTTGTTATTTCACACACCATAGCCCAAAACTTTGATCCTGGAAGCGGAAAAATGTGAATATAATTTAAAACGATTTACAAACATTTTCAAAATGCCTGATCTCCGAACGAATTAGAGGTGTTGCTTAACGTGCATGATTCATTGAAATCGAAAATGGTTTACGTTGTCGTTGAGTATTTATATAGAACGCCTGCATGCATATTCAAATAGGAGTAGTCTTTTCAGTTACAACTAGATATGTGGGAAAATATAAGAGCATTCAAACACAGTGGTTGCGAAATCAAACTGAATTTGAAGTCATGCATGTGTGAACTGTTGTTCCAAAAAAATGAAGCCTTTATATTTGACGCACGTAGCAATATCGTACTTCTGTAATGGCAAGAAAACACAGGGTTATGGCGGCCACAATCTATACACATTGTTAAAGACTACATTTTATCTATCTCCTATAGTTATAATTCTCTAGGCGTCTTCAACGCAGTTTGAAACGTCGAGTTAACATGCATACTTCGCAGTTGTTGAACCTTTTTTATATCGATCTACGAAATGTTTTTAAGACCTTTAATACTGCAACTATATTTGCATGCAAAATTTGCAATGAATGGCATACTTCAACCAAATAATAGGAACATCACATGGTAGGATTCGTTCTGTTCAAACGAAGGATTGAAATAATATAGCCATTCATGAAATTCTGCTGCATGCATCCGTTCCTACTTTGATAAACAATTATTCCGCCCATCTACAAAATAATCCAAAAGGCATTTGGTCGTTCATCTATTGCAAAAGACTCAGTATGACAAGCCGAACAGCTAGAAATGTTCGCTGTAAAACATTGTATCAGTAGTGTCTGATCAGTTCATGTTCAGGAAATGTCTGTATTTAAAAGATCATTCAGCTATAGAAAGCCGTCTCGACGTTTTGAGAACTCGGCCATGCAGGAGAGGTACTTGTCTGAGAAAAATACAGCTTATAAAACAACGTTCTTTGTTGCTTTTCACCCTCTCACCTTTTATCACACTAACTTTTTTGAATTGAAAAAGGTTTCGTAAATGTGCTTCAACCAGTCGTTTATAATTTGGCTGTTATCATGTGTGTGAATATATCACTGCCACAGGTTTGACAATCCTGCAATGATAAACGTAAGACAAAAAGCTTCTCATTCATGTAGCTTTCTTTCACATCTTCACTCTTTGAACTGTGCTGTAGTCACTGCACGTACATGTCGGCAGTTATAATAACTATGACGAACTCTGTAGAATTCCACGATGCTCAAGACGTGAGTAGCCAGATCAATCAATAATGATATAAAACCAATATACCTTCGTCGAAACTTGCGTCAACAAATCGAACCATTTATCTCGAACAAGGTATTCACCAAGAGTAAACTTCGGATATCAATTGAGAATCAAGCTAACGATGTTTTCTACCCCAATGAATATTAAGATTGAAGTATCCGGAGAGGCAAAATTATTCGCTACATATGCCGGCATTCACCCAAAAGCATCGGGAGTAGTCTGTTGAGAGATGGCCGAATCAATCGAAGTGCCAATTTGTGGAAACAACAACTGGAATAAACACTCTTCTGAGGCTATAAAGGTTTATGTTCCTGAAATTCTAAATATAAACAAATAAATTTCAATCCTGTGGAATCTAACAACACCACTGGACGTTCGTTTGAAACTTCGTGTAATTGTTGCGAGCAATAAACCTATCGATGAGTGATGTATCAGACAAACTGCTTATTCTGGAATATTTTCTACATACTTCGTGGGATCAGCCTAATGAATCACTTTTAGTATACTAATGTACTTAAATACTAAATATACTTTTTGGAAATGTTTCTTGTGTTTCCCCTCAAGGTGACGATATCGTGAGTTACCCATTAGTGGCTTGTTTAATTCTTTCCAAGCTAGCGTGTATGCTAACGACGGTGGAAGTGAGTCTAAAATATCGACATCCTCCCTTCGAAGTGTGAATGCCCTTCTCCATGTCAAGCGTAATACGATTAATACTTTTAAAAACCAATTTAATTCTGGTTTTGCAGTTCGTAGAACTGGCAGAATCCCCTATCCATGATCTTTGCTCTGTCCTACAAGACGTGCGGGGCTTGGGTACGAGGGAGAAGTACATTTACCCACCACGTGATCCACATCCGACATCAGCCTGGGTCCGACATCAGGTCTTTCTCTCCCAATGAGTATTAAAATTTAAGTGCCCCGGAGAGGCAAAATTATACGCTACATATGCCGGCAGTTATCCAAAAGCATCGGGAGTAGTCTGTTGAGAGATGGCCGAATCAATCGAAGTGCCAATTTGTGGAAACAACCACTGGAATAAACACTCTTCTGTGGCTATGAAGTTTTATGTTCCTGAAATCCAAAAGTAAAGAAATAAATTTCAATTCTGTGGAATCTAACAACACCACTGGACGTTCGTTTGAAACTTCGTGTAATTGTTGCGAGCAATAAAGCTATCGATGAGTGATGTATCAGACAAACTGCTTATTGTGGAATATTTTCCACATATTTCGTGGGATCAGCCTAATGAATCACTTTTGGTATACTAATGTACTTAAATACTAAATATACTTTTTGGAAATGTTTCTTGTGTTGCCCCTCAAGGCTCAAGGGGACGATATCCTGAGTCTTCCAAGCTAGCATGTATGCTAACCGATGAACGACGGTGAAAGTGGGTCTGATATATCAACATTCTCCTCGAAGTGTGAATGCCTTTTTCCGCGTCAAGCGTAATACGATTAATACTTTTCAAAACCAATTTAATTCTGTTTTTTCAGTTCATAGAATTCGCAGAATCCCCTATCCGTGATCTTTGCTCTGTCCTCCGCCTATTGCAAGGACTTGGGTACGAAGGAGTAAATCTACGCACCACATGATCCACGCCCGAAATGAGGTCTGGGTCCGACATCAGGAATTGCTCGCAGTACGGGAATGAGACCTGTTTAGAGGGTAACGCAGTCCCATCGGCTAAAAGTTCGATCATGGATTAAGATCATGATTGATAAGACTGATTACCCTGATGATTGGTGAATAACTTTTTTTTCCGCATTCCCGTGGAACACCCAGTACCAGCAAGTGGTCTTCACGATGATCCATATTAATCGGTTTGGTCACTTGAGAAAAATTCCTTGATCGGCGAAATAAACGAAGATAAGAAACAGCGACAATCGCATGGTTAAAATTCCCGGGTGTTTTTACGATCGTCCCTAGGCTCCAATATTGCGCGCCTGGCTAGTCGTTCTGGCGTCGCGCCGAAGGTGTGCTGGTAATGAGAAGATATTTAGACACGTCTTACTTCCAAAATGGGATATTTTTCAGGATCTTTGCACGGTCTTACATTCCTTTTTTAGTTATCGGCCTTAACTTGTTTACTGCATTTTTAACCTTAACGACAGCCACGCCTTAATTCGAGTCACGATTTGGACAAGTGGCTTGTCTAGAGGAATGTCTGTTGAAATATGGTTTTCGTAAACTTTGAAATCCTTTCAAGAGTCGCTAAGAAACAACCCAAGCTTTGACGTGTTGTTGACGAACGTTGCGCCCACGATGCGTCTTTGACGCACCTACCTATTAGCAAATTTGTCATTAAATGTCTATTGTTTCTCAAGTCGCTATATGGTTACATTCCATTCACCTGTTTTTCAGTACGTCATGTTATTTGCAGTCATGAGTGTGTGCATGTCCGATCAATTCCACATTTCCACTCAACTTTTTGTTGCGTTCTGGGCATGTTTACAACAAAAACTGATTGCCAAATTAAACTGCATTCACCTCCTTCAAAAACCGCAATTCCTTGCGATCATAGATTTTTTTAGCAGTGAGTGAAAACGCGTACGAAAAGAATTTTTTTAACGATCAGCTGTGGGCAGAATAATAACTTGAAATGTCACAGCGTTTCTAAATATAGGAAAATCCGTAAATCGGATCAATTTTAACCGAAAGTGAAAATCGCGTGGGTTTGTCGGGTCGTATACGCGCGGTATACCATCAGATGCATGCGGACTACTGAATTTTGCACTCAAAAAGAAAAAAATTGCTTGGTACACGTACGCTTTTTGTACAAATCGTTCAGATGCCTCTTTCTTTAGCACTGCTGGGCACGGTGAGAACGTAAAATTACAATTCAAGCGCTTCGGCCAATCATAGATCTTCATTAGAGATAGAAAATCCACCCAACGGCGTTCACTTTGTAAACGATTCGTTTGATTTTGCCGACGTGTTCGAGGCATGTTTATTTAACAATCGAGCTAGCCGTAGATGATGTGCTATTTCAATCAACAGTATCTTTCATTTGATTTATTAAAAAACAGCGTCTGTGATATATCTGCCTTTCTTCTGCCTTCTATTTATATACGATGATAACTAGATCTTAATACAAACGAGTTGATATTTACGATTCAAAAAATTTTTCCAATTTCGCATCCATCTTGATAATAAACGGATTCGGAAATTAGGAGTTCAAAAGGACACTGTGTTTCACGGCAGGGACGCCGTTGTGACAAAACGTATCTCAACCGCATTTCCTGACAGTATCTATTTTAATATACAATACAATAACGTTAAAATATCCTTTATTTCAAACTGAACAACCAGCTGAACTCGCTTTTTATAAAACATGCAATTTACGTGCCGACTGATGGCAAAGAAACGGCGAGTAAATTACAGGAAATGCAAATTTTTAGCGCAATTTTCTAGCTTGTAATTTCCGCGTTTTCACGCTCTGGTGAAATATGAGCATGTTTCCCGCTGTGCGCCTGGAGCCTCATTGGCTACCTATAATTAGCTAAATAATTTCCAATTTTGGATACTTCAAAATCAGGCGACGAAGAAAGCTTGCAATTCCATGCTATATTCTAGACGAAGGTTCACTAATTTTAATTAACCTTTTCGTTCTGATTTGAGCTTCAAAATAAAATCTCTTCTCAATAGCGAAATGGTTTCAGCCTGCGTACTGAAACCTTTTTTTTTACCAAGGGAATGAAGGGATTACTTCGTTTTCGATAATATCTATAGCTGTATGCTACATACACAATGTTCCTCGATGGCTATCATCAAACTATTGAAGCATACGTTTGAATTATATAGTAATTTTATTTCGATAATGATTGCGTTTCTTCAACAGGACATCATTTCGGTGGATGGTTTTTAACTCCCAGCATTATTGAACCCCTCGCGCGTCGTCCACGCACGCGTTGTTTTCGTTTGAACTGTTTTGGAAAGTTGACAAGCATGGGTTGTTACGGGATTAATGAATAAAAACACGCCGATTCTTCCGACGTTTTAGTGGAAAGAGGAGCAAGAATGAAGTACCTTATTGCGACCCTTCTATATGTCACATGTGTGCCTATTTTAGGTAAGAAACCGTACTTATTCTCTTATGAATATCGTCTATAGTGTAGTGTTTATGAATATGTCGATAGCCGCAAGTTGAAAGTCACAATATTCTTGGCTTTATTTACATTTCCAAACTTTAGAGTACAATCTCTAATTGCCGGTGTGTACGTACATCAATTCACATCGGTATATTTAGATCAGAAATAGAAGCTTAAATCAGAACGAATACATATTAATTCTAATTATTAAATTTGTTCTAATGTGTGTTTTCGTCGACTGTCTGACATTAATATAACTTGAGTAACGCTGTTTGTTTAGTTAAGCATGGCCTTATATACTAAGTGTTCTTGTAAAACGGACGATTCATTGACCTTTTGGGGTTTTTGTACAGACTTTAATTGGTGTTCATTGTATTAGAACGATACGATCAGGTACAATGGTACTAAGTAGACAATTTTGGGGACGAACATGGTACGCTTAACATTGTGTCTTGAGTACGATTTTATTGATTTAATGACAAAGCTATGCTTAATGATGAAACCGGATTCCGAATTTATCCAAGTGTTGATGGTTATCGCATTCTGATTGCACAAAGTTCGCAGATAAAATACTTGTCTGTGCAACATATGAACCGGAGTTGAGTTGATAAGGCACTTTAAAATGCCTATATTTCCTCTCGTATGATAAATTGTTTCCTTTTGTGGCGAAATTCCTTAGATAAGCTTGCGCTGGCTTTTATTTTACCAGCAATGCGGGGCCTGAGATTTGATTAAACTGACAGCAATAGAATTTTAAATACTTTATTAATTTTCTTTGTTAACCTTACATGTTTTTTCATCAAGCGTAACAATAAGCTCGTATAACAATGTGTGGGGTTTCATATACACAGATCATAATATTCCTTGAGACTATGGTCTAGTCTCAGAGGTGTTCATAACATGCTGTTTGTCACACACAGTGATCATTATGAGCAAAGTTTTTGATTTACGAGCCAATTATAGGATAGAGGCATTGTGCCAGTGTTTGTAATATCCCTCAGGACCTGAAAGCTATGGTCACATCTGTTCCCAGATGTTCTGCCTCTGATGATCTGTTGACACATGTGTGTCCTCCTCCAGGATGATTTTAAGTTTTGCAGAATTTTAATGAGAGGGATAATTAACAATTAAATTATGAGGCTGAGATTTCTGCGAGTTGTTGATCAAATATACAATAAGCTGCAGCATTGATAGCCACGAAAGCATTTAGGATATAAAATGTTCCCATAAGATAGTTTCTTTGAGTTTTGAAAACTAAGAGAATTAAACACCCACTTTTTAGTCTTTATACTTTAAGTAGATCAAAGAATGGACAAAGGGTCTTTAAGCCTGGGCAGGGCTTTGGGCTGGGTAATTTTGGGCCACCATTAAGACCACTTACAATTTGCATCCAAATTGTGCCAAATAAGATATGTGTTTCTTGTAGCAAAGAGATTCATACAGTTCAACGAAGAGCCTTCAGATCTGGTTGCGTTGAGAAATAAACCAGCGGAACTTCGATGTAATATAACGGCAAAGGGTAAACTTGTCATATCATGGCTAAAGGATGGTGTAAAATTGAATCTTACAAATACTACACAAAGGACTATCTTGCCACATGGGTCATTATATTTTAACCCAATCAGAAGGAAAAAAAGGTATTCTCCTGATACAGGTGAATACAGATGTGTAGGTGAAACAATAGTCAATGGGCAAACTTTTAAAATACAAAGTCGAAAAGCAAAGTTAACAGTTGCAAGTAAGTTCAATGCTTTCAATTTATACACCTATTAAACTCATCATCAATTGTAATGCATATTTCTACCCACTGCTATAAGTGGACCTGGTTCCTGTTAGATGAAGTTGCAAATTTTTCAATATGTTTTTAGCCATATCAAAATCGTTCGCCATTGTGCCTCAAAATGTGACCTTGAACGAAGGTGAGACAGCATTCTTTGAGTGCAAAATAAAAAGAAGTCATCCCAAAGCCACAGTGACATGGAAGAAAGTTGGCAAGAATACAGACCTAGCACTAAATCCTAGATTTGTTGTGTTTCCCTCTGGGATACTTGAAATACATAGTGTACTGGCAAGTGATGCAGGGACTTATGAATGCGAAGTAACAAATAAAGCAATTACAACGAGAAATCCAAAAGTCAAAGCTCAACTAAACATTAATACAGGTATTTTAATAATTGCTCTTTGATCATTCTAGCTAGACTACCAATGCTTGGTACCCTTTGGATTAATTCGAATTACTATCAATGAGTTTATAATCATACTTGATTTTCTTTTTAAAAATTGTAGCATCAGTCGCTCCAAAACCAAGCAGCTACTTGGTGAAACCAAAAAATGTTGTTACCTTGCATAACAAGGATGTTATCCTTGAATGTATTGTCACTGGTTACCCAAAACCTCAAGTTGAGTGGTATAAGGATGGAAACAGGATCACCTTAACACAGTCTGGCCATTATAGCAAATTTGGTTCAAGTAGCTTAAAGGTTTCCTCAGTACAGACTGCCGATGGTGGCAAGTATGAATGTGTTATGGGAACAGACAAAGCTGAAGCCAATCTTCAAGTTATTGGTGAGAATGCTAAGTATTCTATGCTTTGGTAGTTGCAATTGCTAACCAAATCTTTTTGTTATTTGCATCTCTTTTATACGGCATCCAATTTATTTTAGTCCCACCACAGTTTAAAGTTTCTCCAAGAGATGTTAAAACAGTAGCTAATAAGGACGTAACAATGCAATGCGAAGCTACTGGCAATCCAAAGCCTAAAATAACTTGGTATAAGAATGGTAACGCTGAAGATGTACAAGTTGAACATATTGAAATGACAGACAAGGAAATAACAATAATGGAAGTGTTGGAAAGTGATGGAGGAATGTACCAATGTTTTGCAGAAAACCAGGGAGGGGAAATTATGGCTTCTGCGCAACTTGATATATATGGTAAATTATTTAAATATTTAAAGGGTAACCTGTATTGAAAAAAGCCAAGAAATTTAACTTAAATTTGAGTGGTATATTACCACAAGATCTTCTCATGAATATTCTGTATTTTTATTTTGATACTAAGAAATAACATGATAATGTGACTTGCGTTTTATTCATATTATAATAAAGTTTTCAATCAATCAAAATTCAAAAATAATGTTATTTCTGAGTATGTGAGTATGATTATGTTCATCCAGGTGGTCATACAACCACATCACCACCATTAATGGAGGCACCAAGTCAACCAAAAGATGTGAAAGCCATTGCTGAAAACTCAACGACAATCCGTCTGTTCTGGCAAGCCCCTGACAAACCTAATGGCAAAATCAAGGAATATACAGTTATCATTCAACGCCAAAGTGTTACAGGTACATTTTCGTTCTGAAAAACCTCAACAATTCATGTTTTCTAATTCAAATTACGATGACATATGCATTATAACCCTCTATAACTAATAATATTGGTGAAGTGTAACTCTAACAATGTTTTTTATTGTACTGTACTTTCTGTACATAGGAGATATGGTGCTTGTACCGAGAATGCCAACTACACAAGACACTCAATTAATTGTTAGCAATCTAGAGCCAGCCACTCTCTATCAATTCAACGTATATGCGTTGAATGAACATAATAAGAGAGGACAACTGAGCAATGCCATTCAAGAATTCACATCGCAGAGAAAACTTTCAGCATTAGGGCCACCGCGTGATGTTCAAGTGCTTGCAATTAGTTCTATGGCGTTGAAAGTGTCGTGGAAACCACCTTTAAATAAGTAAGTCGTACAGAAATACCGCCTATTTGCTTAGTTTTGAGAAAAAAAGGTTTTCTAGGCTGATTTTATAGACGTCTTTGACTTTGTGGTTTGTTAAAAAATATTCGATCTAGAGACTGGGGTTGTTTTGGGCTTTTGGTTGACTTTAGGGATATTAACTATCTTTAGTTGATAATAAAAAGGCAACTTGAGGTGAGTTTAGCTTGCCTCAAATCATCCGAAGTCACCCCATATCACCCAAACTCGCTCAAAACTCAAGTCCTTTATATTTTTATATAATCTCATCTAATATTGCCCATATTGCCAAACACCAAGCAAAGTCCCCCAAAGTAAAAAAATGCCTAAAGTAGCTACAACTTCCATCAGTTTACCATCTCACAGTTTGAAGTGCAGTTCATTTTTTTTCTTCATATTTTTATCTCCGCATGTCCATTCTTTTCCCAGCCTGCAAGTGATAAAGAACTATTCTATCAAGTACCGCGATGTTGATCGCAATACAGCATGGCGTACCGAGTCATCTTTGAGACATAATGTTGTTTTACTCAAACTGCGGCCCTACACTGCCTATGCAGTAAAAGTCACGGCCCATACCGCGCTTGGGCCTGGGCAAACTTCATCCGAAATCGTTGGAAAGACTAAAAGTGGAAGTAAGTTGTTTCAAAGGTGCCTCAAGAGGCGGGCAGGGGTAATTTGAGAGAGTTTAAGAATCTCTTTCAAAGGACAGCTTAGTAGACTAATTTGAGTTTCTAGTATTCGATTTTTCAGTTTCTTCAAACTAGTTCTCAATAAATCTACAATTCAATTGGATGGCAAAATAATCTTGTTTTCTTCTTTTAGAACCCAATGGTATAGAAAATGTAGTGTTAGTTGCTTACCAAGATGTCCTTGTAGCCAGATGGGACCCACCGTCCCATCCTAATGGTAATATCACTGGATATTTAATGATATTGAAGAACGAAAACTCGGGTGTAATTTCCAACTCTACGAGCAAGGTACGCCATATAGCGTGGGTAATATTTTAGGCTGTCTTGAAGATAAGTTTAAATACCCGAGGAGCCTAACTTTGATGACTAGCCACTATTGTTTTGACGACATACCACAAAACATTGCGTCTCCCATTGGCTTGGCAATGCAAGGATTATAAATTACGCCATGCATTCAAAAAATTCTCAAAGTATTGTCTTTTGCGAACGGGTTTTCACTAAACCTACATTTCGGATTTTTTCAGGACAGTGATTATGTTTTTATGAATGTTCAAAGATCCGTAACGTACGCGTTCAGAGTTGCAGCAGTCACAGAGGCTGGTCGTGGAGAGTTTAGCGAGTGGACAAGAAAGCGTACTCCACCGCCAGATACAACCGGTAAATTTTCAATGGTATTTGATTCTCATTTTTCTTAGAGTGCTAATATGTTTATGCTCTTCTTTTCTTTAACAGAGGACGAGGTTCCTGGAAAGCCAAGCAATCTACAAGTCCGTGTTGTACTGGGGATAGTTAAGATTAGCTGGGATCCACCCAAGGAAAGTCATATAGTCGTGCGTGGTTATGTTCTCAGCTATGGCAAGCTTACGCCTGACGACGCCTCCAAAGTTTTACCAAATATTACCACGTCATATCTTCTTCGGAATTTACGTAGGTGTATTTTTAACAAGCAGGCTGATTTTTAGAAGAGTTTTTAGCAAGGCAAAAAATCGGAGAACTAGAAAGAAACTAAGCTTCAAATGAATGAATTGTTCTAACTAGTTACAATACTTTTCAGGCAGGTCTATAGTCGGACTAAGATAATCCCTCCCTGGGTATCCTATCGCTCTATAAATATGTTTACTGTTTAACAGCCATGCTGAAGCATCGCTCTTAATCTTATACTGACTTGAATGATAGTGATGTAGTTTTGTTGCTTTGCAGAACCCGAGACTATTTACATCATTCGTGTTCGGGCGAAAAATAAAATGGGACAAGGACTTGAAGCATTGGACCGCGTCACTATTCCGCGAATGAGTAAGCAAGTTTTGCATCTCTCTTTCAAGATAAACTAAACACAACTAGTTTTGTTTTTAGACGGTACTTAGTTCTACCAATAGCCCTGATTATAATAGCATCTATTTTTATGTCAATTCTGTTTTCTTAGAGCAACCAAATGGCATTTACAACTTGCAAGCTATCCCGTTTAAGAGGAGATCTATGCGACTTTCATGGATTGATCCCACCAGTAATTTACGACCATACGTTGGATACACTGTCAGGTTTAAAAAAGACCACAAGACGCAACAACTTAACGTCACGAAAGGAACCGCATTAGTCGTCAAAAACCTTCGTCCGGGCATGAAGTACACATTCCAAGTGCAGAGAAATGATGAACGAAATTATATCGAAGTTTCGAACAGCACAATGGAAGAAGGTAAGCATTTATATTTTAGCTATACGGTTGAATTCAACTTGCTGGAGATGAAAACATCTTAATATGACAAAAATATATGTGATATACATTATATATCGATTATATATATGCTGTTTTTAATTGATATATATATATGTATATCTTATTCAAAAGTACCAAGTGCTCCGAAAGATCTCACGGTAACGATTTCATCGGAAATATCGACCGTTAAAGTGCAATGGAATGCTCCGGATCAGCCTAATGGAAAACTGAGTAGCTATAAAATATGCTGGCGGCGGGAAGATGATCTTCGTAACTACAACTGGACGTGCAAGGTTGTGAAGTCTTATGTTTTGAACGACCATATATCAAATATCGAACCGAAATTGAAATATTCTGTAAAAATACTGGCAAAAAATCGCGCCGGTGAAGGAGCGTTCTCAAAATCTTTCAAATTTTATGGAGGTAAGATTTTATATCGTCCTCTTATTTGGACGATAAATTACACTTTAAAACTGCACATCCACTAATGGACAGTGTCTAGCCTTTCGTGTTGTTCCATAAATGAATCTTTTTTATTTTGTAGACTCCATTATACCTTTGCCTAATCTTACCCCTCCAACAAAAGGTTAGTAGTTTAATATTAGATCTAAAAGTAAAACTGTAATTGTCCAGGATGAAATCTTGATACTTATTTTCGCGTAGATCAATCGTCCAACGGCACTAACAATACCGATGACCATCCTGATGGAATCTTTAACAAAAATTTCACGAAGCCCAGAGGTAAATCATCAATCGAAGGTGTAACCTGACGTGTGTTTGCATAATGCTGCCTGGATTGCAAATAATTTGTTTAAGGAATCTTTGAAATTGAAGCATTTTTATTTCATTATTCGCTTCGTATTCTATACTCGTTTAGGAACACCAACTATAGAAGACGGCAAAAGACTAGCAGGTAGCCTAGGAATCTTATTTATTCATCATCCGTCTCCCGCCAAAAGTCACCAGCAATTTCGGGCTCAGAAACAGGATTTTTGTCAGGTCTTTCTGTGGTTAACTTTCTTTAATCTTGCTCGGTTTTTAGGGGCTACTACGGAGGGTTTATCGGACGAAGAGAGGACGTTATGGATAGTTATTGCTGTTATCGCTGCTGTAACTTTAGTTGCCATAGTAATCATTAGTATTGTACTTTGCAAGAAACGGGCCGCATGCGGGACACCAACCATAGCCAGGTACATCCATGTACATGTAGGGTTCCGAGAAGTACATAGTCTAGTGTTGTAAAGGTCTGTTCACACCATCAAATTTTGTCTGGTCCAATTGAGTTAGGAAATGTATTGATTGTGGTCTGTAACTTGCTCTGTAACAGTTCTCCATAACCATTTTCCTCGACTCCACTGAGCTTTCATCAGTATATTAGACGAAGGACTCTGCTAACCAGCTGTAAGCCAGCCAGTCATTTTTTGCGTGTTTGTGCTCAAAGATTACAGATTTACAGCATGCTGACTGATATGGTTCATATGATTCACTCTATAGAAAACCACCAGCAGATCCTTACAAAGCTGTTGCTAATGGCAACAGTAAGAAAAAACCGAATAAAGAGAAAAATTTTTGGATCAAACAAGATAATATGGAGTTGGAACCATGTGTGAAGACAACGAGTGAGGATTTCGTTACATCAACGATTCCAAGGTACTGTACGCCATGTGATAAGAGGGGACCGCTGTGGGCAATATGGTACTTGAATTGCCCTGCGAAATTGGTCAGCTTTCCTGCATGTTTCCAAAATCTAATACTTTAATTATTAGAAGTGCTGATGAGATGAAACCTCTGGATAGTCCTTTCCAGTCAAGAAAAGACCGCAATTCTCTCGAGGATGACGAAGATGATCCAGTAGAACAAGGTAGATTCTTTCTTAAGTTCGCTCACGATGGCAAACAACATAATCTAATCGCAAGTACAATTCACACTTTATCAAATCTCGCATGCAGAATCTCACATGTTTCTTCTGCTTTTGATTTTCTAACAGACCATCGGGAGGAACCTCCTCCGTACCGACATAGAGAGGACTATCAACCAATACCTGTATTCCCGGCGAAGCAAAACAATATCCATATTCAGAAATCACCATTTGCCCCTCAAGATCCTGACGAATTCCCACCACCACCCCCTGAGGTATGGCTCACAAGAAAACCGATATTATCAAAATGCCACAATCATAAAAATATTCGATCAGATTTGAAATCTTTTGGAAAAACTGAAGTTTCTAAGGAGAGCTTAGGCGATCTATTTCATCCCGAGCAATAGCTAAAAGGCTTCTTTTCATGGAATGTATTAGAAATTGAAACTCGGGCAAGATCTATTCTTGTTTTTATATCTATTGGATGATATTGAAGGCATTTGTTGTTTTTTGATAGGGTGTGGATGAAATTCCGGACGAAGGACCATCAAGTGACTACGGTTCAGAGGAGCTTGTCTCTCCGAAATGTGACACAGATGAACCAGCTTCGGTTAAGTTCATACCAAAGAATTCGCCGAACGGTTGCGTCAGCGTCGCCTCTGACTACAGTTACCCGGTGAACAAGGTATACTTCGACTGCTAAAGCATTTTTCCTTCAGAATAATTGAACCACCGACAAGGTTGATATTTTGCATTCGTTTTCATTCAATAATATAAAAAAAACATGGGAAGGCAAAGCCGCAAGGTTTAGGGCAGATATATATGGTTCTTACAAGGGCGTAGGAACCATCCAGAGGTTGGGGGGGCACCAGCGTCTAGGGGCACTTTTGGTTAATAAAAATGGCGGTTAAAATGGTTAATAAAGATATACAGGGACGGTTTGATTCGTATTTCTTGGGCTTTGTACTGCTAGGGGGGTCCGGGGGCATGCTCCCCCGAGAAAATTTTAAGATATAGGCCTCTGAAATGGCCACAAACCCCTCTCAATTTAAGGATTGTTGGGAAAATTAAGGATTATTTTTTCAAAAAAGGGCATTTTTGGTCCTTTGAAAAATTTTTGAGGGGGCACGTGCCCCCAGTGCCCCCCCCCTTCCTACGCCACTGGGCTCTTACAACGTTAAATGTGTTCTCAGGGTGTTCACGATATCGACGCGAATAATCTTCAGAACCTTATGAAAGATCTAGACGCAATCATGGCCAAGGAAGATAGAGTTTAACAAATCAATGAACTTCAAAAAGTTCGTGGTCTATATGTGCAGTCTGGATGGACAGTGCTTGTATATAATACAAGACAAACATGTCACGTGCGTTAGTCGTTACGACGTTGTCAGAATATCGATTTGATCACCACATTGTACCAACTTATATCGATTTCCCATTATTCACGAGCGAAGGAAATGAACTATATACTATAGAAAGTATAAGGACATAATTATATGTCGATTACCATATAGCCATGTTTTATCTAGGACATAGATTTATTCCATGCAATTCAGTGTAAAATAATGCAAACTATATTTTTTTACCACGCGTGTATCTGCTTTTAACTGTGCAGAAATCAAAACTCTACAGTCTACATTTCGACCAAATAATTCCAAGCAGGCTATACCGCTACACCTTTCTTTAGCCTGGTTTCCATATGATACCGACCTGTATGTAGCCGACCCATTGCCTGTAATCATCCAGGGAGAAAATGATTTCGGAAAAACAAAAGATTTCACTTTTCAATAATCACCGACAATAATACTTTGCCAACGTCGGCGTCATATGGAAACCAGGCTTTAAACGCACTAGCTCCTTAATCACATTCCACGCGACTGATATGCGACGTCTAATAAGCAGGCCTAATTTGCGAGGCAAATTCAAAACTTCTGAAATGGCGTTGAGAAAGGGAGGTGAGAAATAAACCGAAGAAACTCTGTTTAAACTATTCTGAAATGGCCTCGCCGCCAAAAGAAAGTGAGTTGAAGTTAAAATGTATAATAGCTGGGTTTATAGGGTAAAATGATTCTTATTTCAATTTTTAATGTCGGTACTAAGCCATGTTTACGAGCGTATAAGCATAGCTCTAGGTTTGAACTAGGTTCTGTAGCCTATAGGCTACAACAACTGACACTGCTTGGCTTTGTTGGCAAATATTCTCATGATATATAGATATCTCATCCAAAACGCTCCTGCTCCCCTTTGATTTTTCTGACATTATTTGTATAATATTTTAAAACATCCATTACCATAGCGGCATGGATGCTTGCTTACTCAACTACGACCCTGGCCTATAGGTTATAAGATCACCGTAAATAAAAGTATTATAAATGCCTGCCTACGGTAAAGGTTTTATTTATGTGTGGTATGCTTGAACAAAGTGGAAGTAGGTCCCCCAAAGATTAGTCTCAAGTTGCCAACAGTTGCATGAGTCTAGCCACGTAAAATCCGTGATATGGACTGGGGAGCACAGGCTAACATGAGCCCGCGCGGCTACCCGTGTTTCAGAGATGATTTTGAGGTATTGCAAAAAATCTTTTTGAAACCAAACAAGCAGATGCTACTGTTAGGATGTCTGACACAACTACAAGAATCATGTTATTAACTCATTTCAATAATACCTCAAAGTAATTTTTTCGCTTTGTTAGATCTTGGGTAAAAATGAAATTTGAAGAATTGATTGCCGTATTACAAATTAGCACAAACAGTTGTTTTAGACCAAATCTCTCGATCATTTCGGTGTTCATTCAGGAATCTCGCCGCTAACCACTCGTGAAAAGTTCCGTCACCGGCACTAACAAGATGGCGCGCCTGAGAAAGCAATGTAATATCGACCAACGCGATTACACCGCGATCTAGTTTATCCGAAGAGGGAGAATAAGTTACCCCCTTCGATTCCTTCAAAATGCGGTCATGGATATCTTTAAAGACATTCTCATTGAGATGTTTTGTCATGCGATAGCGCACTAACGACCCGGAACCAAAATCTCCCATATCTGTGGCAACCAAAACTTTTGATAAACCATGTGTCTTCTTTAGAGCCACCAGCACCTGCATTACAAAGTAAAAAGTTGCATGAAAAGCAGTTGAAAAGATTTACTTTAAACAGCAATATTGATAAAAATGGATTTAAATCGGAGTTTTCAACCGAAATAAATCTCGAAAAACAAATGCGGACAAACCTCAAGAAGCAAATCGACGCACTCATAAAGTCTATCCAATGACTTTGCAAGCAAAATCTTTTCACCGCGTACGTATAAAGCGATGTAATTTCCGAGTAAATTTTCTTTTCTAAAACGTTGGACCTCTTGCATCACAGAAAGACCCGGCTTTAAAGCAAATGTGAGATCCAGTGAAGAGAACTTGAGATGATCTTCACGAAACTTTAGCCGATAGGCTTTACCGTCAATTCCTCTCCACTGAACAATATTTAAACACTTTGCATCCTTAACAATATCTCTTTCCAACACTCTCCAGTCAGTTATAACAGCACTATTAACACAAAACTGTTTTCCCGCAGTTTTCCTCATCGTTTTATCGATTAAAGTGCACTCCGTCCAACCTTTTTTGGTAGATTTCTGTAGAATGCTATTAAAATCGTTGTCTTTAATACCGAAACGTTTATTTGTGAACTTCTTCGAAGCAGTCGAGTTTTCAATGAAATGGATGCTCACATGATCAGCGTTGTTTGATGGACACTCCTTGAGGTATTCTTGTTTGTCTGCCAGTGAAGTGTACCCAGTTGTCCGGAGCAAGTTATCCAGGTACGTTTCATTAAAGTATGTTTCTAAATGCGACCATGCAGCATTTGGACCAAATTTAGTCTGTCTGACAAAAGGCCTGACAACAGATCGCCCGCTTTGTCCAGCCTGCACGCATAGGCTCAGTAGTGCTCGTGTGTTTTTTGATAGTTGGTCGTTGAGGATTTCATGCACAAAAACATATTTCTTTGGTGGAGATTTGTACTTGGCTTTCGGCAAAACATTGATCGCTTTTGAAAAGCTGAAGTTGGTGTATTTCAAAGTAACAAGAGATGTTTTGCTCTTCCAGTTTCGGACGATTTGCACTTGAAGATTTTTACGAATAATTCCATTAACTTTTCTGAACAAATCCTGATAGTCCAGACCTTTAATTTTTCCTTTGTATCGATAACCAGTTTTGCTTTCTGTCGGCCGCGAATTTGTCGTTTGCATTACGTTCACTGGGATATCGTAGGCGTTTTGATAAATTTTCACCACCTCATGATGCATGATGTGGCCTTTGTGAAAAAAAAACCATCCACAAAGGAAAATCTGAATAAGGACGAAAACGCCAACCCAAACGTGAAAAAAACGCAGCCATCTGTTGGAGAAAAAAGCCACATCAGTTTACACGAAGGAAATCTTCAAAAAAACTTAAATTTTCGCTTTTAGTCAAGAATAACAACAGTTTTATTAAAATAATGCAAATTTTCGCTATAAATATAGGAACCATATTGATATGTGGCAAATTTGTCTGGTAACTTACGTGACCATGTTCCTGGAATTTAGTGTTGTAACAACTTTCCTCAGCCTAAAAAAACATAAGTGAAAATACATGATGCGAAATAACGGGGAAAATGCTATTCGTGGGAGTACAATTAGTATTGAAAGCCATTATTTAATATTATGTACGATCTAATTTTGTAATGATTTTGTTATTAATAATATAATTGTGAAGAATTTTGTCATACACAGTCACAGATGATTGTTGAATATTTGCCGAACAAACCAGTTGGTCAGTTGGCTGAGTTATAGGTGCTTTTTATATTTTGACATTTTGTTCTACCTCCGTATAAAGTATAAAGTCAATAACATAAATAACAATCGCTTATCGGCATGTTGTCATGCATAATATATATGTAATATGTCGTCTGCATTTCGTGAAATTCAAAATGAATGACCAGTGTCTAATATTGATTGAAGGATTTGTCGCGCCGGGAATCGATCGTTTCATGTGAATCGGAGAATCACAGACGAATTTCTCGTTGATCTTTACATGCGATTGAGAAGCAACCAGATTCATTGACACGTCACTCTCAGATTATATCTCTGTAATGCTGGGATATGCTGTAATCTATTAATCGTCTTGTAAAAAATAAAATAAATATACCTTATACTTGAACTTTTGGTCTGTGTTGGTTTTCAAAATGTTGTTGTATTACTAGTGTAAAGGGCAATGCCAAATCGATAAGTGAGTATAATCACATATTTGTGTTCTACATTATTCAAATCTTTTCAAAATGAACACGGTCAGTGAACACGCATGAATATAGTGAATACGTTTTAAAGCGTTGCCCACACTGGCGAACTTCACACGCACACATGCATTTAATGATCTGTCTTTGTATAATTCGGGCCAATAGCATGTCTCATGTTTTGTTAAAACTTAATAACTGAAACCTTTTTTTAAACCTTGTGTTGGGTGTTTAAAAAGCGACCACTGTCTTAATATTCTAAAATCTACATTGTCCTTAGAGCTTATAGCATAATGATTCTAGAAAATCTTATTTGTTTGCGCACCACAAGACTTTATTTAGACAATTGTGCCGCTATACAGGGTGTCTTAAAAATACCGAAAACTATTGAAATCACTCAGTGTTAAAATTTGAATGCTGTGTTTACGAAGTTCATGATATTCTTATTTCATGATATTCGCTTTCTATATGATAAGAAAAGATGGAGTGTTTCTGAGTATTTGGCAATTTTGCGTTTTCGCTACAGGGTGTATAAAAAAGGCAAAAAATATTCACTTTGTGAGTTGCATAATAGAAGTACTTCTACTATTGTGCTTAATAAAATCGCGGTGAAATCCAGGCTTCAAGGGAACAGGTTTGCATTAAAGAAAAATAGTTAGAGAACAATGAACGAGGCAAAAGAATAACGTTAATTGAAAATTAATTATCAATTGTGCTAGGAAGCCTAATGCTTATATAAGACGTCTTGAAACGTGTTTGAACAGACGAGACCGGACCAGCGATAGAAGAACGTCGAAGAAGCTTTTTTGAAATGAGAAGGCTGGACGAAACTAGACTTGTCCTTTTGCTGTGCATCGTTATGGCTGTAGCCCAACCTTCAAGCAATCGGCCAGAAGGTATGAATGTATATTATATAGAACACTCAATGGGACCATATGACTCAACTAAGCCGATAAAATGAACTGTGCATGTGTCGGACGCAACTTTGCCGTCTTTGTTCTCTGTATCTTCATTCCTCAAAACGAAATATCGAAATTAAGCTTCAACTCCGTTTCGAGATGTTTTTGATCGCTTGTCGGCCAACTCTACTAAAATGTTCATCGCATTTTTACATCGTATTCTTTTTGCAGAACGAAAAGACTTATTCGAAGGAGACATAAACATTCCAGAACTGAAAGAAACTCAGAAAAGCGAGGCGAAGTTTGAACATGTTAGGAAATATAGGTCTTGCTTTACGTTAAGGTTTGGAATCACAGTTCAGGAAATACTCCCACGGACAAATCGACTCTCTTGGCGTCATTTATGATTATGGCAGTGTCATGCATTATCCGCGTCGTGCATTCTCCGGCAACGGTCGGGATACCATCGTCCCGAGGAAACCAGGAGTTGTAAGTTGCCTGCCTGCCTGCCTGGGCTTGCACTGGGGCCGGTTGTTCGAAAGGCGTTTAGTGCATTGAAATGCATTTAATACGTACTTCCATAGTTCCATTGACAATTAAACTATTCATATCGAAGTATTTCAGCTCAGTTTTTCGAAAAGTAAATAATTTTGTTTTTCATTTAAACTTATCCACCGTTTAGGCTAAACGAGTTTCGAACAACCGGCCCCTGGACGATAAAGCTGTTCGCTGTATCGTTTATAATCTACATTTTAATCATTTTCACATATTTACCAGGAAATTGGTCAACGCAGTCGGCTGAGTGGCAAGGACGCACTACAAGCAAACCTAATGTATCAATGTTTATCCACAATCGTACCCCCGCAGTCATCAACTATCCCTCCACCGGAGAACAGTGCTCCAGAAGGTAGATAAGCATTGCAGTTTTATTTATCAGCTTTTATCTTGCATAGTAGAGAAGAGTATGACAGGTTCTTTAGGGTTTTATCGAAATCTAATTTTGTGAGTGGATTAATTAAGAACTGGAAATTAATTGTGTTCAACATGATGAAAGCAAAATTTTTCGTTTTCAATTTGAACCATTCACTTTTGTTTTGTTTCCTGTAGGGTTTATCATGCATCTTCAATCTAAAAAGTGCTTTTACCCGGCCGGCGATAAGGTTGAGGGAGAAAACCACCCAGTTGTACTGTACAAGTGCGATAAGCATACCGGACGTTTTCGAATGTACGAGAATGGCACCATTCAACACGTATTGAGCGGCATGTGTGTACATCCCAACGGGGATTGTTTACCCCCGGAAGATGGCACTGAGCTGGTTTTATCCAAATCATGCGGTGGTCGTACGAGGTCGTTTTTGATCAACTTGGATGGTTTGCTAATTCACAGCAGCAAGACATGCGTGCGACCAGCCCACCACAGCGAACGAGTACCAGACAACACGAGGGTCGTAATTTACCGAACCTGCAGCGCTTCAAAATTTGCTTTTGCGTTCACCGGTAAGTACGTAAACTTTTCACGATATTTTCAGATGTTCTATGACCTCAATTCGTGTAACTTTAAGACCATATCATGTGATACGAGCATGCCTTCAAGCTTTTATTTCTTTTCAAACATTCAAACATTTCAAGATTCAAACATCAAATATTGCTATGTCTATTTTTCTAGCCTTACCGCGAACTAACAAGAAAAACCTTGCGCTCGGAAAGCCCGCGGGGCAAAGGTCCACCTACAAACAGGGCGTCGCATCCAAAGCTGTGGATGGAAAGAGGAATGGGAACTATTATGAAGGGTTCTGCTCTCATACATTACGATCGACTCAACCGTGGTGGATGTTGGATTTTGGTAAAAAGGTTTGTGATAGAACTTGATGAAATGAAAATGAAGCTCTTTATTCCACCCATCCAATGTAAAAATGGGAAACCGAAAATAAATCAAGTTCTTTTTGCGGTAGAAATAGGAAATAAGTAGCTTTTATCTTTTTTGAGGAACGAGTGGAAGCCGTCTACGTGTCCAATCGCGCTGACTGCTGCTGGTGGCGACTTTCTGGTTTTGAAATTCGTGTTGGCGACAAGAAGAACATCGCGGAAAACCCACAGTGCGGGACGAAACATTCTCTAAAACGCGGCGAAACGAGGGAAATTCTGTGCCGACCGCCGCTGGAGGGACGATTTATTAGCATATCAATGGTCCAACGATCCCGTGGAACATTTCTCACTCTTTGTGAAGTCGCTGTTTACGAACGTAAGTCGAGAGTCTAGCAGAACTAGCGATTGAGTAAACTACTTTGCAACCTTAGTTTGAGATATTTTACTAGCGATTGAGTGAACTACTTTGCAACCTTAGCGTTTAAGATATTGAAAAACAAGACAAATTTTGGTGATGCTTTTACTGTAGGGCATGGAATATCATAGGGCAGGAATATTACCTAAACATTTTAACAGAAATTGTTAGCTAGAAACTGGTTTTTATCTGATCGCCACATTTTCTTTTCAGCTTCAACTAAAAGTCCTACTAAAAAACCTCCAAAACCAGGCAGGAGAACTATAAAACGAAATAAACTGGTGTTCATGACCACTCGTGTCTTCCTGTACTAGATGACTTCCCCTCCTTTTTATGATAGAAATCCAAGGAGTCTTGCAACATTCAAATTCAAAGCTATGCGTTGTTCCGAAGTACCAGCAGGTCGTAAACAATTCGGTGGTGATGCTAACTGCAAAATGTTCGGAAAGTTTCGCCCGTTTCCGAAGTCTCACCGACGGCTCTTTCCAGCACATCGATAGTGGAATGTGTCTCGGTCCAAGAGGCGGTTGTATTAAATCTTCAAGGGATGCAGAGCTCGTCCTTCTTGATCTGTGTGGAATAGAAGAGACCGAATTTAGTTTTACCGAGAAAGGAAGTTTAATGCATGTGATGTCGAAAACGTGTGCTCGTCCAAGCAGTTATCCCGTAACAAACGAAGATACGTCGATGATTGTGTTAAATTCTTTATGTGACACGCCTAGAGACAAGTTCGAATTCGTAACAGGTACGAAATAATCTACGAAGATGATCTATTGTAAATCTGATAGTGCCAAGACACGGCTATTTCGTTTCTTAATGTACTACGTGTTCTCCATTGATATATTTTTAGTACCAATGCCAACACCGACATCCCTGCCAGGAATTGGAAATTGTGGTCGACCTACACTTTCGAAAGCTGCCTTGGTTATTGGTGGGGTAAATGCTAAACCAGGAGCCTGGCCGTGGCAGGTAATTAATCATGTTGTTGCTTTGGAACTTGTCAATGCATTGAAAACTGGACGCCACTACCTGGGAAGCACCTTTGATGATTTTGCAGTGCTGGAAGGAGAATATAAACAATAGAGTCTTATTTTTTCAGGCGGCACTCACGCGAGATGGTCGTTTCATATGTGGAGGTTCTTTAATAAACAAAAACTGGGTTGTAACTGCAGCGCACCGTATCAACACCCGAATAAGGTAAGTGGGAAGACAGACAGCTCATCTTATCGGTTAGATGCCTGGTCAATTACTGAAGCTGGTTTTAGGGTGGTTAAGGTGTCCTTTGACAGTTCGACTATACCATTACAATGTTCTCTACTCTTCAGCGCGAGGAGATACAAGGTTATACTGGGTGAGCACGACCGTGGACACGGCGAAGGAACCGAACAGACAATCATGGTGAAAAGATACGTGAGACATCCCAGTTACAACAAACCATATCCAATCAACAACGACATTGCATTACTTCAGTTGGATACTCCAGCGAGGATAACATCACGTGTTAATACCGTATGTTTACCGCCACAGAACTACAAAGTACCACCAATTATCTCAACTTGTTACATTACCGGTAAGTTGGGCTTGACGATGGTGAACTTATGGGACAAAATTTCAGTAGAGTTCAAAACAAATCAAATGTACGCAAAATGCAATTAGCTCTACCTGTGAGTGTTTAAGTTTGCATCTGCTACTTGGGTGAACTTTTTCTCCAGAAAATTGTCAGAATTCCAGATATTTAAAGCCTTATGTCTGAATGTTTAGATGTTATCTTTGTGACGCATGTTTGACGTTGATCAAAAATTATCAGTGAACTTTCTTTTTATACAGGTTGGGGAAAAATTCGACATCCTGGTAATTCGCATCCAATATTACAACAAGGAGAAATGCCTCCTATCTCAAATGCTGTTTGTCACGAGAAACTAAAGAAACAACAAGGTTAGTTATCAGTAAAACATGACTTTACGATCCTATATGAAACTTTCAAACGTAACGCAAACTCAGATGATCTACATGCACGATAACTTGGGCCATATATAGGCATAGGTATTTGAAAATTATAGAAACAAGCCCGTAACTTCATATTTTAACCTCACAAGGTGGTTCGTCACTGACCATCACCGAGAACATGTTATGCGCTGGAAAAGAAGATAATGACATCAGCGGTTGTCATGGAGACAGTGGAGGACCTTACGTGTGCAAGGACAAAAGCGGCCGTTGGTTTTTACAAGGGATCGTGAGCTGGGGCAGTACGCGATGCCGAATCTCCGAGATCTACACCGTGTTTGCGAGGGCAGCGAGATTTCGAACGTGGATCGATAAAGAAATCTTGGAAGTATCCGCTTAACCGGGAATTGGAGAGAATTAGGTACATTTAATATTGAAATTATAGCATTCAATTTTTATTTTTTTTCAATTATTCAAATTTTTTCAATGACTTAGAGTATATATCGAGTCAGAAAAGTCAAATAGGAAATATATCACGAATGAAGTAATTTACAGCTTGAATTTGTATTCGACTCGTAAAGACGAAGGAAGTGTTCCACTTCTAACCAATTTGATGTTGCGCACTACAGTTTTCATGGTTGTATAAATCTTTTCATGAACGCACTGGAGAATTCTCGATCTTCTGAACACAATTCGAGAGCTTTTGTTCAAAATCGCTTTCCCATGCCCGATCCAATTAAGGTCTATAGAAATCGTAATGGTATTCAACTCCTGTATTATTGCAGAAGTGTACGTCACGGTAGAGAAAATATATATATTAATTCAACGCGAGAGAAACTTAGAAAATCGCAGCGTCTTTGCTGTCTTTATTTTTCCTTCATTACTTGCTAGCCGTTTCCGTTGCTGGGCATTTTCTCTCGACCTAGTCCCCCGTAACGTGGACGTGTTGCGAAGCCAAACCGAAAGCACTGTTAACAACCGCTTAATTACACGCATACCGGAATTTCAGCAATCCTCAAAGGTTACAAGACTGCATTTACCGTGTGTGAGTTTGTTTCCAAGTCGCATCGGATCTATCGAACTACATCTACTTGGCTTAAATAACTATTCTGCACAGACTCTTTTTATGTAAGTATATAGCAGACATCTAGTGCTTCCTAGTGCTCAAAATAAAGCGGGTTTTATACTCGAACTGATGTCATCTATAAACGCAATGGTTGGTCGAATGCTCGATCAATACAAGTTATACGAAACGTGTAATATCTACAAAATTATAGCCATAACACAATAACATAAAGTGATATAAGTATTTATGACACCAGTATAAGTAGACGTTCAACCTGTGTTATTTGCATTTCATTTTATTGTACTGGAGCAGCTGTTGTTCTGTTGTTGGGTTAACGTCTCACTGCGTTGGCTGTGTGTGTAAGAACAGCGAAAATGATCGTGCTTCTAGAAAGAAAAACGTCTAAAACCGCATACATCAAAGGTGCACAAACTTCTGAGAAACTCCTGTTCTAACGACACCGAACTTTTACGTCTTGTCTCCCAAAACCATGTGTCGTTGATTGAGGGTCTATACAGGAAGTATAGACACTATACTCTTGAGCTCTTTGCATGTATATCAGTATATGTATGTCTTTACGACTTACATTTTCAACCTACGCCGGAATGTTGTCTCTAAAGTGGTTCTCTGACTGTTTAAACGTTTGCAGAAGCTAAAGCTTTAAAGCTTCATACAATTTTTATATACCTATTAAGACTATTTGGCAAATTGGCGAGGAATCGCGACGTGATTAAAATTTAATAAAATCAGTTGCAGACAAAATTTATACGCAATCACTTCAATCGCTTCAAACACCGCTTTACCTTTATTGACCAATTTCACGAGCTAAAGACTCGATACTTAGCTACAGGAAATTTAGGAATGAAAAGAAGAAATCGGTTTGCGCTTAGTGATGTGAATAAATGCACCTCAGTTAACAGTCGATTTCGAAAGTAATTTGGTTCGTCACTGACGACTGCGTTTTCTGAGAAAAGAACTTACCACAAGTTTAATTAAGGGGCTCGTCGTAACTATAGAGTATAGTCCTAACAATTCCAAATAACCCTGTGTTGCAAAACGTATCGAACGCATCTTATTTTGGAGTATCGGAGTCCAAGTTACATACAAAACAATACTTTTATAAGACAATACAATATATATTATTCCCGGCAATTCAACAAATTTGCATGCGAATGATGCGAACACAAATACTGGAGTATAAACATAATTTTGAATATTAATCAGTTGTCTTTCTGTTTCTGACTTTGTCTCCCTCGGTTGTAAGAACTGATCGATATTGCTTAAAGTGATATTCTTGCCTGTATAGGAGCACTAGGATTAAACAAGTTTATATAAATATGTAAAGTTTCGGGTTGACGCAGTAGATGTCACTAGAAGTGTAGTATTACACTGGAAAATTCTTTAATCTTCGTCACACTTATGGCTGAATGTACGTTGAGAGTGAGGATAAATACTTTAAGCAAACATGATTTTACGATCATTTTTCAAGAAATTGTATTTTTAAGAATCGTCTAAGTCGTTGTCATAACGTATCAAATTCATTTTACTATATTGAAGCATGGCAGAACAACCACCACCCTACCCAGGAGAGAATACAAAGCAACCATTACCTGCAGATTACCCCGCTCAACCCTCCTACGCTCCTCAGTCCACGCCTGGCTACCCTCCCCAGCCAACTCCTGGCTATCCCCCTCAAGCAATGCCGTCTCAAGCTGGTCCATCCTACCCGGGGCAGCCTCAGCCGGCGACGGGTTACCCTCCACAACCTGGGTATGGGCAAAAGGGGTACGCCCCTGGCTATCAACCCGCGCCGCAACCATATGCACAGCAACCGACCAGTATGATAAACAATACCAACACAACTGTTGTCGTTACAGTAAGTTAGACTTCTTTATCATTTCACCAGACAACAAATAACTCAACTGATCTTTGTTGCTTTCCAAGCAGGCCACGTTCAAACAGGGGCGTAACTAGAAGGACAATTGGGTGGTGAATATTCATGTATTCAGTTTCGAAGGATTTCTATTGCAAACTGTTGCACTTCAAGCAAATGATGTCTCATTAACTATTACTTTTTTTAGCAACAACCGACAGTGACAGCAACCGTGATTCCTTACGTAAACGATTACATGGGTCTGTCCATATTCTCCTGCCTTTGCTGCTGTTGGCTTATTGGGTGTTTTGCCATCATTAAATCCAGCGAGGTATGTGCATGTGATGAGATTATAACCTAAGGCAAAAATTATACCCTCTAAGCCCTCTTTATAGCACGTTTAAGCTAGTCGAGAATTAAGACAAACATCGATTTAGGCTTCGTATCCTAAGAGCAACCGATGCATTAAATGTAGTCTTCCGGTCACTGATATTGGTCTTTTATAGGCGAGAAGTCATTTCAACGCAGGGAATTACACCCAAGCCATGTCTTCAGCATTGACAGCAAGAAATCTTTCGTATGCTTCGATATTTTGTGGAATTGGCTCCGTCATCTTGATCATTATTATAGTTTCTGCAAGCTAGATACATTGTGATTAATATGCATGCATGAAAAAAGCATCGTGATAGTAGTTTAGTTTAGTCTTAGATAGCCGAAAACGTTTGTTTTAGATCGTAACCATGGGATTTTGATCAACGCTTCCCGTCCTTTCCTCTACCGTTTGCATTTGAATACAATTTCCAATTGGTCCAAGAGTCTCAGTTCATCACCTGAAACATAATTTTTCATAAAAATTTTTTTAGTTTGCAATCATCTCGGCTTATATTTTTAAATTCCTAAAATTTGATCGAAAACTCACGGTTGTCCTTTGGTCCCCCCCCCCAGCATTTGACAAAACTTTTTCAAGTTCTTGCTGAAAATATATTTGATGAAATTAAGCGATTTAGTTGTTTAACGTGGGAAGATAATAAACATTAGCGTAAGTTAAGTAAATAAACACCAACTCTAAGGCAATGGTAATATAACCATTTTATATATACCACACCACATTTGGAAGGTCGTAGTTTAATAGTAATTTGTTGCATGATCAATTGTCACATCGATTTGTATTCTGAATAGTAAGAAAGCCAATATAACGAACATGATGCTAAAACGTGCACAGTGTCAGATTATACTTTTCTTCGTTCCGTTTCGACGATGAATGGAGGCGCTGATATATATATTTGTGAAGTAAGATTATACACTAGCTTGGGACCTTGGATTGCTTTGAATTCAAACTACTGCATGACTTCTCAGCTAAGCGTCTTATCACAGCTAGGAAGACTTTTCAAGAACGCATTGTACGTTTAAATATTGTTGCGGGCAAAATCAAACTTCAAAATATGAATTTCATTTCGCTATTTTGCTGCAGTGAAATGCATGGCATTTCTAAATTTGGCCCTCTGCACCTCAGACCAGACGGGATCCGAAAATATTTGACATGTTGCATGTTTGTGGTCATTTTAATCTGCCCTTACGAGCCATATCAGAAGTCTCCAGGAAAATCACAGTTCGAACTTGACCATTATCTGTCAACGATTGGGAATACAATAGCGTATAGAATGACAAACGGAGATATCAACACTGGATTTGTGCGTCACCCCGTCACAGCGCAGTACAATTTCCGCCCCGTATTTAACTTCCTTGTGTTTATCCACTTTTCTCAAATTCAGTAAAATGGATACGAATTTTCGTCCGATTAAGTCGTTTCTTGGCATATTCTGTTTCGCTATCCTGGCGCATCTCATTCAAGGTATGTGTCGCATTTCTTTTCATTGGGTATGAATCTACACTGTGAAATACCGATAGATATTTCAACTACAACTGGGAAGGAAATTTAAACATCAGTGTTAATAATGCCAATGGCTATTTGACATAGCACTTGTTAGTGCAAACAATTAAACTGCTGGTGATCAAATTGATTGTCGTGCTTTGAAATTGTTCACTAGTAACGTTAGTCATTGGCAAGCCTGTTAGTTGAAAGTTAAATACGTATTTATTCGCATATAATATGCAAATTTGCCTACTATTCGCTGGTTGCACAAATTTTGTAGATAACGGCTATAACTATGGCAAACGCACTATAGCGCACATCTATATATGACGTTTAATACGTGAGTCTAGATCTCACCTAGTCACCTTAAGACTTGTGAAAGAACCAAGCTTTCTGGAATGACTGCGTTCAATAACTTTACGTTATCTGGAAATCCGTCGTTGAAAACAATCCACAGATATGTTGCATGCTTTCCCAAAAAATTGTTACCTTATTTGCTGGAAGCATTTTGGAGTAAGAAAGTCTTCAAGACCGACAGAATCTTCAACTTTTTTGTATCGTCTACGAAGGTTAATCTCAGGTTATCAAGTGGTGACTGATAATAAGTAGCAGGCAGCATAAATAGCATGCAAACTGCGCCACAATGGGTCGATCATTACTGCGTGTCACTTGGTCAATTCTAGGTAGAGTTTTCGTGCCATCATTGTATCTATTATGCAATAAAACTCGACGGAATCTTGCTGATTTTATTGTACAAAGCCCGCTTGAGACTTTCCTGTATTGTAGACAGTTATTTCTCCCATCTTAAAAGTGATTTTACGAGTATTCTTGTAAGCGTTGATGATTATAGCTTCAGAAGCTCTGCTGTGTCCACGAACCAACGCTGTGCCATCACGTCATTGCACGGATGAATGCATAGTACAAGTTGGGTGTCGTAATTCCAGAAAGAAGTGCCTTTGCGACGGCGACTGCGGATACAGTTGTGTCTATCCCAGTAAGTACATAACTTGCATGCCTTGTCCTTGAATGTCCTGTGCACAGTTCATGAAGATCACTCAGATGTACCACAATCAGGTGTACCAGACTTCTCCGGCGAATTGGCCGCCATTTCAGAAAACGAAATGTCCTGAAACGCTCTTCCTCTTTATTTCAGACATACGTTGTTCACGACCCAGAAGGATTAGAAATGGAAGAGTAACTTGGAATCAACAATATCGATTCAGCGGTACCCAAACAGTCAAATGTAATCCTGGTTTTCAGCTGTCGGGATCTGTGATAAGAACATGTCGCGGAAACGGATACTGGGATGGAAAACAAGCAAGATGTAGTAAGGTTTTATGTTACTTTTCAAATAGAGCTGTCGATCACATTTGCCAATATCTGTCCGAATGAATTTGAGGAGTGAGATAACCCTCAAAAGAGAAGAGATAATCTCGTTGTTTACGCCAGAAATTGAAATTGAGACACAAATTATTCGTTTAGAAAGGTTGCAAAATAATTGTCAGGATCCTGGAACGAGCGATTTGCTGTTGCGTACAACTAAAAGAAAGAAATCATACAAACCTGGTACCAGGTTAAACTTCTATTGTCCACACAAATTTTCTCTAAGGGGATCAAGATCTATAGTTTGTGGAAGAGATGGGACATGGTCAGCCTCCGTACCAAAGTGTGTTGGTAAGATATAATGCCTCGTATCAAGAATTAAATAGATGTTGGCGCTGAGAGTTTTTAAGCCTTTGCCACATTGCAAAATCGGGTATTATTCACCTAGGGATTGTTACTATGCATACCAAGGCTTCACAGAAGATATGCGCAAAACTGATGGAATTTTTTTTCTTTTTTCAGCCCAAAAATGCACGAAAGCAGTTTTGCCTGCCCACACGTATGTGCGAATACCTAGCAACTGGGAGAGCCGACGTGAATATGGCGTACGCTTCAGTTTGTCATGTGACCATGGCTATACCTCAATTCAACGCGGCACGTTGCTATGCGACGTTCCTGATTGGCAACTTGAACCCAGTACCTTCAAATGCTTCCGTGAGTCTCGTTCATGATTTTTACCAATATTCTCACCATTTAAGGTAATGTTACGATAAAACAACTTTCAACATCAACTCGCAACGCAACAATGTTTTAAAAAAGGTTCATGCGTCGAATATGATATATATGAGCTAGTTTGTAACACAGATATTGTTTTGGAAACAAGTTGAAAGTTTATGAACTGTTTCTACTTTTATTATTGTTGCGTTGCGAGTTGATGTTGGAAGTTGTTTCGTGTATAACATTATCTTTAGCCAGAGACGCGGGTAAAACACTAAAGTCTACCTTCTTCTCCTCAACATATTTTTTATTTTTTAGCGAAAAGCTGTCCTAATCTTGGAAGACCAAGAAATGGAGATATAAGGGGTTTATTTCATTTTAAGGAGAAAGTTTATTACACATGTAAAGATTGTTATGAGTTAAGAGGACCTTCATACCGGGTTTGTCAAGCGGATCAGACTTGGTCTGACACAGAACCTACTTGCGAGCGTAAGTAAAGTTGCCAGTTTTGGACCGTATTTTTTGAAAGATTCACTCGCGCATGCGCAGCGTTCTCGATGTATGGTAGACTTCTTCTCCTGAAGAACATGGCTATTTTGTATCTTATGCAGCGGTCAGATGCAGCTTTCTTCAAAATCCAACTAATGGCTATCTGACCTCAAACTCACAGCAGTGCAACAGCATTGTTGAGTATCATTGTGATCATGGATATAATTTGAATGGATCACCCAGAAGGCGCTGTCAGAGCGATGGCACGTGGAGTGGAGATGAAGCAACTTGTGAAGGTAAGACTGTGAATTTGTCTCCTATTACAATCCCCTTACTATCACCATAATAACCATCATGATCATGACTATCACCTACACACACAAATGAAAATGGTACCAACATTGGCATATATATGGTATCATTATTATCGTCACCATTATCATTTCATCATGCATTGTCATCATTGATGATTATTTACGTGCCTTTATCATCACCATAAGAAATATTTTCTGAATAACCATCATCGTAACCACCACCACCATTTTCATTTACCATCACCAGCACCATTATTTTCATTACCATCAAGCACTTTGTCTTTGTCTTAAAAAGTATGTTTATCTTTGCAGCTAAACGTTGTCGGGATCCAGGCACATTATTAAAGGGAAGATTCGAAGGAGATTTAGAAGTCGGAAAAACTATTAAATTTTCGTGTGATGACTGTTACAAACTGCTCGGCAGCTCAACCAGGACATGTAAATCTGATCTAACCTGGACTGGCCAACAGCCTACTTGCATTGGTAAGCTTAATAATATTCCCTTTTTTGTTTCTCTACATTGTCCAGCCGCCAGCGAATGAATAATCGTGTGTTAAACTTATAATATAACTTGTCATCAAATTAACAAATGTCTACAATAGACCAAAATTCTTTCGACGTTTCGAGCTAAGGACGTTTGTCGGGAGAGAGGGCAGTTGCTGTCACATTTATGAAAATCACAGATGTGTTTTAAAATAGCTGTATTATCAGAAGGTGGGGTAATTCAAATGCTATGCAGCAAAACGTAACTCGTGTAACACTACCTTTCACTCTACATTTAGCTGTTAGATGCAGCCGATTGCAAAGGCCAAGGAATGGACGAAGCGTTGTATTTTCCACCTTTTGCGGGAGATCTACAGAATTCCGATGTGACCCTGGTTATCAATTAAGAGGCTCATGGAAAGTAACCTGTCAGGTTGACGGAACCTGGTCTGCAGGAACTCCACTTTGTCTCCCAGGTAAGACGCTTATTGTTCTGAGTACAGATTTGCCCGGCCTATTGCTGAATAAGTAAGCCGAACATTAAATATTGTATAGATAGGCGGTTCTTTAGTTTCTCTGTTCAAACACTGAGGAAGGCAAAGGTTATGGTAATAATATTTAGCTTAAAGTAATTTAGTGTGTTCTTTTTTGAAACAAGCCAAGCAACACTTCTTTTTAAATTTATGTCAGTCAGAACTGATCCACCAAATAAACTAACAACTGCAGTCATGACTACGATACCTACTATCTTCAGCACAAGTGCGAATCCAACTCTACCAAAAACTACGTCCATGGTTTTAAGTAAGTATTCATATGTTCACAGTTCATATGTTCACAGTTCATACATACTGCATGCACTGTTATTCAGTAGTCTTTATCACTGTTTTTACTGAATCTCTCTCCCTCTGGGGCTGGTTGGAGACCTTCCTTTTTTACATTCCAGTTCAAGTCACAGGCTGTTTTAAACATTCCCTATGCTGAACAAAGTTTAGTTTAATGCATCTAAGCACTTACCTTCTACTTTGAGTCGAACAACCGTTTAAAACCGATTCAATTGGGTCGATTCCATTTGGACACTCGGAGATATGCTTCTTTCTCCTCCAGAATCGACTTGTGGACATCCTTCTCTCCCGCAAAACGCAAAAATACACCTGCACCGAAAAAATATCTTACTGATTGGATGCAAAGAAAATTATGTCAGCCTAAAGTTTGGCTGGCTCCAATGTAACTTAAAAAAACGTCAATGGACTATCAAGCAACGTGCAAAATGTTTGGGTACGTGTAGTCTCTCGTGGAAAATTTCTGACTTGGTCAGCATATTTAGATTACTTATTAGGTTGTATCAAAGATTAAAGATAATTTAAAGTGACGATATTTTGGCAGATGTAAGCTGATGAAGATATTGGTTTTTTTGCATGTTATTTAGCAAAAAGTTGTTCAGATCCTGGTGCTCCTATGCATGGCTATAAACAGGGTGTATCATACTTCATTTCCGATGAAGTGACTTTTGGTTGTGACCATTGTTATCGTTTGGTTGGCAGTTCAAGGAGGACATGTTTGAAAAATGAAACTTGGAGTGGAACCCAACCAACTTGCGAATGTTAGTTATGTACGTCATCATCATCATCATCATCATCATCATCATCATCATCATCATCATCATCATCATCATCATCATCATCATCATCGTCGTCGTCGTCGTCATCATCATCATCATCATCATCATCATCATCATCATCATCATCATCATCATCATCATCGTCGTCGTCGTCGTCATCATCATCATCATCATCATCATCATCATCATCATCATCATCATCATCATCATCATCATCATCATCATCATCATCATCATCATCATCATCATCATCATCATCATCATCATCATCATCATCATCATCATCATCATCATCATCATCATCATCATCATCATCATCATCATCATCATCATCATCATCATCGTCATCATCATCATCATCATCATCATCATCATCATCATCATCATCATCATCATCATCGTCTTCATCGTCGTCATCATCATCATCATCATCATCATCATCATCATCATCATCATCATCATCATCATCATCATCATCATCATCATCATCATCATCATCATCATCATCATCATCATCATCATCATCATCATCATCATCATCATCATCATCATCATCATCATCATCATCATCATCATCATCATCATCATCATCATCATCATCGGTGCATTCGACCATGGTCGAGTATGCCGTTTTTCGGTGTACATAATAGCCCAATGACAATTACTTTTCTTTTTAGTAATAACATGTCCTACGCTCAAAAACACAGACAACGCTACTGTTGAGCAATCATCTCGTTCATGCAATGAAAAAGCCACATATACTTGTAGAGATTCCAGACTAACTATTTTGGGTTCTGGTCAAAAAATTTGTAACGAAAGCGGAATGTGGGAAGGCGCAGAACCAAAGTGCATCTGTAAGCTCGATTTCAGTGCCTGATCAACTAATACACGTATGAATCATTAAGATGTATTCTGCATATCCTTCTTTAGACTCGAATCCGAACATAGCGCTTGGAAAACCAACCTCAATATCTTCTTTTGACCCAGAATGGGGCGGACCAGGAAGATTTGCAGTTGATGGTAAGAGAGCAGGAACAATGTTCCATACGAAATGGGAAATTGCACCATGGTTAAGAATCGATTTACAAAGAGAGGTAGGTATACTTTGGACACGATTTTTAATTTAGTTATTATTATTTAAACAGCATCAGTTCCGATTGTTTGCTATCCTTTGCCGAAATGGATCACAGGCAACCTGATACTAATCAAAGCGTAAAGCAATCGGGCAAATGCAATATCTTTTTTAATGAAATGTGATACGATACTGCCGTAAAGTCTTTGTCTCCCCATTTGTTGCTTCCTCTGGTCTTCTCAAGGCTGATCATTAGCCATAAAAATAGTATTTTATATTAAATTTGGCTTGCAATATTTAGGAAACAATTTCAACGGTAATCGTGGTTAATCGTCGAGATTGCTGCGTTCGTAGAATGAATGATTTCACGGTTTCTGTTGGTAACAATGGCACTGAAATACGAAATAATGCTGCATGTGGTGGACGCTCCAAAGCTCGAGTTGGACCTATGATTATCGATTGTCGCAAACCGTTGCGTGGTAGATATGTTTCTGTGTATTTGCCATTTACAACGTACCTGCGTACGATGAACCTGGTTGAAGTCGAAGTGTATAGACTAGGAACAATTGAATAAACTTGTAATTTCACCCAAGTCTTTTACCTTCTGTAAATTGAGCATATTTTCATGGGCGTACCTGCCTATCAATTTTGCCTTGAAATTTTTCTAGTTATATTATAATCCCTGCAATTTAAAATGAATTATATGCGTTTGCTAATACATGTTTACATGGAGACAAATAACTTTTTATACATATTATAAAATCCACAAGGTTTCAAACTAAACCTCATATTCCCATTTCTGGTAACGTTCCAGTCTACTTAGAGTTCAACGGCTTTTTTACTGCCCACGCGTGACGTGGTGACGTCATAGTTCCACGCGCAAATGACCCGAAGGGATGAAAACAAAACAACCCAAAAGATCTTGGCTGAAGCATCAAAATATTTATTAAACGAAGAGAGAGGTTCTCGGATATTATTTAAAGGATTTATTCGTCCGTATATGGAAACAAGCGACGATGAACAAGGCCAACGGCCGCTGCTTTTTGATACGGAGGAACCAGAATCGAAAAAAACTCAAATAGTAGGATTACTGAAAGCTAAAAAATGGGCAATAGTATTTGTAATTGCTGGACTTCTTGCTATTGGGATTGTTGTTGGTTTGGTGGCCACTAAATCATCTATTGTGGATTGCTCGTCGAAAACAGACAGCGATAAATGTTTCTTTACAGGCAAAACTCGTTTGCCTAAAATTTTAGAGCCGCTAACATACACCGTTCGCCTACATCCGAATCTTACAACGTTCAAATTCGACGGCACTGTGGAAATCGTAGTGCTATGTTTAGAATCCACAAGACGAGTTGTTTTCCATCAAAAGGATTTACAATTTAGCAAGGATGATATTACAATTCACGAAGTTGAGAATGGCAAACTAAATGGAGCTGTTGGAGTCGAGGAAATGCGCTTGGATCTGAAGGACGAGCAAGTCATTTTGAAAACGCGTCAATTACTACACAAAAATAAAGAATATGCCATTAAAGTCACATTCAAGGGAAATTTAAACGAGAAATTGGAAGGCTTCTATAAGAGTTCGTATAAAACAAAAGCAGGTCAAATAAAGTAAGTTTCATTATAAAGACTTTTGTTTATATACCGGAATATTTATACAGCGCAGTTGGAGCTGAAACGACACTAAAAAGTTTCCTGCAATATGTCAGTCAAAAGATTAATATATAAATGGATATGCCTGATCTTGTTCATAGACGTACTAATGTACATCTGTTCTAGATTGGTTACAACGTTCAGAATATTGTTCACTGTGGTCTAATCTGTTACTCTGCGATATTTGTAGTTGCATGTGGTTTGTCTTTATAGCGGTTCCTCTCGACTTTATTAAATTTAGGATGGTAATATGTCTGAATATTTCAGAACTTTGTAGTTTTTTTAGCTTATTAATACAGGGCAAAATATCATTGGGCCATACTGATCACATGCTGTGTGTGGGTTTACTCAATAATAGATGCCATGGCTAATGTTGTATAGCATCTTTTGTACTCATATCTTTTTAACTTTCATGTCATCGCATAATTTGTTTTTCAAATTATGTCTTTAACCGACGACATGTGCCATTTCCCCCCTCATTTTAAAAAGATATTTTTTGTTGTAGCATGCTAGGCTGCTAGGTAGAATCTTCTTTCAATGGTGGATGACCAATATAGTATTACAAGGCTTCTTTTAAGTAGACTTCTGAACAGGAAATAAGACATTTTTGGGTCAGTGATTCGCTGTCTAGGTTACTAAAGGCTTGTGTGGTTCTGCTTTAGTTCCATCATATTATTTAGCATGATTATGATAACAATAGCAAGAGTACCAAAGATGGCCTGGGATTACTAAAACCGTACATATGCATATATCTAAATATCTATCACACAAGTACCTGCATGTATAGGTATAGTAGTTTGCTATTCATACTATGGTAATGGTTGTGGTATATTTATGTCTGTATAATGTCACATCAAGAACAATCTTGTTATGCTCCATTACAGATGTGATATTAAGATTATCATGCCTCAATAGAGAAGTATGACAGTTTAATATAGCCAGTGTCTCCTATGCAGATTTGTTGTATAATGTGATTTTAAAATAACATAAACATCTGTATGTCACTCACTGAGGTCACACGACGGAGGAAATTGACTTTTCATTTGTTCATAGCTCAATACTCCTTGATTGGAAATATAGTCCAATTACTATACTTTATAATATAATTTCCTTTTCAACTTACTGCATTGCATTTATGAAAACAAACAATTATAATAGCATGAAACTGCTAAAATACAAAATACATTCAATATAGATTTGTTATTTTTATTTGTTCCAAATTCACTCTCTGAATATAACAACTTTAAAAATGCTGTAACAGAGTTATTTGCATAATAAATTATATGTACAACTTCGGCAAGCATAATTTTCTTTCTAGGTACCTGGCTACAACTCATTTTGAAGCAACTGCAGCAAGACAAGCATTTCCATGTTTTGACGAACCAGCAATGAAAGCAAATTTCACCATAATACTTGTCCACGAGAAGCACCTTGAAGCTCTTTCTAACATGCCAGATATGAAAAAGGTAGAAATCTAAGCTTTTTGTTTCATATCAGACCTGCAAAATTGCAAATCCTCCAGAATGATAGTTGAGCGTGTGAGCTAGCTAGTTGCATTCAATGTGGTGTAGTTTTACAAGATGTTCAACAATTTGATGTTTTTGTCTTCATTTTTTTAGTTGGACATTGGCAATAACCTTACTGAAACACATTTTGAGCAAAGTGTAAAGATGAGCACATATCTTGTGGCATTTGTTGTTTGTGACTTCAAACATGTTGGAATAACAACTGCTAATGGCAAGAAGGTAAGTGAGGCCTTCTAGTTTTTATATTTCTTGTCAACTATTTATATAATAAACCGAGGCATTACGTGATATTCCAATAAGAGAATCCTCAGGGTTTACAGTGGATGCATTTTTTAGGTCCGTGTTTGGACTCCACCTGAGGAAATAAATGAAGCTGAGTTAGCATTGACTAGTGCTAATGTTATTTTGACTCATTATGAGAAGTATTTTGGTGTAGCATACCCTCTTCCTAAACAAGGTTTGTGAATTCTTGCAGCTTGCTTGTAACTTCTTAGTTAACTATTTTTTTGTTTTCTTTGCTGTCTCTTAACTTTCTATTTCATCATTGCTTCAGATTTGATAGCCATTCCTGATTTCTCGGCTGGTGCTATGGAGAACTGGGGTCTAATCACCTATCGACTAACGTCATTACTTGTTGACCCCAAGGAATCATCAACCAGTAATAGGCAATGGGTTGAGACAGTGGTTGCACATGAACTTGCACATCAGGTGTGAATGAATATATTTATAGGCTTTTGACTTAGGCAAGGGGAGAGGGGACACTGTACCACAGCCTCTGGTTTCTGGGTAGATCAGTCATATTGACAGTTAGTTTGTTTAGGTGGATTTGGATTGGATAGCGTGTCTCTGCCATTGTCATTGCAAACTACCGGTAGTTATTTCAATTAAATTATTTAAATATTAACATGTATTCTTGTAGTGGTTTGGTAATCTTGTGACAATGAAATGGTGGGATGATTTGTGGTTGAATGAAGGCTTTGCAAGCTATGTGGAGAATCTTGGTGTCAACAAGTTTCAACCAGATATGAAAATGATGGATCAGTTTGTCATCTCAAATCTGCAGAGGTCAATGCATCTTGATCAACTTGCTAACTCACATCCCATATCTGTCGTTGTGAAGAATCCTGATGAAATATCAAGTTTGTTTGACGATATTTCCTATCATAAGGTGAGCTGCAGTTACTCTGTTACCCCAGGTCAAACAATATGGTACATGTATTGTCATGTCTTGTCTTTTTACCTTAATTACAATTATTGCCATCTATCAACAACAATCCTTCCATAGGTTTGCTCTTGTGATCCTGATCCCTATATACTCCTGATCCTGCTTAACACTATACACTCTTTGTGATCCTGTTTAACACTATATACTCTTTGTGATCCTGCTAACACTATATACTCTTTGTGATCCTGCTTAACACTATACATTCTTTGTGATCCTGTTTAAAACTATATACTCTTTGTAATCCTGCTAACACTATATACTCCTGGTGATCCTGCTAACACTATATACTCCTTGTAATCTCCTGCTAACACTATATACTCCTTGTGATCCTGCTTAACACTATATACTCCTGGTGATCCTGCTAACCCTATATACTCCTTGTAATCTCCTGCCTAACACTATATACTCCTTGTAATCCAGGGTGCTTCATTGATCAACATGCTCAACAATGTTTTGCATGAAGATAACTTCCACGCTGGTCTCAAATCTTACCTTCAAAAGTACAAGTTCAGTAACGCTGCGACAGATGACCTCTGGAATTCCCTTTCACAGGTAAAGTAATTTTTCTCACACTTCACTTGCTAAAGGTTCCCCTGGAAGGTAATGGTATAGGAGCGGGGATAGCCCCCTCGCTCCATAACCCCTGCCCTACCCTGCGGGGGAGATTGACGTGGTGACTACAATACTTATCTTGTTTCACACTTTCGCATAGAATGCTTCAATTGACGTAAAGAAGGTGATGGATACGTGGACTTTGCAAATGGGATTTCCTCTTGTCACGATCAAGAAAGAAGATGGCAAATATTTGGCCAAGCAGGAACACTTCCTTATCGATCCTGAAGCAAAACCTGCGCAAACGTCGCCGTACAAGTGAGTGTTGTGGGTGCATGGTTTACTTGAATTTTGACGGTCGCAGAAGTTTGCAAGCAGTAGAATTGCAAACCACGAAGAGATTTTCACAATTTTTCAAAAATATTTACGAGAGGACTGTGATGAAAATACTTTGATAAGAATCGTCTTCAGGTCGCAGCCGAATGTCTATTTTGAGCAAGTGCTATACCACATTTCGACATCTGATATTGACACTAATCACACAATGTATTATATATATTAGCTTCATCTATATTGTATAACGTTTATAGCATCCAGGGGGGCCGGTTGTTCGAAAGGTGAACAAAGTTATCCACTGGATAGTGACTTTTTCAACCGTCGTAAAAAAGCTTCGAAAATTCGATATAGCTATTTACATATAATAAATTTATAATCGTTAAGAAGTACTTTAACTTGAAAATTGTGAAGTTCAATCTTGGCCATGCCAAGTGGTGAGGATTTTTTTAACGTTTGAAGTAATCACTATCCAGTGGATAACTTTATCCACCTTTCGAAGAATCCGCCCCTGATGTGTATAGTAAATTATTTCTGAAATCTTTCAGTTATAAATGGTATGTACCTTTGACATACGTCACGGATAAAGGCAAAACTAATTCTGAACCAGTGTGGATGAACCTGGGTGATGGTGAGTGTTTATAGTAATTTTTACCGTCATTACTTGCTTGACAGAAGACTGATAAGAAGGGTCTGCTATTCTCTAATTGAACGATATATTCACTGAATAGTTCCCCAAGGAAAATAGTTCATTTTTACTGGAAATTTCTCCACATACACTGCCAGCCAAACCGTTCAAACCGTAATAGAACTTTTCCAAACTTTGGCTGTTATTATGATACTTCTGTTTACTTTTTATAGTCGTCCTTGATGTCCCAGTTGATGAGAACGGATGGTTGAAGGTAAATAGGGATCAAAAGGGTTATTATCGGGTGAATTATCCTCTTGGAAACTGGAAGAATTTAGCCAAGACATTGCAGAATAACCATAAGGTATGTACTGAAATATTTTGGAAATAGTTCACCAAATTAAAATGTCCCAAGTTGTAGATGAAAATAAAGTTCTAAACATTGGATGTTTCGCGTGGTGACCTATCGGTTATAGGGATCAATTAAAATGATCCATTTTGCAGATTTTTGCAGTAGAAGTGCTTCACAACATATAACATACATGCTTTTTACGCATTTACAGAGCTTATCACCAGCAGACAGAGCTGGTTTGCTTAATGATGTTTTCGAACTGGCAAGGTAAGCAAAACCTACATATACGGTGCTGTTTTAAAGAAACCGTATCGGAAATGCTTGCACGGTAGTTGAATCTAAGAATTTCACAATATTCTTCCTGTGTAGAGCTGGAAAGGTGAGCTACGAAACAGCTTTAGATATGGTTTCATACTTGGACAAGGAGAAAGACTACGTACCTTGGCGAGCAGCGACGTCGGGTTTATCTTATATCGGAGCACGTCTCTCGATGACTCCGTACTATGGATTGTATCAGGTATACACACGATTGCATGAAGTATTTTGGCAGCGTCGTTTCTTTAAAACGTATTTCATTATTTCCTGCGTCATTTCAGAATTATATTTTATCCAAAGCTACGCCAGTCTTGGATGAACTGAAGTTCGAAGACGAAGGTTCACCTTTACAGAAGTATGTTTTGAGAAAATACCGACCTGGCATTCTACCAAAGCACATACAGCGAAATGATCAACTCTGATTTATGCTTAGGTACTTACGAGATATGCTGTTCAGCACAACTGCATATTATGACTACAAACCTGCTGTGGACAAGGCAAAGGAACTCTTTAAAGAATTTATGGTTAATAATGCCAGGTAAAATAGATAGTTTTTTCGATGGCACGCATCTCTCTGTCTTTTTATATTGAAAGAGTCGAATATAGTCGAACCATTTGTTATCTTCTTTTGACAGATGCGAAAGAGTAAATAGTTATGAACTGTCTGTTTATATGTAGTTATTCGAATATTGATTACTAATCCGCTCGATCATATCTGTCAAAAGAAGAAAATCTTAAAGATGCATAGAAATTGATTAAGAAACTTTCTCTATAGTGTACGTGCCAACTTTCGCTACGTTGTCTACGACACTGGGGTTCGTCTTGGAGCACGTGATGAATGGGAGTTTATGTGGGATAAATATCAGAAAGAAATTGTCGCAGCCGAGAAGACAAAGTTGTTGTCGTCTTTGTCTGCTTCACGCGAAGCGTGGCTTTTGCAAAGGTGGGTTTATATAATAATTATACCTAAGATAACGAAAGCAGCATCTTCGTAATACGTTGAACATTTTGTCTTTTCTAGCTCCGTTAAGTCAAAGTATTATCGTATATAATTCTTAGGAGTATTTTTTCCAATTTTCAGATGTTTAGAGTATGCCCTTAACACAAGTCTGATCAAATCTCAAGACGGGGATTCGGTGATAAGCAGTGTGGCGGGAAATCCTAACGGTAGATTGCTGGCGTGGGACTTCTTCAGACTTCATTGGGCAACCCTTAGAAAGCGGTGAGGGCATTGATTCAACTGTTTATTCAATTTGTGGTTGGTTGATTTGCGTTTGGTTGAGGGGGGGGGGAGCAAAGCTGGGGTAATTTGCCCTTGGGCACAGGTTAAATAGGGGCTCAAATATTATTTGTGGATTTCATATAGATATGGTTCCGAAGCATTCTCGTTTGGAAGGCTGGTGAAATCGGTCACAACTCATTTTCAAACTGAATTCCATTACAATGAAGTAAGTTTATGCGATCATGTAACCTGGCTGTGATCTTGAATTGAATAAATTCCTAACCATCGAGGCTATCATTATTATGGGCTGTATTCACATGTCGTGCAGACCGTTTCGAATCAGGCAACTTATTGTCTTTCTTAATAGGTAAAGACATTTTTTGATGCACATCCAGACCTTGGCTCGGCTGCGAGAAGTCTCCAACAAGCGTATGAAACCATCAAGTCAAACATTCGTTGGGTCGAAAAATACGAAAATGAGGTTATAGAATGGTTGAGAAAACACCAACCACCTTCATCCTAAATTTCCTGAAGATATTTTAATCAAATCAATGCGCGAAATGAGTGGAGTAGATTTTAATCATGTTTCAATTTTCACTGGGTGAACGAGAGTTTAATAAATGGCGGAAATGACAATAATAATTCCTTGTCTAGAATCCAGAAATTTAATCTCTAATCTAATCTTTTGGTGTTAGTAGTTGGCTAAAGCTCAAGGTCAGGTTTAGGATTAAAGTTAGGATTATATAAAATCGTGGATTCCAGACATCGAATTATTACTGTCATTTCTACCGGAAAAACAAAGTGTTTCTAAATTTCAAAGCAAATCTAAATTATTATTTCATCTTTTTAAAAGCCGTGTATACGTACGATTCAGAATGGTAAGATAATTAGGCAGTTATATTAGCCCACCCAAGTTTTTTTAACTTTCCAACTGAAAAAATGATCGGAGAACTGAACAACCTAGTGTGTGGTGCTTCAAGGCCATGTTTGGGAGGACATGACTTGGATATATGGCTTAGTTTAGAAGAAAATGATATGCGCGGAACGGACTTGACATTCAATGAAAATATTTTCACTGTTCCCTGTAAAAATTCTGTAGAGTTCTTTAAATGGAAACAGGCTTGTGGTCTGTAGTTCAAATTAAATAAAAATGCAATAAATGATGTGTTCTAATTTTCACATTACACATTATGCAAGAAACGGTTCAACAGTATTTGTTGTCTTAGGTTCTGGTTATATTAGGAATCTCGATTGACTTTATTTGTTAATTTTTAAACCACCTCTGGTATACATAATCTTAATCCTAAACTTGCCCTCTAATCATTATCCATCTACTAATCTTAAAGGATTATTAAGGATTAAATTCGTGAATAAAACATTTGATGCTTCCGGTCATCCGTTTCAATGGAAAATCAAGCAAATTCTTGTATAAACTTTAACTTTGTGGCGATATTCGTATTCGCAGTTGAAAAGTATCACATTGGACGCGATTTTCTTACCTAAATCAGCGTTTTTTAAAAACTGGGGTGGAGTTTTGTGTTGTAAGTTGTGTCTTATTTATACTAGCCTGACAGAGTGACAGTGCGCATATAAATGATGGCCACCATACATACAGGTTTATGAAATAGTGTGTTTTGGATATAAACCTGTTACGATGTATATTTTATACGCAATTCATTCAAATCTCCAGTTAAGACTTGCCTGTCGGAGTTGCGAGTGTACCCAATAATCCAAAACAGCAGAACTAGTCTAGATACTGACCTACCTAGGTCAAACCACTGGGTTACACCAGGTTCATGAAAATCCTTTGGCTTTGTGTGAAGTATGTGCTTATAAATAATAAAAATTGAATTGTGTTTGCTTAAGTCATTTCCCTAGGATGCAAGTTGAACCTAGGCAATACAAATCTTATGAAACTTTGGTCCCAATTGGTTATGTCTCCTAATGACCAATAATTGTTTTGGTAGTGTTAAGTTATGTCAACTCCCAGTAAAGACTATGACATCACATACAAGGTCCTGGTTATCGGAGAGTCAAGTGTTGGCAAAACATGTTTGATTCAGAGATATTCACGACCTGATGAGAAATTGGCAATGGCTTATGTAACGACTATTGGTAATTATGAATTTCATATACCACATTTGCGATACCAACAGTAATTGTTTACAAATCTGTATGTATGTCTCATTCATTTTTAGGTATTGATTTTGTCAACAGCGTTAAAATTGTTGATAATGTTAGAATTCGGCTTCAGATTTGGTAAGTAGTTTAACAATTATAATAATTCAGATAGAATATGTTCAAACCACTTGTGTGATTTGATCCTTAACAATTAAGCCACTTCTGTTTGAACCTATAAAGGTGACTGCTCCACAATCCAGATCATTTAAACAGACCTTAATATATACTGCTTCTTGAATTTTAGGGACACTGCTGGTCAGGAGAGATTTAGAACATTTACAAAACTACATTTTAGAGGCACTAAGGTACCAGGTGTTTCAAAAATCTTTCAGCTAGCTTAATAACTTGCAACGTATGAACTGTGTTTTTCTGAATTCAAATAGGGTCTCATCTTAATGTATGATCTTACAAATTTGGAAACTTTTGAGAAATTGACAAACTGGCTGAAAGACATCAAAACTGTAAGAGCCATAAAGTTTTATGTTGTACAAAGTAAACTGCTGTATTTCAGCACAGTATACCCATAATTTGCCAGTGTTGAGATAAATAATTGTGAAAGAAATTGGAAAAAAGTATGAATTAGAGTGAAAATATATAGTGTGTAGAATAATTGTGTATGATTATTTTTCTGTAGTATGAGCTGGATAAAGAACAACTTATTGTGGTTGGAAATAAAAGCGACTTGGAACAAGAGCGACAGGTCTCAAAGGAAAGGGGTGAAAAGGTGGTATTTTTAGTATATATGTATGATACATATCCCTTGAGCTGTCCAATTTGCTTGGATATTAATTAAGATAGAGCTTTATACACAAAATCTTAGCATGTTTCATCTTTGTTGTAGCTTGCATATGAGTTTGGCTTCAAGTTTTTTGAGACAAGTGCTAAAGATGGTACCAATATTCAAGAGGTAGACATTTTTAGTTCAGCTAAAATAGTCATAAGATAGTAAATCCTATTTAAACATTTTAAAGATTTGTAAATTGTAAATCCTATTTAAAGATTTTTGTGAATCCTATTGTAAATCCTATTTAAAGATTTTTGTGCAAGTGTTAAACAATTCAGGGTGAATCTTTTAGGTTTTTGATGAGTTAACAACAGATATGAAAGATGCAAATAATCCATATTTTGTAAGTGTGTTTCTATAAAGCATACCAACTGAAATGGTTGTAATATGTACATGAAAACTCTTTTCCTATAGTACTTCCAAATACTTGATTGAATTCAATTGACAGCAATTTAAGTCTTGAGTGCTGTTTTTTTGTTTTAGGTTCCAACAATTCCAGATCCAAGATTTGAATTGGATATGGCAAAAATTGAAATAGTTCCCGATGAACCTGACAGGGGATTGCGTGTAGTTGATGAGGGCAACAAGGCAGTAAAACCATCTGGAAATTCCTATTATTCATCATGTTGTGGTAGCTAATCACTTACGTAATGTATAATACATAAAAATGGTTAAATAGGTTAGCATCAATTTGATGTTTAAATAGGATTTACTATTACATATGCATATCATCTATCATACAAAATTAAGAATTTACCTGCTATTTTCAGCGGGATTTTAATGAGATTACTGATGCAGTTTTGATAATGAAATTAGAGCATCATGTTAATTATGACTGACGGTACTGTACAAGCTTTAATATATTTTGAGTATAGTATTTCATATTTGTATAAAATTATAAATTGTAATGAATCAATTTTGAATGTGTCAAAAATGACTTGGGATTATACAGGGCAGCTGGAGCTGATGAGATGAAAGCTTCATAAAAACTAACTTGAAAGTACAAGCAGTTTTTATGTTTGCAGTAGAAAATCAGTGAACGTCAAAAAGACCTCTAAAAGAACTCTAATTATTTATTATTACAGTTCACTGTAGCAAATACAGTGAAACTCCAGTTCTTAACAAGAGATCAGTAAGACCATGGGTAAGACACTCCAGTTTCCGCAAGAGATCAGCGTGGATGATAAATTCCGGTGACAAATTCTAAGACGAAGACGACAAAAACAAAACAATGATTGAAAATGATTTGACTTCGACCGAAATCAAGAGATTTTAAAGACCCCGAAAGGGCGTTATTTTGTAGGATAAGGTTTTCGATCCTTAAATATCGGTGTAGGTTCGCAATTAGCAAGATGCCGAGCGCTGAAAAGAAGGAGTTACATGTAGCGAAGAGTGTTGGGGAACTCAACAAGCTCACCCAACTACAGGATATTAAAATAACGAGAAATTCTAACCCAAAACCGTAAGTATATGGGTAATATTTTATACTATACCTGAATTACTTTTTGTAAGGTGGTCAGCTTTTTTATTTTGTTGAATAATGTACAATTGTATTGAATCTATTGTAATTGTACAATCCAGTATTTTCTACGATGCCTTGTCGCAGAAATAAATGATGTCATATTTCGTATTTTGTGGCTTCAAATATTGCGATTTGTTGCTTGAAATATCTCAGATGATTGTTGTATATAGTCTTTGGTAGATTTTAGTTAAGAAAGTAGAAAAAATAATAGATATAGTATAAAGTTTATCCTAGAATCCTAGATGGTTTGTCAGTCGTCAGACATATTTGTGTATAAATGATAGGAAACAATTCAAATGAATGTCATGATGCATGAATCATATTTCACGGTAGTTGTGGGTTTTGAATGCTGTATTCCTGATGTTTGGATAACATTGGGTGCAGTTTATTTGGGTTCCTTCTAGCTGTGATAGTACTTTCATCCCTGTCATTCGTATTTTGAATTCATCTTCAGATTGCTAAACTCAGCAGAGAAAGTCTTCAAAAAAGCCTCAGAGTATGACCTCTTTGGAGATGAAGAAAATGCATATTTGTTTTATGTCCGTTATTTTAATATTGTACAAGAAGTTATGAAGACCACAACATATCAGAAAGATAAGGTAACAAATATATATAAATACCTAATCCTAGCTGGCTTGGTTAAATATGTTTCATCTTTTGTGACAGCACTGCAACTGAAAGAGCTCTGTGTAACATTTCCTGTTCTGAAATCCAATCGTTCTGGGTTTATATTACTATTTTAAAATAACCAGGCAATATGTATATTGAGTAGACATGTTTCCTTTCTTTTGTTCAGAAATTCTATAACAGTCTCATTGGTAGAACAACATTGAATAAATCTATTGAGAGAGCAGAATTCTTATCAGAAAGTCTCACAAAAAGGTACGGCCAGTACATTTAATTGTTATTATATGGCTTTTCAAAATCCTCTATTCTGATTGGTGACAAGCAGTCTGTAAAACCCATATCCAGACCATTGTCTGTATATTAATCTGTATCTAAACCAGTATCCTTGATGTCTCATGCTGTTCAGCCATATCATAAACAGATTATTGATCTCTTGTTCCATCTGTACTGTGAAATATCAGACGTACCAAGGTTTTTTGCATGGACCTTGCTTCTTCCTTGCTTGGTCCATACTTAAAAGCTTTGGTCTGATATTTCACAGTACAGAACTCATGCTCAGTCAATAATCAGTTAGTATTATGTTTGTGCAACATAGATGAATGTTGATTTCAATTGATTGGCTTGCATTTTCTCCATTTTAGGTATAAGAAGCGTGAAGAGGAGATTAAATCAGCAGCTATTGAGAAGGAAAGACAAGCCAAAGAAAAGGGTAAATAAAATACATATTTGAATCAACAGAATGTTTAAAAAACTTGTAGTAATGTGGTGTTTAGTCATATAAACTAGTAAAAGTTGGTAATGTATTAATTCCATTGCCTTTTAGAGACAAATGACAAGATAAACTCCACCACAAATGGTAATGGAGTAGCAAGGTATGCAATCATGTTACCTACACAATATGCTACATTGATTTAACATTGGTAATATGTGATGTACATAATATACCATTGCTCAAATTTAGTTTAATTCCATTGCTTTGTGTGGGTTATTCATGTAGCCATTTTAACATTATTGTGTATTTAACATCATGTATTACATAGCAATACACTTCAAGACATTGATGATTTACTAAATGGTAAAAAGCTCTCATCACAAAGCTCTGCTGATTTGTACAAAAAGTTGCATGTAAGTCGCTGCTTCAGTTAGAACCAATTTCTTGCTATTCACCAATTGTCAGATACTGCTATCAGCCATTATACAACCGGCCCAAGTAATGTCTAACTTTTTTCTTACATTTTATAATAACTAGGTCAATCACTCTTCAATACTCTCACCAAATGATAAGAGCCCAAGTGTAAAAGGTATATGTCATTCAACACATATCCTATGCATATTTCACTCAGCAGTGTAGCCAGCCTGACAATTTAGTCATGCTATGCTAATATTTTGGTATTCATTTACTGTGAAAACAATGAATTTCTAAAGAAATTAATAATTATAATGACTAACGACTATAAGAAACAACAAAAAAATCATAACCCTGTAATATGAACTGATATTATTATATGTATATCAATGACATCATTATGTCAGCATTGCTACACAACTGATTTCACATTGTTTAGATTAAACACATATATTGCTCGTGTTCACATATATTATACTTAAATCATTTTTAGATGTGTTCAGCCTATCATCAGTAAGCTCAATTTCATCACCTGCAATTGATCCTGTTGCCTTTTACGAACTTCTAAACAGTGCCTTGAACAGTGTCCTTGTATTAGACACTAGAAGCAAGAAGGATTTTGAGTCATCCCACATCCATTTTCCCTGTTGCATAAATATCCCGGATGATCTTCTCAAAGCAAGGTAACAATTCTACACATTAAGAAAGATTATAACCTAAGGATGGAACCAGTGTGGTTTTGTATGTAAGAGTGCGAACTCCCAAGTAAACCATATTTATGATTGGTTACTAATTCAATACATAATCATAATAAATTTGAATTGATACCTAATTTTACACCCTCCTGTACCCCTTCTGGGCTTAACTAGGGGGGGGGGTGAACCCTCCTGTGAAGGGCATACACCACCCCCCCCCCACTTCCACCCACCTTTCACCCCCCCCACTTCCACCCCACCTTTCATGCCCCCCTTCCACCCCTCCCCCCACTTCCACCCTCCCCCACTTCCACAACCCCCCACTTCCACCCAAACCCCCCAGTAAGTCTATTCCTGCTATACCCAAAATCCAATGGCAAAATAACCATGGCAATATAATCATTAGTGGGTTATGTTATTATTTCTTGAATTTTCAACCATCGAACAGTGTGAATGTTGGTAGTATTGAACGTAAACTACCAAAGTCGACGTGGAATCAATGGATTGAACGAGGCAGCAAGAGCCACATTGTGATTCTCGACCAAAATACCAAGTTTGAGGACATCAAGCCTGACAGTAAAGTGAAATGTCTAAAAGATGCGATATATTTATACGATACGTCATGTAGTCTCAAGTCAGAGCCGGTGTTTCTTGATGGTGGTTATGAGTCATGGGTTTGGCATTATCCATCCTTGGTCACTAACCCCAAACTTCCCGAGGTAAATACCTATGTTTCTTGAAGTTTTATCAACTTTAACAGTTTCACAGCAAGCGTTTATAAAGTTATTGAAGGTTTCTTATCACTTATCATTTCACATTTCAAGACTATTAACTCATGCAGAGTGTGAACATATAGCAATAGCCGAATTTTTTACCAGCAGATTGTGCCATCTCAGAATAAAAGTCAGTTCAGCTTGGATTCCCTCATTTACCCTGATTTACCAGTGCTTAATGAACCAACCAGTCCGAAATCAGTCAACGGAACAACAAATGATCAGGCACAAACGACGCCGAAAGCTCCAGCCAGCAACACACCACCTGCGGAAGCTGGCCCTCGTCAGCCGGTTGGTTCCATACAGCAGAATCATCATGCTCCACAAACTACTTTTTCCCAAAATCTACCGCCAACGATAAATTCTGTAGCTCAAAGCACTTTATCAAGCGACGGAAACGCTTTCAAAACTTCAAATGCCGATATGCGTGTTCCGAAAACGCCTGTAACCAAACCACCTCCTCTCAACACTACTATTCAACAACAACAACAACAACAACAACAACAACAACAGCAACAACAACGACAACAACAGCAACAACAACAACAGCAACAACAACGACAACGACAACAACAACAGCAACAACAACAACAACAGCAACAACAACAGCAACAACGACAACAACAACAACAACAACAGCAACAACGACAACAGCAACAACAACAACGGGTACCATCACAAGGAATCACTCAGACAGCTCAAGGACGTGGCCTTCAACAACAACCTGGGCATACCTATGCCCCAGTCACTTCCATCAATGGTGTTACTCCAACCCATGCCCAAGTACCAGCAAAGCAGGCAACACCTCAATCTAAGAGTAATGTTCAAAATATTCCAGCACGAAATCAACCACAGAGCACCACACCACCAACACCCACGTCGAGTACCAGTTGGATGACCAGTAACAATTCACCTGCCCCAGGTGCAACACAACCTCAAGTACCCTCAGCCATAGTCTCTCCTCAACGACCACAGCCTTCAGGTATAGTGTCCCCGCAACCTCCCTACAATGTCCGTGGTCACGCACCCTCTATGCCACGCCCACACACTCCCTCCCCTACCTTACCTCCAACTCACCCACAACCCTCAATGAGTCATCAACTCCAGCCAAATGTCAGCGCCATTTTACCAAATAATACAACCAGAAATCCTTCAGCTCAAAATGTCCTACCAAATGCAACTCCTAATGTGCCTTTAAATCCCGCAAAATCCACGCCAAATGTCTCAAATACTACTGTAATACCTAAGTCTATACCCAATGTACCTCAGACGTTCACAGGAAGTCGCACTGGCTTGACGCATGGGCTCCCCCCCGGCTGGGAACGTGTTTTAGATAGAAAGACGGGTAGGTATTACTTCCAAGATCACAATACAAGGACAACGCATTGGAACCTACCTGAGAGCTTGACTCAAACCATGAACCAGAGCATCATGGGACATAATACACCAACGGCCAAAGAAACGGAGCCAAAAAAACCATCCCTGAAAAGGTCGCTGTCTTCTCCTAACCTTGCAAAAATTGACACGGAAGAGGTGAATGGTAACACTACAAGAAGTGCCCCAACCCGTCCGGTTATAAACCGTAGAACGAAGCCACTCACAGAATCACAACTTGCCAATCTTGATCCAAACCATGGTGGTCAGGGAAAGGCATTGACCGGCTTGAGAAATCTTGGAAATTCCTGTTACATGAATTCCGTGTTGCAGTGCCTTCTTGCCACCGCCCCCCTGGCGAAGTATATACTAGAGTCTGTTTACGTAGAGGATATCAATAAGACTAATCCGCTAGGAACTGGGGGTCGTATAGCAGAAGAACTCGCGGTGCTGACGAGAGTAGCTCACTCGGGAAATTATCGCTCAGTCTCGCCGTATGAGTTCAAGAGAACCATTGGGAGGTTTGCTCCCGAGTTTGGCGGCACGAAACAGCAGGATTCGCAAGAATTTCTCCTGGTGGTTCTTGACCAATTTCACGAGGACACAAATCGGGTAGGTAGCTACATCTTAGGTTGGCAAGGGTTAGAGAAGTCTATATTTTGGTTGTTCATATAATGTAGTTAAGAGTCTCTTTCATACCACTGTTCCTTCGTGGTTGACGCGCTTTCCTTGTTTATGTTATTAAAGGTCATCAAGAAAGCGTATATTGAAGAAAAAAGTAATGATGGGTTACCCGACACAGTTGCAGCAAGATTAGCTTGGGATAATCACAAGAAACGTAACCAATCTATTATTGTGGAATTATTCCAGGTGTGTACGAATGCTTTCCGCGCTCCGTGCGTGTGTCCGGGTTTTTTTCTGAGTCGTATCACGGCAGACCGCGAGCGACTGGAATTAATCATAAAAGCGTTCGTTTTTCTGCAATTTATAGGGTCTGTTTAAATCGACTCTGACCTGCTCAGTCTGCAATAAACAGAGTGTGACCTTTGAAGCATTCATGTCGCTCACACTACCAATTCCAACCAACGCGTCCTGTCAAATTGAGGTAAGAAATGTATTCTGTATAGACAGACTTTATATATAAAAGGCCCGCGTTGTGACGTCGTTTGCGGATAAAGCATGCTCCTGATTGGTGTGAACTGGATGCATTTGACCAATCAGAAACACGCTTCGTCGCTTTATAAAGTTCTACAAGTTTCTCTAGGCCAGGGATGTAATTCATTCCGTTCTCTGTGTCTGTCTAGGATTGTATTCGGCTGTTTACGACAAGAGAGAAAGTTAGCAGAGACAACAAATGGTTTTGCCCAAGATGCAAACAGCATCGTGAGGCATGGAAGACGATGGAGATCTGGAAACTACCTCCGATACTCATTGTACATTTCAACAGATTTAAACGGTAATTAAATGATGAGGATTTGTGATCTATAGACCTCTACATGTAGTCTTTCGTTCTGGATAGGGATGCTATATTCAGGCTGACGTACATGCAGTATTTTTAAAGTATTTAATATGGCAGCGGTTAAGAGAGAATAATTATAATAATTTGTGATCAAAGAAGTGTTTTCTCTTGCAGTGATTTGGACGGATCGTGGCTGGAGAAACGTCAAACCAACGTTCATTTTCCAAGCACAAAACTTGATCTGTCCAGGTTCGTTCTTGGTCCTAACAAAACGTTGCGCTACAACCTGTACGGCGTCTCGAATCATTACGGTTCGATGACAAGTGGCCATTACACCGCGTTTTGTCGAAATATTTACGACAACAAATGGTACAAATTTGACGACAGTGACGTCACATCGATGTCGGAATCAAGCGTCAAGGTACAAACCACTGACCTATATAATTTTTTTATTTTTAATTAGCTACATAGAAGGTGATATTTCGATATATTATACCGAAATTTTAGGAAATCTTTCGGTTTGACTTAAAATGCAATGTTGTGCAGAAACGGCTGTTCGTGTTCGTGCAAATAATGTTTCCCGGTTAGACAATTGGAATAAAAGCTATAGCAATCTTTATGCCTATTTCCATTAGTCGTTGCTGTCGTTACATGTCTTTCTGTGTCTTTGGAATAATCGTGAAAGACTGATAACGACTGAAAGAAACAGAAAACGACAGTGTCGCTCGGATAAAACAAATCCTATCTCAAAGACATAAAAAGACAGGAAACGACATGATTCTTCCCATAATTCGTTATCGGTCTTTCACGATTATTCCAAAGACACGGAAAGACATATAACGACAGCTAACGACTGAATGGAAACTAGGCATTAGCATTGATTGTAAAATATATATTCCTTTGTTTAGTCACCAGCGGCCTACATTCTCTGCTACACCTCAGTGGAATTCGGCAGACCGTGAGTGACGTCTGATCGATCGATATCAACTGCGTGCTTAATTTCGTGCCTTTTTCGGAAAAACGTGACTCCTGAACTTTTGTAAATACCATATATAAATAATAGCCCAGGGTGCATTCCTTTCCTAAAATTGAATATCTTTGGCATAAACCCATACTTGTGTTGCTGTATTGGCGTATAATTAGAAAATTAAACGAGATTTACCTGTAAAGTCGAAGTTTGATTGCGATTCTGCCGAATCACCCAAACGCTAAACAAAACGTTGCGTGATCGCTGTGCTTCCTACGTGATTGCCAAGCGCAGCGGATAGTGAGGTATAATCGCTAAAAGCACGTATACACACCTTTTATAATTTATGCGATTTTCTTCTTTTGATGGATGTGAACGAGTAGTTAGTTACGAAAGCTCTGATGTATAAGAGCTCTTATTTGAACATCCGTAACTAATTCACATGTTCACATCCATCAAAAGAAGAAAATGTCAATATGCTGGCGAAACTGAACGAGAGTAATTTAACTAGTGAGACTGAAAGAATGAAACATAGACGATCCTTTTCTCATCCAAATACGTGGCGTAGAAAGATACATTTCGAAACATTCGACAGGACGATCGTACGGAATGCACCCTGTCTTGTCTTGTCCCTGAATTACTAGTAGCGAAGTTCAGGTTGATTTCCCCTACCATCACCGCTTCCATTGGGAGAACATGAACCAATCATATGCGATATGTCTGTGAGATTAACCAATCACGAGCGCAATTGATCAGAGAGGAGGGAACATGAACCAATCAAATGCGTTATGTCTGTGAGATTAACCAATCACGAGCGCAATAGATCAGAGAGGAGGGAACATAAACCAATCAAATGCGTTATGTCTATGAGATTAACCAATCACGAGCGTTATAGATCAGAGGGGAGGGAACATGAGCCAATCAAATGCGATATTGTCTATGAGATTAACCAATCACGAGCGCAATAGATCAGAGAGGAGGGAACATGAACCAATCAAATGCGTTATGTCTGTGAGATTAACCAATCACGAGCGCAATAGATCAAGGAGTGAAAGTGGATGTCAAATCTGAACTTCGATGTAAAAATGTAGATACAAAGTAAATGAGACATATTACTGAATGTTCAAAACAAAATATTCACATTTGCTGTGCTATTATATAAAGTGGGAACACACTTGTCACAGGATTTTCTTGCATGTATTAGGATCATATTAGGATCGTATTAGGATCGTATTAGCCGTATTAGGATCGTATCAGCAAGGTAAAACGAGTACCCCCTTAACTTCCATTATCTCCCTGACATTCAGGAGAGATTTCTAGGATTTGTTATGAATACGTGGGTTACACGATTGACAGTCCCTAAATTGTCATCAAGCCTCCTCCGCAACTTGTGACTCGGGTAATTTTTTGCTGAAATCATTCATCGCTGGCCCCCCGACGCCGCCATAATTTTTAGGTCCGTACGCCTTTTAAGGAGTATATGACAGTTGATAACAAGTTTCATTGAGTAAAGCAATATCATATTTCCAAGATAAACCAAACAGTATTATTTTTTTCATTTATATTGCTTGATTAGTGCTGGAAGAATTTTTGTCAAAAAAAGACAAGGTGTTAAATATAATGTGATGCAATCATCAGGATGGATGTTTCAAATTTTTGCATAATCATTTCGTATTGGTGATCTTGTGTGATGATTAGGCTAAGTGGTAACCGCTCCAGGAGTTGTCTATTCTGTACCAGCGCGCGGGCTTGATGTACGCTGAGATTTAGATGTAAGGAAAGATTAGGGATTCCTAACGCTCGCCTGCAGAAATCTCATCAACGGACATCCTCGATTTCCGACGATCATTCCAGAAGGAGCGATGCTATCAATTCGGGTATTTCGTAAAGGACTTGGAAAGGTAAAAATGAACAAAGATTGCCTTGAAGCTGGAGTATTTACCATATATTAAACAAACTAACCAATTATTGCTGGATTTCACCCCTTTTCGACTTCTTACCTGCTAAAACCGTCTAGGATTGAACGTGTATATATTTTAGGCTTGCATGTTTGATCTATGTGAGTCAACCTTATATCTTGCATGTTTATGATCACATTGTGTTTATCTGATCAGTGAAGTAAACATACATTGAATTCTTTAATTTTTTAAAGAAAAGTGCATTAAAGGATCTGTGAGGGTTATGTTTACGACAACCTGGCGAGGTGCCACCAGTTTTATCGCGAAAGCAAATGCTTCTTTACAATTAAATTGAGTTTCATTGGGAACAAAATCATTTTGGACTCATAGTAAACCTTTTCTACAGCACGGTATAATATTCGTACAGAAGAGTCAATTATTTCAAAATTAATATGACAAATAAAGGATTAAGACAGGCTGCTAATTAAGGCATTCAGTTAAAACCCGGCTAAGCAATGAAATAAATCTGATCAGATTTCAATTAACTTTTAACCTGAAGAAGTTTCTGGGTTTCGTCAAGTCAAAAGTGTTTTTCCTCTCATAGCCCCGACCTCTCCCCTATACCAGAATTGAATTGGGCCCCGACGTTCTGTAAACTTCTTTAAATTCTAACTTTCAGCAAGTATTGTCATTTTGGGGCAAAGCCACCCGCGGACTACACAATTTACCTACTGAGTCGGAAATTAAGATCAGTGAAAGGTAATAAATAAGACTTGTCCACTAGTAATATGAAAAAAATGCCACCAATGATTTTTTCGGTTAATGTCAAGGCATTGCAAATTGTGCATTTCAGGAGAAGTTATATCATCGCGACTTGCGAACCTTTGACTGTCAAATCTATACGTGAACTTGGTTTTTGGCACTGTTTGCTGTATCAACAGACAGGTCACAGACATAAGTCTGTAAATTCTAAAAGCCCACTCATATACTGAGTGGGAGATCTAAATCACGTCGTAACGTTCCTTTAAAGTATTTCCACACGAATAAGAGTTTGAATTTCAGTAGTTTACCTTAAATCTTTGTAGTTAAAAAGCAAACTCATTTGATTCAGCTAAAATGATGCTCTAAATCTTTTGTAAACGCTACAGTTGAACTGTTGAAGACTTGAAGAGTGGGTTTTTTTTCAAACCCTCTCAAAAGTGCCCGCCCATCTCATGCTTTGTAGTCCGGTGTGTTCTTACAACGAATGGGATCCGCTTCAAGAAGTGATAGTAGGTCGGGCAGAGAACGCAACTGTTCCACCATTCACAGCCGCAACGAGAGCTCACGCTCCTGAAGAGCATGTGCAGTTTTTTCGTCAAAATGCAGGCCAGTTGTTTCCGCCCGAACATGTCGCGAAGGCGGTCGAAGAAATAGAGGAGTTTTGTCGTATTTTGGAGCACGAAGGAGTGACTGTGCGCCGGCCCAAAATTATCGATCATAGCAAGGTAAATGTAATGTCAGTTGGGAAATCAAATAGCTCATAGACAGAGGAGGCGCCGTTAGAGGGGGATAGACCGATGCAGAGGGGTGGGCACTCCCACACTTCGCCAAATATGAATACTTTAGTAGATTACATCAGATCACATTTGAAACAGCAGATTTTATGTAGACTCGACAGATCGTTTATTATGTAGACTTTCCAAACACCAGATTTTACTTCAACGGGCATGTACGCAGCGATGCCTCGTGATATTCTTCTGGTTGTTGGTAAAGAGATCATTGAAGCTCCAATGTGTTGGCGCTCAAGATTCTTTGAATACAGAGCTTATAGAGATCTCATGAAGGAATATTTTCATGCTGGGGCCACGTGGACAGTCGCTCCGAAAGCATTAATGGACGATGCTCTGTATGACGAGGTGGGTGTCTATCTATCAACATAACTCCCCCCTTGTCCTTCTTCCCCACACACCAAAGCTAACTTTAGTATAATTAAACCTAAGTTTATCATAAACTGCGTCGTTCATAATACAAAACTTGGCCTCGGCAAAGACCTCACACATGTACGAAGACATGATGGAATTACCAACCTGTTTTTTGTATTAGAAGGAAAACGTTGCAGGAAAATATTTTCAAATTAAGATTTTTTGGAGAATAAGTTGGCATCAAATGTGGTATAACCACTGCCTAAAATAGACAAAACACTTCTCGACGTTTCGACCTAACGAAGGCCTTCAGGTCGAAACGTCGAGAATTATCTTGTCTATTTTAGGCAGTTGTTATACCACATTTGATGCCAAGTTACTTGAAGACGCTGCCATGCACGCTGCTCCCTGGTTATTTTGGAGAATAAACCTGTTATAACATGCTCAAGCTTATTGTTTACACAGACCTTTCGCTCGGTCAATAACTTTTAATGATTGTACCAACAGGAATATGCTAATCTTCCGTACGAAGAACGGAGCAAATTGGTTCTTGAAGGAAAATATGTCACCACTGAACACGATATTTGCTTCGACGCTGCTGATTTCATGAGATGCGGGACTGACATATTCGTGCAAAGAAGCCAGGTATCTTAGCAAATATGGACCGTACTAAGTCCACTGTACTGATCTTTTTATGAATGAAAGCTAATTTACAAGCTGACTGTTTCATGGTTGGTTTGTGTACTCAAGAAATACAAAAAAACGAAGAAATCTCATGGTCTTAAATTAACCCCTCGTGCAGTTAATGTCTCACAAACAAGAACATTCTTGTCTGATCTATTAGTAAGATAACGTTTCTGAATATAACGAACCTCAAAGTTACGTTCACTTATCGAAAGTGAAAAGGTGGATGCATATAGTGGTTTGGGCCGAATATATACGAGTTCCATGCAAAATCGCTAGTCCCAAAATTCATGATTAACATTGAAACAGCCAAAATAAGCCTCACAAATCAAACATGCATGTAGACCAGTCTAATCAATGCTGGGTGACCATCAATTTAGGTGACCAACAATTTTGGTATTGAATGGATGAAGCGTCATTTGGCTCCTAAAGGCTACCGAGTACACACCTTATCCTTCCCTGATCGCAATCCGATGCATATCGATGCTTCAATTAACATCATTGGACCCGGTTTAGTCCTATCTAACCCTATTCGTCCCTGCCACCAAATAGACATGTTCCACAAGGCAGGATGGCACGTGGTTGAGCCACCAACGCCACTCATCTCTGATGATCATCCATTGTGGATGTCTTCGAAATGGTTGTCCATGAATACTCTCATGTTGGATCCAAAGAGAGTGTTTGTCGCAAAGGGGGAAACTACAACCCAAAAGGTAGGGTAACGGTGACAGAAAAGGAGACCATGTTTGTGTTTCAAAATAGGCTAAGGACGTGGTAGCGTTGTCTAACAACTTCGCATAAAATGTGGTATAACAACTGCCTAAAATAGACAAAAACACTTCTCGACGTTTCGTCCTAAAGGCCTTCTGTTTTCAGTGGTCGAAAACGCCGGATGACGGAACCTCAACAAGACAAGTTACTGCATGAACATAAGTAATTGAAAAATGTGTGATTTTTTTGCTTCGAAAACAAGTACAGAGTGTCTGATAAATCCAGAATTATTGATATAGCCTATTGTTAGAATTTTATACCACATTCTCCAATTTCTACAACGATTAATATTCCAGCATTTCGTTTGTCCGAGTGAGTATCGGTGCTAGTTTGAAACTATATGCTGAACGATATTAAACTGACTCATTCTTTTAAAACTCAGAGTCTGGGAATTAAAAACGGAGACAATGCAACGTCACTGAGGTCTCGTTTTATATCAATTTAGATGTTTGAAGATCTGGGTATTGAATGCATCCCTGTGGATATTTCGTATGCCATGTCCTTGGGCGGAGGATTTCATTGCTGGACGACAGATGTGAGAAGACGTGGAACGTTAGAATCTTATTTGTAAGCTGAGTAAGCTGTGTTACTAAAACTTAAATGAGTAGATTTTTGAAGAGTTTTGTTTAGTTTAAAGAGTTGTTAGTATTTTTGTGAAAGACAATCGGAAGGGGACGTAAGTAGCAGTTTAAAGGTGTGTTGACACGATCCAATTTTGTTGGATCCAATTCACTTCTGATGGATGTTTTCTAGTCTGTTGTCCTGTAATGTACAAGGAAAATGTAGATGGAAAGCAAATCAACTTAAACCCAAAGCAGTAGTTTATCAATAACAAACTACATTCCATACGTCAGAAGTAAATTGGATCCGATAAAGTTGGATCGTGTGAATGGGCATTAACTGCATGTAATCTGTTCTTCATGAAGTATGAATTTTATAGAATATCGGGCGGTGGTTATCTTTATTTATATAAACCCAGTAGTGAACACATTCAACTTTTTGTTCGTTTTTTTCTTCTTTATTATTTTAAAGAGTATGAATACAGTATCTATCTAGGTTTTGTATACAGCCAAGTTTCCTTGTCAGTGATCGGTGACAAAGAAAATTTATTCAAAATATTGACAAGATGATTTAAGCACTTCAATTGTCTGTTATCGCCGACTTGCATCATGGCCGGTGATGGTTCTACATTTGTAAGAACTATAGGCTAACCGCTGCTAACTATATTATTGAAGCAAACAGCGAACAATAAAGGATTCTCGTAGATATATGAATTCTATGCACAGGGTGTCCCAAAAAAGTCCCCTCTATTGAAATGAAGCTTTTGTTGGCATTTGAATGCATGATCAACGCAGTAGTGTGTAAATAGCATAGTTATTAGGTTGAGGCATTCAAATAAAGCATCTTGCTTTCAATTGGGTTTATCATAATATCCAGGCAATCAGATTCTAACAAAGGCTTGATTTCAATAGAGGGGACTTTTTTTCAGCCTGTACATAGAAATGTGTAAGCAGAGCAGGACTGCATGATTATACCATGCAGCTCAAACGTGACGACCAGACACAAAGCAAGGAATGTCCGGCCGAGCATCGATCACAGGCTGCAAAGGGGTGTAGATAAAAGGCGGGCGCGGACTGGCGGACGCAGATAGATAGACAACCCAAAACGATAATATAGTAATATTATTACTTATTAATTATTATATTATAACTTATTATAGCTGCTTCTTTTCTGTTAATTATTAATTCCATTATTTCTTAAATATCTTATTTGCTCTAGTGACAGGCAAGTTCCATTTCCTTGTAGTATTGGCACAAGAGAAGATACAAAAAATAGCTGTCTTCAAGCACTCACTTTTATGTATATGGCTTTACAGTGTTATCGTGATATTAGCCTAAAATTATGGCGCGATCTACAAAAACCCCGTGGATATTTTCTCGCTCAAATGTTTGAAACATTAGTCGACATAATTTTTTTATATATTTTTCTTTTTTCTGCCCGCGTCCGCCATTCCGCGTCCGTTATTCAGTGTCCGCCGATCTGCGTCCGCGTCCGCGCATGCCTTTTATCTACATCCGGCTGCAAAGTTGTTTGGTCTCTCTGCATGCACGTCTTTTGTCTCTCTGCATTCACCCGACTACCGTACGCAGAAATATTAGGACATAATGTCGGTGTTGCGTTTATTTACTGGTGGGTTGCGAAGATCCGTGAAGAAGGTAATTGCTTCCATTCTAAGTGTAGGGACAAGTTGTACTAAATCACTGCTATATGCCTATAATTTCAATGTAAACACGATTCCCGTTAACAGGCATTCATACACAGCTCTAACTTCAGATATACTGAGCATAATATTCCACAAGATTATGACCGTTTCCAGCCTTTCTTTTCTTTAAAAAATCGTATTTATTGATTAACTATTAAAGCTTGATGTCTGGGCGCTTGCTATAAGTATAATTATTTTGACACATTCACCGAATGGCAATGCATTCTAAGAAATACATCGGAGAATCGAAGCTTGAGTTATATAAGACCCCATGGCCCTAGCCATTGGGACTTGGCTCGGGACTTGGTAGAACACGAAGCTCGCCTCACGCGTAAAACTTTAGACTGACTTCACATTAACACAAGTCTTACAATGCCATTCGTGATGATGATGGTACGTGATAAGTATTATCACTCGGTAATTACTAATCTTTAATACACCGACACACCGACTTACAATTGTGTGTACGTCTGAGCACAGGTCTGAGACACAGCGTATTTATAACGCCACGAAAACCGTCACACGTGGAATTGTTTTAAACAGCATGGTGTAGGTGAAGGTATATATATTTATTGATGAAACCGATTTTATGTTTGAATAGCTATAGCATTTCGCCATTTTCAGCTTGTTCTTATTTGTCAACACGATTTTATATTTAAATAGTATTTCGCCATTTTGAGCTTCTCCTTATTATATATTCTATTGATGATATCAATACATGTTAAGCCCCGTGATTTCCGCGAATTAAATATAAACCACCGGCTGCCAAATCTCTGAATAGTTGCTAGAACGCGGTCAAACACAGATAAAGATCGATTCCCTCTTGATTCACTAAAATAGAGATATTTAAAAGTTCGCCTTCAAATCTAACCATGGTTTCTGAAAACACATTTGAATCCGGATATTACTGGCAATTTATTTTCTCTTTTTTCAGCAAGCTCTGATGCTCTTCAGTGTGCATACCCGCCGCTTTCAACAGACACAAGCTGAGACAAGAACAAGGTAGGAGACGATACTAGAAAAGTAAAGGTGCATGGCGTAGATCATTTAGGGTTTCTGGCCAGACGGCACTGAGTGCGTTTTCGTATCCTTTGCAGTCCAGTCTGCGCTTACAATGAATGGGATCCACTGGAGGAAGTGATTGTTGGTAGAGCAGAGAATTCTTATGTTCCGCCTTTCACCATTGATGTGAAAGCAGTCATTCCTCGGGATATGTGGTCGTTTTTTGTGCAGAATACCGGGCAGCCATTCCCGAAAGATCACGTTGCAAAAGCAGCTGCACAAATTGAAGAATTTTGCAAAATTTTGCAACACGAAGGAGTGACTGTCCGTCGACCTGACATCATTGATCATGGCAAGGTACAAGATCGAGTGTTAATTTTATAATCACAGCGTCAGCGATGATGATGATTGTGATGGTAATGTCAAAACACTTTCATTCTTATAGGAGTTTACAACACCAGATTTTACTTCAACGGGGATGTACGCAGCGATGCCTCGTGATATTCTTATAGTTTTTGGTGAAGAGATCATTGAAGCGCCAATGTGTTGGCGATCAAGATTCTTTGAATACAGAGCTTATAGAAGTCTGATGAAGGAATATTTTCATGCTGGGGCCACGTGGACAGTCGCTCCGAAAGCATTAATGGAGGATGCTCTGTATGACGAGGTGGGTATTTATCTATCAACATAACTCCCCCTTGTCCTTCCTGCCCACGCACCAAAGCTAACTTTAGTATAATTAAACCTAAGTTTATCATAAACTGCGTCGTTCATAATACAACACTTGGCCTCAGGAAATGCACGAAGCCATATGGAATTGTTAATCTTTTTTTGTATCAGAAGCAAAACGCTGCTCTGTTTGATGAGGTGGGATATATAGCAATTTATTATATGTATCTTTATATTTGTCTATTTTGTAATTTCAAATTTTAGGACTACCCAATAACCTCAGCTGAGGATCGGAAACGGTTGGCGGCCGAAGGCAAGTTCGTCACGACTGAACACGATATTTGCTTTGATGCTGCGGATTTCATGAGATGTGGAACCGATGTTTTTGCCCAACGCAGCCAGGTAACTATGCATGAGTTTACCATCTCCCTGGCTCTCAACAAACTGCAGGAAAGCTTTTGTACAATCCCTGAGGGGCCGGGTAGTGTTGTGCATCGTGATTTAACATGCAGGGAAGACAAAGGGAGGCTGAACGCCTCTTCCCATCTTAACACATCCTTTTTTTATTAGAATGAATAATTTTTCAGGTAACCAACAATTTTGGTATTGAATGGATGAGAAGACATCTGGGAACTAGGGGATATAAAGTGCACACTCTAACCTTTGAAGACCCCAATCCAATGCACATCGATGGCACGTTTAACATCATTGGACCTGGTTTAGTCCTATCTAACCCTATTCGTCCCTGTCACCAAATAAATATGTTCCTCAAAGCAGGTTGGAAAGTGGTTGAGCCACCAACACCATTAATTTCAAAAGATTACCCTCTATGGACGACCTCGAAATGGCTGTCAATGAACGTACTCATGTTGGATCCCAAGAGAGTTTTCGTTTTAAAATCCGAAACTACGACACAAAAGGTAAGCTGAAATTTGTTGGGTTTTATTGCATTACTCAACCACTACCAGAGGATTATTGTCATGTGAAGCTAAGATAGCGAATGATCCATACATCCGTCGTCGATGAATGCTACAATGCTTTCATCAGTGCTAACTCTCGCTGAGAGTTTTAAAGTTCAACAACCCACAGTTTATTTCAAATTATTATATTTTGATTTTAATCTTTAGAAGTAAAAAAATGCAGACTCTATATGCGCTTTCATCAGCCGTTTCTTGTCCGTAATTTTAGATGTTTGAAGATCTGGGTATTGAATGCATCCCGGTGGATATTTCCTATGCCATGGCCTTGGGCGGAGGATTTCATTGCTGGACGACAGATGTGAGGAGACGTGGAACATTAGAATCGTATTTGTAAGCAGTGTTACTAAAACTAAGATATGACTATAATTATATTTGATTTATATTATAAAAACAGTTCTGAAATCAAATAGCCCTTATTTAAACTGTCATACAGCTGATGGATGTTTTATAGTCTGTTGAAAAAAAACATCCATCAAAAGTGAGTCGGATCCGATAAAACTGGATCGTGACAGTTTTGTCGGATCCGATGCACTTCTGATAGATGTTTTATAGTGTGTCATTGTTTCGAAGATACAATGATCACGTGACCATGATTCCATGAAGTTCTACCCAGTTCCCACCCGGTTTTTAAGCCTGGTTGATTATTAACAAGTTTGGTCGAGACGATTGTTTATCAAGTTTAAGTGGTTTAGTCATTTGAAAATTGTGCCGAAAATATCCCAAAAACGATGTTGTTTGCGCGTATTTTTCGTGGTGGTTGCAGGGGGAGAGAACCAGCCATTATAAAAAAGGTATGCATTTATTTAAATGAAATACGAACATCTCATGTGTTATAAAACCTATCTGTGCTGTCAGCACATTGGCAATAAAAATTCACTTTGTCTTCTCTCAAAGAGACATTCAATGCATCGCAAACTGATCCTTTAAAGGTTACTTTATCTTAGATATACATAAAATTTATATACGCCTTTCATATAATTATCGGCTACGCATATACACCTAGATATTTGGAGCACTAAGCAAGAACTTAATATATGATACAGGGGTGTAGGATTACTGGATTAGGGATATGTTCAAGATTTGGGGGGAGCACGTTCACGAGTCGGCGAGTGAGAAAATTTTTGAAATTTGATTGCTCTAGGGTCTAATTCCACGGGCGCTTTTTCTCGGCGAAATGCGAAATATTTCGCCTGTTTCTTTTGAATTTCGACCACTTGAATAAATTAATTCGGCTTCATTGCTCACAATTTAAAAGAAGCAGGCAAAATATTTCGCATTTCGCTTGAAAATTTAGCCCGTGGAATTAGGGCTTTAGATCCTTGCTTTTGAAGTTGTTTTGACAGCAATTGCGCTAGATGATAACTAGGAACCTGCTAGGAAGCATGTCGCTTTTAAGAATTCTTAATTTTAATACTTTGTTTTAATGTCTCTTTGTCATTCTTTCGTGTCCCGTAAATTTAACGTTTGAAAAGCCCTTTTTTTGTTTTTTCAATTAAAATGTTATTTAATTGGTTCTTTTTTTGGACAGCGAGCGCTATCATTCTTGAGCTTGAATACAACAAGTTCTCTTCAGAGGAGCTCGAAGTTAAGCAAAAGGTATTGATTAAACCTCGGTTGTATAAACCTCTTAACTATTTGCGTAGTTAAATCGTAGTTGACTCAGAAATACACGACACTGATTGCTCAATTCTGTCACTAAAAGACACTAACTATAGTTAAAAGTTAACTACGTTTTTATACAACCGTCCTCGGCGTCAGAGCATTAGTTTTTCATTCACTCGCTCACAGTATCAAAAGTAGAAAATCGTACACTGATCAAAGCAAAAAGTTCAAGTGTAACAGCCCCTAAGACTTTTAGATTTAGAGGTTTGCACGTGCGTCAGGGGCGAGTTCTTTCTGACGGATTTCTAAAATTCTATTTTAAGCCAATGCATTTAGCTACAAACGTCATTGTGTGCGTGTACGTGCACGTATGTAGTATAAAGGCTCACACACACCGGACGTGATTCATTAACGCAACGCCGTGAGCTTTCAGTTTTTTGAAGCAAGTAAATCAAATTCTGGAAGGAAACTTTGAGAGGTTTTGGCCACAAACATGTCCAAAGAACGTATCATTCAGTAATTATCAAGAATATCATAACAAGGTGAAAATGAGTTGGTTTTGAAGACTCCAAAATTCGTAAAAATCGCGTCGCGTTGGCGGATCGCTTAGATTCTATATGGACATGAACAAGTACATGTATAAAAAAGCTAAAATATTTCAAAGACAGGTCCTATAATATAAAGATTTATCGATTTACGTATATCTCAGTTATCTCAGCAATCGATTGATAGTAATTCCCTTGCAGTCCAGTCTGTTCTCATAACGAATGGGATCCATTGGAGGAGGTGATTGTTGGCAGACCAGAGAACGCTTATGTTCCACCATTCACCATTGAAGTGAAGTCGAATACTCATCAGAAATATTGGCCCTTCTACCAACAACATGGCGGTAAGCCGTTCCCACGTGATCATGTCTCGAGAGCAGTGGAGCAAATCGATGAATTTTGCAACATTTTGGAGCAGGAAGGAGTGACCGTCCGTCGACCAAGTGTAATGGATCATGGCGAGGTACAAAAAATATTTTTAACTAAATGTGGAGGAATTTCTTTTGTTACCAATCAGCAAATTTATTTACATTTTCAGTCATTACAAGATTATTTGCATTTTTTTTCGTTTTTGTGTCATTTTCAGCACCGTTGGGCCTGTTTTCTTTGCAGGAGCAAAACCGTTACACCTCAGACTTAAAACTATGTGTAAGATTTTCTTGCTTTAGGAGTTTAGAACACCAGATTTCACTTCAACGGGGATGTACGCAGCGATGCCTCGTGATATTCTTCTGGTCGTTGGTGAAGAGATCATTGAAGCTCCAATGTGTTGGCGCTCAAGATTTTTTGAATACAGAGCTTATAGAGATCTCATGAAGGAATATTTTCATGCTGGGGCCACGTGGACAGTCGCTCCGAAAGCATTAATGGACGATGCTTTGTATGATAAGGTTATCAGTTCATATGTCAATTTTACGGGAGCGTCAGTTCCAAATAACATTGAACAATTTATCAGTTGATCAACTGACATTTTAGAAAACTCATTGAAAAACGTCTTATTCCCCTCTGACCTTTTCTTTCTGACCGAAACAACTTTCGCAATTCGTATTGGTCATTTTATTGACCTATCAAATTTAAATTTGTTCAATGAGCCATCCTGATTGGCCGATGAACGGGAAGTAAGGAATGTTTCAAGGCGTTTCCCAAAGCGTTTTCCAAAACAAACTCCGTAAATAGTAAATATCGCTAAAATGAACTTGACAATCAGAGAATGGCCACAGCCACCATATCTTTGCAAATTCTGCGTTTTAAACGTTTTAGGACTACCCGATAAACTCGGTCGAGGATCGTCACAAGTTGGCGGCCGAAGGCAAGTTCGTCACAACTGAACACGATATTTGCTTCGACGCAGCGGACTTCATGAGATGCGGAACAGATATTTTTGTTCAACGCAGCCAGGTACTATTTGGTTAATTTTCAAAGCAACTTTACTGCGCAGAATACAGTCTGCATTGGCGAAAAAAAAGTGATGAAAACTTAAAATATTTAGGTGACAAACAGTTTTGGTATTGAGTGGATGAGAAGACATTTGGAAACTAGGGGATACAGAGTTCATACCATATCCTTTGGTGACCCCAATCCCATGCATATCGACGCCACGTTTAACATCATTGGACCCGGTTTAGTCCTATCTAACCCCGACCGTCCTTGTCACCAAATAGACATGTTCCACAAGGCGGGATGGCACGTGGTTAAACCACCAACACCACTCATCTCTGATGATCATCCATTGTGGATGTCTTCAAAATGGTTGTCCATGAATGTTCTTATGTTGGATCCAAAGAGAGTGGTGGTTTCAAAATATGAATATCCAACACAAAAGGTGAGTCAGATTCTGGTGAGATTTTTAGGGATTTCAACACTTGCAGGCCTGTATTTCAATTTTCACTATTTTCCCTTTTACATGACAAGTTTGGCACTTTCTCAACATATACCTGCACTTATCCTACAGTAGCTGGTTTTAGCATGCTTATAGCCATGATTCATAAATTTATTTTAGATGTTTGAAGATCTGGGTATTGAATGCATCTTGGTGGATATTTCCTATGCCATGTCTTTGGGCGGAGGATTTCATTGCTGGACGACAGATGTGAGAAGACAAGGAACGTTAGAATCTTATTTCAACATTTGATTGCACAAAAACTGGTTAGTTGAGTTTTATGATGCATCCATTTTTACATACCAAGTTTTTTATTGTCTAGCTGACTCTTACAGTAGGCCAATTTTTAAATAAAACAATTTTCTATGATATATATATAATGACTTGATTGAAATAATGGGGGAATTTGTGCCAAGTGGTGGGAGGAGGGGGGGGTCTGACCCGACCTAGACTCATCTGACAGGGATCCGAATTGTGCAACTGATCAATTTAATTCAAGATTTTTTCAGAAGGGAACACAAAATACAAGTCATAATTATGTTAGTAAGAAATTTATTGAAATAATTTAAAGTTAAAAACAACCATAAAGAAGAGATCATCATTACAAAACTGATTCTTCAAACTATAAGAGATAACCAAATTGCTAAACAGTTAGAGGTTTGTAGATATACACAAACAATATCATTATTCACACATCACAACAATGTCTAAATGTCTTTCAGTCTACTTTATAACACGGGGTGCAATCATTTCTCCATGACTATAATACCTGCACTCGTTCGGAGGAGAAATCTTCAAAGTTTCCGTCGAAATGTTTTCCCGCTTGAAACCAACTTCAAGCAGTTTTGGTATTTGGGTTTCCTGAAACATCTTCGTAATGTTGCTATATGTTCCTTTCATATACTCACCCCATGATGTTAAATTGCAGTAGGTCAAAATGCCACCTACGGATTAATAACACAATCCTGTTTTATTTCAATAAGATAAGAACCTGAAGACAAGTGCAATAATAGGGGTGGCCATCAAGGCATATATACTAATGAATACTACAATTTGTAATATACAATTCTTACCCAGATGTGAAATCAAGCATATTCATACAATTAGCACTCGTATTCATTTGGTAATATGACAACCGTATACATCACTGATCACTGCACAAACAACATCCTTATTATGTAATTAGGGCCTTATAGTTGTACTAACCTGGTCTCAATAATCGGTATGCTTCTCTAATAAAAGGAAATTGATGGGTGTGCCAAGTTTCTTCAGACAAAGGATATGTATCGTATAAGATACCATCATAGCTTTCATCCTCTAACTTTGACACAACATCTTCCCACAGTCCTAAAAGTTGAACAATGTTTTCTCAACACACACATTGTCACATTACCTCTGCTATGGTTTACCTACTCCTTGGAAAACTTTACCAAGTTAATATTTAACTATTTAAGACAATATTTATATATTCGATTATTCGTCTTATGCCCGACTGATTTCTTTTGTACGCTATTGTTCCTGCGGGTAAAAAGAGCATGAATATATTTAATATACACCCCACGGCCCACAAGCATCAATATCTCCCAGTTAGCGTTTACCTTTCATTGGCGTTACTTTCGGTACAGCTCCGTCTGCAAACTTTTCCAATTTCTTATACACTTCTCCGTTGCATTCAATAATAACATGCTCTTTAATATCAAATTTCTGTATTGCTGTTGCCGAGATAGCCATGCCAAATCCTACTTCCAAAACTCGCCCACTATTTGAAGTCGCTATTTCTGCCAGCTTGTTCATATATGGCGTCTCCCAGCTCTCCATGACTGGTTTACCCATGATTTCCAAGTGCGTGTCCGTGTGTTTTGTCTCCGCCTTATCCCAAATATTTTTATAATCTTCTCCTTTTTCGTACACTGCTTTCTCGCATTCGGCCGCCATTTTTTTTCGGTTGACTGCGGAAATTATGCAAAAATCCAGCAACAACACCAAATAAGGAGAGGCCAGTGAGAGGTTGGTGCACAGAGAGAGAAATTTTTATATATCACTACATTCGAAGAACAAATAATATCGAATTATTTTAGAATAATAATATCGTTTAATAAATTATTCACCTGACAATTTGAGGTCCCTGGTTTGTTTTCCTTCAAAAGAAAGCAAATCTTGGTATTTTTTAATAATTCCTAGCTTTGTTTTGATGGCTCTTTGTCATTCTTTCATGTCCCGTAAATTTAATGCTCGAACGGTAAAGATGCACAATGTTTGAAAAAGGTCTCTTTCTGTTTTCATGGCAGTGAAAAGCAGCCCTTAGTATAAAAAACGCGATTGCCTATTAGCGTAAGCACCCTGGAGATTCTCTGTGGAAATGCACTCTTGTTATACAAGTAAGTGTATAAAAAAGGAAGGAGATAATAGGCAGTAATGTTTCAGTGTTAAACGAGGAATATTACTCAGATCTCGGAGCATGGATTCGAGAAAATGTCAAGCCAAGAAAAACTGAACAGTGGACAAAACATCTCGAGCAGTTTTGCATGGATGGTGACAGCTGGACTTCCTAAAATTGGATAAATCAGGCGTAACAGACACATATAGATGCATTCATATTTTGCGTCTCTCAAAATGGAAGAAAACTGAATTCGCTTTGCACGAAAAATATCGCAGATCGCTAGTGGAAACCTATCAGCTTTACACAATAACACAGAATATTGGAAATAAATGTCTTTTTGCTGTTGTCTACAAGTCAACTACTATTATTAAACTACAGTTAAAAGCGAGTATTCTGATATTGGGTTCTTTCATCTGTTTCACAGTTTTTCTTAATTTCTTCGTTTTCTCGTTCTACAGAGAGAGGTTTGCTTTTGTCATCGTCACTTCTCATTGTCTTCATAGTCATTGAGCATGAGAGGTCTTGCCTGCTCTCCGGCTCTACAGAAAGCGAATCGCGTTTTCCAAAGCAGGATTCCATTTCTTGATTGTGCGAAAAACCTTGGTTATCTTCTGGTTTTATCGAGAAAGGCTTGCTTTCGTCCACGTCACTGCTTGTCTTCAACGTGATTGAGAGGTCTTGGCTGTTTTCTGGCTCTGCAGAACGTGAGTTGCGTCGCTCTGTGCAAGGCTCCGGCTCTTGGCTGTGCGAAAAGCCTTGGTTATCTTCTGCTCTTACAGAGAAAGACTTGCTTTTACCAACGCCACTACTCGTTTTTTTCAATGTGATTGAGAGATCTTCGCTGCTTTCTGGATTTACAGATAGTGAGTTTCCTTGCTTTAGACAGGGTTCTTGGTTCTGAGAAAGGGCGTGGTTTTGATCTGGTATCACAGTTCGAGACTTGCCTTGGTCATGATGGCTGACTTTCTTCAAGGCGAAGGGTATTGAGAAATCTTGTCTGTTTTCTGGCAAAACAGAAACTGAGCAGCCTTGTTCTATACAAGGATCGCCTGTCTCCTTGTTCCGAGAAAAACCTTGCTGGTTTTCTGGATTATTAGTGGATGCGTTGTCTTGGTTAGATCCTAATTTACCTGCAGGGGGGTTAGCTTGGCCATCGTCATGAGCAGGCTTCACGGAACTAAGACCACGACTGATGACGTCGGCTGTTTTGCGATAGAAATAATGAAAAACTTCTTTGTATTCTGCACGAAATGCTGGACTGTATATCCCATAAAGGAAAGGATTGAAACAGCTATTCAGGAAAGTTATCATGACGCAGGTAAAATGAACGATCCCGTCCGGACTGAGAACACCATACTTAGTTAAGGTGAAAGTGACACGTCCTGGCATCCATCCGATGATCAGCGCGGAACATGCTAACCAGGCCACCACCGTTATTCTGCGAAGTTGAACATCCCGATTCGAGTTTAACCGAGGCAGCTTCTTCAGTGTGCAGTAAATATGAATATACAACACAACAATTGCGGTAAAAGGTATTAGAGTTTGCACGGTTAGAGAAATCCAAGTGACTTCCTCGTTCACTTGCGGTATGCTCGTCCACTGGCATCGCTTTTCATCTGCATTGTATTTCACACGAAAGGCAACACCGAGATTGACAGCAAAACCCCAAAACCATACAAAAATAATCGTATGAACTGCGTGTTTTGATTTCACTGAAAGATATGTAGTTGGTTTTACCACAGCGCACCAACGTTCCACAGTTAACGCGACGCATGTATATGCAGAAATGTAACCCATGTCAAAGGCGAGTCTTCCCGACCATATCATTTGACAGAATGCTTCGGCAGCTGTGTAACTGTAGGTCGGTATTGGCGGAAGATAGAGGAAACGGCTAAAATAAAATACGCACGTTTTAAAGAGTTATATATTTTATTATCTATCCAGCTTAACTTGTATTATTTAAAAAAGACATGCGGCCATACGAGAACGGTTTGTATTCAGACTCGATAGGTACAGACTCTATAGAACAGAAAAATTAGGCTGTATAGTTTTACGGCATGTTTACATGGAGCGAGTTATACTGGCTAGGCGTCAGGCGAGGTGAAAACTGCATATAATGAAAGACTAATCAGGTTAAGCCTTTGATGTGATGCGCTTTTTACCTCGCCTAGCCAAGATAACTCGCTCCATGTAAACAGGCCCTTAATTTTGTAATTAAAGTTTTATACTGCATGATAGTTGTTTACGAAATTGATGAGTCGTTTATGAGGTAATTTAGACCTAACTGTTTAGAGTATACACTTAGTGAACAACATTAATACTAAGTATAGTTAACTACTCAATTCAGTTGTTTTTAGCTGTTGTTTTGCATGCTCGGTTACTAAACGCCCTAAAACTAAATTCTATGAGCTTAGGCTATGAACTTGATTGTTTTTCAGTGTAAACAACGGGAGAGAGCTTTGGTGAGAAAATATAGACTTTCGTGAAATGTGGTAATCATTTATTGAGCACAGCAGCATCGAAGTGCCTTTGTACTCTACGAAAACCTCAAAGTTCAAAGGTAGGCCTATATATAGCCTCGTAGTTGTTAACACGCTTAAGAATTAGCTGTGCGATGGATGGAACTACCGTGGGTCTGTATTATATATAGGTATTTTTCTGGTAAATCACCAAAGCCATGCAACTCAATTTCCCTATAAATCACCATATAAGTCTTTCGGCTAGAATCTTTATAATCATTATATAAGTCACAAAGCGCAGGTCTAGATCTAGGTATGAATGGTACATAACGTCGGTGCAGTTTATGCGAAACATGCACAAATATCGCGTACCTATAACGTCTTACCTGAATATCAAAAAGATAGCAGTCAAAAAGTCCACAATCGCCAGGTTCAGGATAAAGACCATGTACGGTTGATTCAGGAACTTTTTCCGTCGAATGAGCAGAACATAAATCACTAAGGAGTTCCCAACTAAAGCAATGACAACAATCAGAGCATACAGAGGGAATGTAGCCCAGGAGTATTCGTGAGATCCAGACATTGTTGTGAAACTGTTTCAGCAATACAATGAGCTCCAAGTATAGAAACAATATAATTTCAATGAAATTAGCCCGTATCACAATTTAAGTTTTGATTATCATAATGATGTAATTATATCCAAGCACCGCCGTTATAACAAACAGCTCAAACTTAAGGTGTGAGTGTTTTTTCCGTTGAACATCAAATGATATTGATCTAAGTGAGAGTGGTAGAAACAAAGGTTTAAAGGCCTCTCTATGGGCACCTAGTTTCCACCAAAACAACAGACTACATATGCATACGTATATCAAAGACGTGCTTATACGAATACTGATAACTATATTTTAATATTCATAGAAAAAAAGATTGTTTACATCATTTGCTTAAATTCTTTACTCTAAAGTGAAAAAAATTAACTCGTTATCTTATGTGAGGCACTCTCTCATGTGATAGCATCAAAATATATATCTCAAGTATGTACTGTGTGATTGTTAATAATGGAACATTCTTGTACAAATTCTTGAGCTACTTTCTGTCCTTTCTACCTAATGATTTCACAATAAAGTAGGTATGAGATCTATCACATAGAAAATATTTATAGGGTTGATATATTTTCTACCACCTTACTTTAAGTTAACGATAATTCCTTGGATAACCTCGGAATGTATATTTGTTCACTTCTTGGGATTGGGTGTGGTCATGTTTGGGGATATGCAACTAAGAACATTCTCCTGAGAAGAAACCTTATCTTTGTTATAAAATCCATTTAAAAGATGCAAAATATGCTGACAAGCTGGAGTGAGATTTCTTTCTGAGTATTTCTGGTAACTTCATAGCTTTGCAGGAGGTGCCCAGTTCCTTCCCTCTGTCGGGAAGGCTTGGCGACTCACTGATCATCGTGTTTTTCATCGTTTAAGAAAGACAAAAAGTATTAAACTTCATTCTTATGGGGCTGCATAAGCTTTGAAAATATTAGCATTCATTTATGGAACTAGTTTATGATAACAGCCAAACTGATTCGCATCAATTCCAAGGCTGTTTCAAGGAGGTAATCTCACAAAGACCAGTCTATATATATATAGGTATCGGAGGTTCAAAGCAATTAAATATTAAATGAGGTTCTTAGGGCAAACATCAATCATCAATGTACGTGCTAGCATGCACAACTTTCCCTAGTGATGCTTGAAAATTATTGCAATTATACATGAAGAGGACACTTCATCGTTTCATTGTAAACACTAGAGATTTTCGTAGCAGGGGGCAGCATTAAACAATGCAGACGGAATACATGAACGGCGGGCAATTAGTAACACTTAACGTTACAGAAAATACGATATATACTGACACAGATACGATAAACTTGTATTTCATATTTCGTATACATCTAGATGTAAGCATCAATTATTTTTTTCCTGAAACATGCACCAAAAAATTTTATAGAGCAAACTGTGAATACAGAATTACTTTTTTAAAACAGATAGTAGCAATATCCATTTCAAATATTTGCATTGTCATCAAATATATATTTATATAGTTCAGAAGTATTGACGAAAGCCCTTGTAGGTCGAATCGGGATTTTTTCTTGTATATTTCAGGCAATTGCCATGCTAGATTCGATACTTAAAGAAGCTATAGTCAAAGATAATCATGGACATCATCTTTTTGTCGAAAAACATAAGAATTTCTTGTCGTATCTCGTTCTTGTTGAAGGTATATTTTGATTCTAAGGATCTTGTAAAGGCATCGTGAACTAGTATGGGAGCGTATTCTAGACTAAAATATATTAGGTAAAGTTTTTAGAATTCAATATTTTTATTCGTTGAACTGTTGCCTGGGCGCGTTGTAGACAACATCGTTGCCGCTGATTCTCACAGTAGCAACCACGGCTCCTTCCGTCTTGAAACTCCATTCGACCTCCCCCGTTGTGGCACGTAATGCGACCATTTCCCCCCGGATTGAACCCACGTATAGCAAACCGTTTGTAGCCAGCCTCGGCGAGGAGAATATTTCTGATTCATCGATATTTTTGGACCAAATGATATCACCGTTATCAGAGTTCATATGAAGTACCATACCACCTCCTGTTGCAAGAAACATGCGCCCGTCGTCCAAGACCAGCGGTGATGATCGAACTTCTGGGATGAACACTAAGATATATAATAAAGATGCTCGCTTATCGTCAATTCGTCAAGAAACGGGGAGAAAGAAAAGGGAATAAAGTAGGCGGAGTAATTAACCAGGTATTCTACAGTATGAGAGAACGAATGTTCAGGTTCTATATAGAGATCTCATATATACTGCCTGATCGTGAGCTTTTATGTCCTCAAGGGTCTGGGGATAAAATGGCGCGAGAGGAGATGCTCTGTTGTTTAATTCTACTCACCAGACTTTTTCCATTGTATACGACCGCTCTCAATGTTAATGCTGTACAGTGTTCCTTCAAGACAAGCGACATACATGATTCCAGATGCTCTATGGATAGAAGGGGACGAGTATACCTCCGACTGTACTTCTATTTGCCACAATTGCTCTCCATTATCCAAACGTATCCCATGGCATGTTGCTTGGACGGTACAAAACACGACTATATTACGTTTTTCGTCGATAGCCGCAGAGGCGAAGATTCCACCAATCAAAGATGACCAGACAGTCTTTCCAGTCTCCCCATCAAGCGCGTAAACCAGACCCGTGCCAGGCTTTTCAGCGAGCCCTCCGGTAAATACAAGTTTTCCTCCAGACGCCAAAGCGGGCGTGGCCCACACAGGAAACCCAATATCTGCTTGCCAAATCAAGTCACCAGAGGAGCTGACGCAATACATGTGGCTGTCAAGGCAACCGAAGTACAAATTTCCAGAGTCGCTTAATCTGACCGACGAGGTAATAGGACCACCGACGCGAAATTTCCATATAAGGGAACCATTAGTTGCATGAAATGCTCTCATGTATTCGTCATCCGCTCCACAGTATACCACTGACCCGTTTACCAAACAAACCGAGCCAGTCTCGTCAGCAGTTTGATGTTTCCAAAGTAGGGAACCATTATTCCCATCTAAAGCGTACATCCAGTGATCGTCCGAACCGAAATATATAGCAACATCATTTTCAAGGTCGACAGCACGTTCTACCACAACAGACGGGTTGTCAATGATCTCTGCCTTTGCAGCAGCCTTGGTCTTGTCTTGGGATTGCTAAAAATCATTGAATACAAGTCTTAAAACTGGAAGAGCAAAATGCAATCTGTGAACTCAATCTTTAACACAAATCTTAGCCCCCCACATTTCCAATTCTACTCTTCAACCTCACCAAATATTCACTGTTCTATACTCTTAACTTTTATCATAATCCCGGCTCCTAAGTCCCCAAAACAACTTACAGATTTCTCAATAGCTTCAGTTAGCTCATCTTCATCGATCTGTCCTTGTAAGTCACGTATCGTGCTGACATCATCGGCGTTTAGAGGCACGTACTGCGCAGCAAAGTTCAACGCGATGTGTTTGGCATTGCTTGAACGTGGTACCACGATCACATTTTCCCACAAGGCCCAACGTATCACGACCTGCGCAACTGAGGCGTCGTAACGTGCGGCGATGCTGGATAACACTTGGTTCTCCAACACTGGGTTGTATGGCAGACCAATGTCTGACCAGGAGCGGCCTAGAGTGCTAAAGATACGGAAATCGGATCACGGAAAACGGATCACAAAACCATCATAACGGTTGTTGAATTCAGTCATTCAGAGTAATTTATTTTACAAAGCAGAGTATTATACATTTTATAAAAAATATCAAGTGTAAAGTAACGAAGAAACGCGTTACATCTTCTTCACTGATCTTAAGAAGTGTAAAGAATATTTACTGTAACACCACGTACCTATATCCCATGTATGCAATGCCATGATCTTGGCAAAACTGCCTCGTTTCAATGTCTTGTATAAACGGGTCAAACAGGTTTTGTACTACGGATGGTTTGTGACGAGAGATCTCCAATAGTCGCAAAAGATCACTCACTTCAAAATTACTAACTCCAATACTCCGCACTTTACCTGCAGGAAACGATTCATCACTTTCGATATTGTACCCGAGTGATCTTAAATGGCGGGAATGGACTGGGACCAGTTGTCAAATAAAAATCCATTTCTCCGTTGAAACAGCTTAATGTATATCTTAAAATATACTTTATCTCGCTCTCAAATTTATGTCAGAGCTATAGTTCTTATAACTGAACATAATTACAAGATCTAAAACCAACAGTTTCATAAACTTTGACTCAAAATTATTCATATTTCACCTTGATCAACAGCATTCTCCAGTTCAAACCACGCATCTTCCCATGTTCTAGTAGATGATTCTGCTGCCCCGTTGCAAGACAAACGGCCATCTTCCTCACATTCCATTGCGTGGAGTAACATCACATCAATGTAGCTCACCTGTAGAGTAAGGTATGTGTACTGAGAGTTATTTGCGTCTTAGAGGTGAGTGTATTGGGTGGTGCCCGCACTATGTCTGTATTAAGGAGGTGACTATATTAGAGAGGTGTGCATATTAGAGAGGTGTCTATGTTAGGTAGGTGTTCCGTATTAGAGAGGTGTCCGTATTAGAGAGGTGTCTATATTGAAGAGGTGACCCTATTAGGGAGGTGACCATATTAACGAGGAGTCCCTATTAAAAAGATATGGTGCTGTCCGGAGAGATGTCTGTGTTTGAAACACAAATCATTTTAGAGAATGGTGATCATATTAGAGAGATGACCACATTACAGAGTTATTAATCTTAAAGCGTTTCATATTCCATATTAGAGAGTGTGTAAAACCAGAGCTATTGAATGCTTGAATTTAATTACCCTAAGTTTTTCAAGAGATTGTTCAACCGACTGTATGGTAGCACCAGCTTTATGAAAATCTTTAGGATGTATCTTATCCACAATTATGATTTCCTCTCTAGGTATACCACTAATTTCTATTGCTTCTCCAATTGCTTCTTCATTCTTGTAAGCTACAGCTGTATCAAATAACCTAACAGAACAAAATATTAGGATTAGAGCAACGACATTTATCTTGAACAAAGACTGAGCATAGCGAGTTTGTCGTGGAATTCCCTAATATTTTAAAACGTAAATTCCACTGTAATTTAGATATCAAATTGCCAATGGACTGTAAGAAGATGAACATCTTGAGCCTGAATGAACTATGACTTGTCTGTTTTATCAATTGTAACACTTGCCTGTATCCAGACTTTAATGCCGTCAGCGTAGATACCTTTGCTTCATCTGTTAGGAAACCAGTTCCAAATCCCAAGAGAGGAACTATAAAATGATACCCAGTATATAAATTTCTTTCACAAGGGACAGCTTTTCAGGAATGATTGATCAAACCTGTAATGCAACGCACTCAACTTGCACTCACAATATTTTATCAACTTTGTACTTACTTTCATAACCTGATAGCATCTTTAGTTTCTTTACTCCCATTTTATATTTTTCTAACGATGGCATATCCCATTTGCTTTCATCTGGCCAATAATATCTTCCCAGTGGCTGATTTTGATTCCTGCATGCGATAGTCTCTGGATACTCTTTTACGCACTCCTCAAATAATTCAGCATGCCTAACAACCTCCTCCATTTTCTACATTAATTGTTGATAATAATTTTATAGGAAACTATGTTTTTCTATCCTGAAATTTCATGGGGAAGGTTGGGGATGATTGAGGAGTCAGTGCTGTAATGATATACAAACAAGGGATATATGTGAACTAGCATATACTTACAAACTCTTCAGATGAGTTACTGCATTCTGTTGAAAATTGTGAAAACCATAAGCTGATTCCAATATTGGGAGAATCATATGACCTAACTTGATGCCACCATAACTGTGGGTTGTAAAGAGCATCGCCAGCTTCAAGAGTAACCTAAAAACAACCAAAGGGCACACCAATGACTTAATGGAATCAATGTACAAGATTGATAGGTGATGACGGTGTAAACTGTAAAGCAGGTCAGGATTAAGGAATTGTTGGACATGCTTAATTGATGTACGATAGGCTTATTAATTAATGTACATCACCTACAACAGCTAGATACATCACCTACAACAGCTAGATACATCACCTACAACAGCTAGATACATCACCTACAACAGCTAGGTACATCACCTACAACAGCTATAGATACATCACCTACAACAGCTAGGTACATCACCTACAACAGCTATAGATACATCACCTCATGAAAAGCTACACCAGCCACACCCGGATATTTGACGAGGTCCACATTCTCAGGATCAATAGGAGACAGCCCTGGAACCGTGATATACTCGTCTGCATGAAGTCTTGCGCTGTATGATGTATTTGCAATCAACAGAACCTTTTTTCCAGACAAAACTGTCAGAATATTTTCATAGCCATCCTGATGTAATACATAACTTGTTCCACCATTACTGTACAGCAAATGGATGCTACTAATTTTCGTCATTATCTCTTCACATTGTAAACAGAATGGAACTGCAATATCCTTCGTTAAATTACTTTGAGGAAATGCACTATCAAGATACACCTCTTGGGTCTTATAAATATCAAAAAACTCATTCAGTGTTATAGTTTTCTTTATTGGAGGCTTGCGTTCATATCGTTTGGTGAAATCTACCTCAAATAGCACATCACCATATTTCGATCTCATATACGTTTCATTTTTCCAGTATTCAAATGCTGGCCATTGCTTGCAAGCACCGCGGATGATGAGGGGCCTCCGTTTGCGGACAAAGTTTTCATAAAAATCCTTTCCATTGGGGAAATAATCAAGTTCATCAATTTCTCCATGTAATATCTTCCCTTGTTCTCCGAGTTTGCCTGAATGATGGAAAAGCTTTAAATCCGCTTCTGATAACGGAGTTACACTTTCCCCATTGTTCAGTTCATGCCTGTCAAATGTATAAGTAACATATCCAATGTCTTTCAAAAGCAACAAAATGAGTGACAATGTAACAACAATCATTTCAGTGTGAGATTAAAAACAGTCTTGTAATAAGTCCCGCGCACTAGCGATAGACAAGTCAGTGTTCCTCTTTCTTTCAAAGATATATTATCCAGATTATGATGAAGTATATATTAGCGACGTATGATTATAATGCTATTATGTGTGTAGTAAAACATCTGCCCGGACTGGCCCTCCATTAATTATTTCCCCGCAATTCGCATATATAAGACAGCGTTTCATTATCCCACACAAGCAATTATGAACTTTTCTTCCTTCTCTTTCGATCATATATCAACACGATGCCAGCGTTAAACTTTTAGAAACAAACTGTCAGGCATAATTAACCTTTGAAATCTACGGTAGTACTTCCTGTCACAGGGCTGTCAATGATGTTTTGTTTATTATTATTCATTTTTCTCCGCTTCTTGCGCGCTTGAATTTTGCGGAAATAGTAAATTTGATACCCTGAAAGTATTTTTATGTGTGTTTTTCAAAAAGTCCTTCTCAATCTTTGAAAAATTTTATCACATATGCAGCCGTTTCATCTATTTAATAATAATACACTTTACAAGCATTGTAAACAAAAGCCTCCAAAGCACCTGCAATGCAATCATTTGCAAATCTCACAAAGAAAAACATGAAAAAAATATCCGTCTCTTTTCTTCAAACTGAGTTGAATTTCACTTTGAAATAAATAAAATATAAACTACGATTTTAAGACGGAATAATCCTGGGTCATTGACAATGACAAAAGACGATGAAAAATTGTAGGTAAAAATGCACTAAAAATAATTTATAATTTGTAGTAAAAAAAACGAAAACTGTTTTTCAAAATGTTTTTCAAGAATTGCGCAGAATTAAAATGCTACGGCGCGCGTCGCAATGGTCGGAACTTGTTTACCTCGGGGGTGTTTTACAGAGATCAATTTACCCTAGGTTACTTCGCACCATACGAACTAAAATCCCAGTTCTTTTACCCCAGTCACATCATAGTAATCGAAAAAAATAAACATGAACAACAACGGTACGCTTTGAGACAAGTTTTTCCATCGGCATGAATTTATCGAAGCAACTGTCACATCAAACCAATGGAACCTGAACGTAGAAGCATAAAAGAGACCAGTTCGCTATCGAAAAGTCGGAAAGGTCCACGGACTTGTTATGGTGCGACAAGACAGCCAGAGAGTTCAGCCGATTACAAGCTTGCTGTTCATAGTCTTGATCAGTCTGATACCTTACAAGGATTAGCGATAAAATACGGTGTTACGGTAGGTACACTGTGTATTTTAACAAAATTTGTATTGTCGAATATTTGTATTTTTAGTAAGTATAGTGGTTTGTGTTGGGAATCTTTGATCTGATCTCTCGCCTTCTTTAGTCACAGTGAATGTAGCATACATATAAAGTCATAAAAGATATTTAAATTTTATAAATTTTACAAAGGCTTCTTTCTAATTATAATCGACAAAAAATTCTTAAATTATTTGTGATTTTTTCATGACAAAATGTTCAACTAAAGAGTGTTAAGTACTGCATTGTAAATTTATATCAAGAGACTGTTGATTTTTACAGAAAAGTAAAATCATCTTAAATCAATCAAACTCACTGAGTAATCGAAAGTTATTTGTTGCAGCAGGAGACACGCATTGATAGTTTCGTTAAAACTGATTAAGGAGCTTTTCAAGTAAAATAAGGAAGTCCAGGCTGATGTAATTCACATAAATCTCACTGTAGGATACAATAAAAATGCCTCTTATTAATGGATCATTAAAGGGCTGACAGATAATTTCAGGGGAAATTACCAGACTTTCAATTACAGATTGCCTACTTTATTACAAATTATGTTCGTTGAAGCATGCAAGCACCTTGTATGCTGTAGGAAAGATATCATATTCTACCTCAGTTCACTCAAAAAGTGAATGATATAATTTTATATTATGCTGCATCTGTTTTCAGGTAGAGCAGATCAGGAGAGTGAACAAACTATGGACTAATGATAATATTCACATTTTGAAAACTTTAAACATACCAGTCAAGTTGACTTTTGGTGATGGCTTAACAGAGGCCACATCTTGTGATGATGGTCAAAGTATATCCATGGATAAAAAACTACAAGGGCCACATGAATGTGACAGCGAAGAAAGTGTGGACTCTGGGGTACATGAGGTTCACCATGGGGATATAAGTATTGATGTAGAAGGACATTCACAAGCTGAGAGCTCAAGGACAAAGAGAGCCATGTCAAAAAATGAAGATGATTCATTGAACTCATTCTTAAAAAAGTTTGATGGTGATATGAAAGCTTCAATACAAAAGGCAAAGAAACAAAGGTACTTCTGGCAATTCTTTATTTCAAGAGATTTCCAGATTACTTTTATCTCTGAAACCACTCCTTTGGAGCAAAAAATAATGAATCTAATATCTAGCTATCCTTCAAAGAATAATTTCTATGTACATACCTATGTGTATCCTAGCTTTTCATTACTTTTAAACATACTGTACGTAGATATATAACTGAACGCTAAAGTTTTTTGTTTCTTTATTCAGATCAAGTAGCGTACCTGCATTGATCAACAACCTAGAAGCAAACCACGAAAAAGAAAGATCAAAACGACACAGTCAAAAGGACAGCAATCATGTTCGGTTGAAAAGCAACCGTGTGTTAAGGACTAAGAATTCATCACAAAGTGATAGTGGTTCTCATGACGATTTATTTGAACTATGAAAGGGTTGAATATTTGGATAAAATGATTGGGGAAATGATTGAAATACAATTGGTAGACATCCACCTCATTGGCTTGTCTGTTGCCTGCCTTTGTGGATGAAAAATTCAGTAAATGTGGCCAGTAATTTTTGCATGCATAAGAGAGCTTACTCTGTCTCTGTAGAAAATGGCATTCAGCAGAGAAAATATCAGCTGCACCTTTCAATTGTAAACCTTTTAACTCATGTCAATTCATAGTTTCTCATTAGTTTTTTCATGTGAATAATCATAGCATATTGAAACATGGTAGTATAATATAAATACTTGACTGATTGGCTATATATATGCAATGTTGTACATTGAATAAAAATTCTATGTTTATTACGTAAGTCTCGCAATATATATTTACACTTGAAATAATTTGCGCAGTGTGTTGACATCTCCTATGTGGTATTAATTTGCGCGTTTGTGTTGAATGCGCGCTATTAGGTGGAGTGCTTACCCATCTTTTCATTACGGTGACGTCATAATTAGCATATAGAGCGCGCGCGTGCTCCTCGGTTTTGATAACTTTGAAGAAAGAATCAAATATACGAAAGATGGAGAGGGTTGAGGATGACGATGATAGTGATATCGATACGGAAGAAATAAAAGGGCAACTAAAGACAATGCAAGATGCTCTGCAACGCCACTTTGGACATCACAAAGTAAGTGAAAGAAGAAGTATGACCTAGGGACCCGGTTGTTCAGAGCCGGAATACCCGCTATACCTGGATTTAATTTTAGTTAAATTTAACCTATTTTTATGTATGTATTTATGGATGACTGTTTTGTTCAAGACTTCGGAAGTATTGGAAGACAAAATCACTGTTAAATCGGGAAAGATTTCTGAGACAAACCTGCCATTGCCCTGCTTTTGACTGCATGACATTATTTTAATTCCTTGGTTTTTCATTTTTTTTCCAATCTGCCAGGACGTTGCAAGATTAAAAAGTGAGGGGATTTACGGTGGAAAAAAGGAGTATGTCGTGGTAACGCCAAACCTAGCTCGTTCCACGCCCAGCGAGACATTACTTGCCATGCGCGAAGAGCTGGAAGCTGAGCGGAAGAGGAGAATGGAACAGCTAACTGATGACGGTGATGATGAAGATTCTAAAATGACATCTGAGGCGAAAAAAGTTGTTAATGAAGAACTGTTACATTTGTTTGCTTTTCATGACGTAAGTTGAGTAAGCATGGTGCATATTGCCATATTGTTCAACTTAGAAATTCTCGGGATTTCCACGGATCTCCATGGAGAATCTTTGACTGACTTTGAGAACTTTTCATAGTTTTTGCATCGCTTTCAAACAGTCTTGTTTAAAAAATTTACCCAGTCAAAAAGTCTTTAAACATTCTATTAAAAACGTCCTAGAAAACGGAGCCATAGTTAAGAGCCAAACGCTGATTGAACTTATTGCGTGTTCTATTTTGAATGTAACCAAAGCTAGGTATGTGCTTTATACGAGATTTTATATAAATTTTACCTGCTTTATCTCCAGTCAAAATATCAAGTGGAAAATGAGCAATCTCGTCAGAAGGTCGAAGATGCAAAGGAAATCATGCACGCTGAGCTGTTGCGAAGGTCTGCGCAGAAAGTCGTCGATAAGGAAGTCGAGAAGGAGAGGAAACGGAAATTGGAAGAGCTGGACAAGATGATGCGAGGGGAAGGCGAGAATGAGGCTGATATTGCTGAAGCAAGCGAGAATTTAACGAGAGTTCAAAATGACCTCAAGAACGCGTTTAAAGTTGCCACAGTAAGTGTCTCAGACTGACTGGATCAAGCGTTAAGTAAGTCGTCGATCGTATATCGCCGGTTGATACTTGTAATGAACGGACTACGTTTTTTGAGTACTTGGTGCATTCAAAAGAGCCGGATAATCAGACCTTCCTTTACATTACAAGGGCGAACGAACATTTGTCAGACTAATACTCAGTCTCTTTAGTTTTTAAATTGCTTCAGCCACACACTCTGTAAAATGTAAACATGAAGTCATCAAGCTAGACACACCCACAATTTCTTTCACAAGGACACTTATGATAACTGACACAAAGTGCGTAAAAAACACGCTGATTCCAGTGGCTTATGTAATTATGTTTATATTAAGAAAACAAAAGAGAATAAGGACGTTGCAACTCAGAGAAAAAGCGAAGAAAACAAAGAAAAATTGCTGCAAGATATCCGCCGGAAATCAGCCGTCTCTTCGGCGAAGGACCTTTCCAGTAAAGAACAACAGCAAAGGATTGCGGAGTTTGATGAGCGCATGCGCGACATGTTGAGTGATAGCTCACGTGATCTTTTAGTCAATGTCCAGGAACAGTTATTGGGATTATTCTCCAGACTGAAGGTGAGATTTGTTTTCGAGGAAACGCGTCTGGCACGTGTGCTGGCTCGTGCCAGGAAGAGCCATTGTTGAATACGCTTTTTTGCTTACACAAACAGAGGGATAAACAGGTTCAGAAAGTCATGGATATCGACAAGACAAAAGAGAACAAAGCTCGGATGCAAGAGGAACTTGTTCGTACAGCTTCAAGTAAAATGGCGGACCGTCAAGCGAATGCAGAGCGTGCTCGCCGTATGTCGGAGAGTAAGAGTCAGGACGAAGATATTGAAAGGCAGGAGACGATCGAAATGCTCTTGAATGTCCAGAAACAGCTTTTGGATACCTGTGGCCATGTGCAGGTGGGGTCATGAGCTGATAAACAGAGCCTTGAATCCAGTGCACGGTACTAGTGTATGTTGACCCTTCCCACTTGTTAAGTATTCTGATCTATATTAACTCCATTCACTAGAAAGAAAATTTAAAACAAAACGCAAAACTGGTAAATTTTCTCAAAGCACGACAGAATGTCCTCAGTGACATTCGACACCGCGGTGGTATCACTTCAATGGTAAACGTTAGAAGAAAGTAAGAATCTCTTTCACTAGCCCGCTATTGATTCGCCGTTCTGCAGTGAAGCTAACTAGTATGAACACGCGCAAATATTCTCTGTATGTTCTGGTATTTTCAAATCAGCTTTTACTAAAAATTATCTCTTTGTAGTTCTGGAGATATGACAGACTTCAATCGTGCAGAGAAAGGCCGTAGGCTTTCCATGGCTGGTGATTTAACTGAGTTCAAACGGCAGGAAAAAGGACGCAAGCTATCTATCATTGGAGAACAATTTGAGTTCAAGATGCACGGGAAAATATAAATTCAAATCAGAGATTTTAAATTCATGGAATTTTTGTAAATATAAGCTTGGAGAAAACGATTTCTTGTATATGTGAATATAAAACACTTGAACTCTCTGTCTACTTTGGAGTTAAAAGTATGTGGAAATATCTGGATGACTGGATGAACCGATCGATATTTAATTGTTTCATTGATCTTTATATACGCGCTGGACTATATGCATAAATATTTTCCCAACATTATTAAATACCTCAATGAGAAATACTCGAATCTGATTGGCTCTCAAGTGGACGCTATGACGAAGCTATCATACAAGACGCCCAAATACATTCCTTGTTTGAGAATTTGTAAACGACAATTTGTCGTCTAAGTACAACAAACCTTTTGCAATTTTGGGTTTTATCGGAGTAAAGGAGCGAAAGGCATTGCTCGAGGTGGAATTAGATGGTCTAAGAAGACCAGTGTTTAAACCAGTCGTTTGTTGTATTGGTTGCGAAACGAACAAGTGGCTGTGGTATTATTAAACTTCGTGGTTTGTACTCTAAAAGCCAGTGCAAAATGCCCGTACGCGGTGCTGGCGAAGATCTAAGAGCTCGTGAGATTCGAGCCGAGCCAAGAGATCCTCCACCAGGTTATAGAGGACGAAAAGATCCGAATCCTCAAAGCTTTGAACGAGGGCCGTATTATCCCACCGAAGGTAGAGCATCCCCGCGAGCAAGTGAACCATATACCGCATACAAAGTGAGTTTGAGTTTTCAAATTTTACCTTCCTTAATCCTATTTCCTGAAAGAATTATTTTTTATCTCTGATACCTATCACAACAGTTCATGTGTTAAACCGTTTGATGTTCATTTTAAGTTGTCAATACAATGTATGTAAACCTAAGGCGATGCGATTTGTTGCTTGAGCAGTCGTTTTCAATGCGGTGTAAATTTCATAGTCGGCATCTGCGTACAAAGTATTGTTTTAAAAAGTTTTTTTGCGCGACTTCCGTGTGCCTTTTCGTGCTGAACTCGACCTGGGTTTTGCTCAAAGCTGCTCAAAGCCTTGTAAGGCATTATGTATATTGTTTAAATCACTGTAAACTGTATGAAGTCCCTGTTTTTATGTTGGGTTTATTGCGTGCAAATATTGCGTGAATCCATTACTGAACGCTACGAACTCCTTACTCGAACAAACACATCAAATTGCAACGAATTTATCAGTGCAGTGTTATTGCCAACGAGAACGATACGTTTTTTATCCCCTGCATACAACTATGAGATACAAATTGCCCAGTATGATTTCGTTTTAAAACAAACTGATTTTGGTTAAGCCTACTAGCGTAAGTATGAATATTCAGCTTATTAAAAACCCGGTGATCTGTTATTGTTTTGAAGATTTAAATTGTCCTTTTGCAGAACAATTTGTGGGCACTGAGAGCAAATCGTAGTGACGATATGAGACTCGGTATTGTCACTGCAGGCAATATTATCACCGTAGGCCTGTGTAGAATCCGTAAAGGCAAATGCGAGGCTTTTATACACAACATTCTGCTATTGCTAGAAATTGCAATAATATATAAAGATGGGGAATATCTATAATTGATACATTCTTCCAATTAGAATGGCTGATAATGTAACAATATCGAATACTCCTAACAAGACTTAATATTCTGAATTGTTGTGAATTTTCAACTGAAATTGGCAGTTATTTACGACTTGCGAGTAACGTGATACCCTTTACTGTTGTCTTCTTGACTACTTTTAGTTATGCTGTTGATGTACACTGTAGCATGTCTATCCAAACTTTTTACTAACGTAATTGAGGTCAACAGAGATGCAATATTTATATTGTATGTCTCGAACACAAATATAAATTCCTGTATTTTTAATCAAACAGTATTTGTGCCAACATATTTGCAGTTCCTTTGCTTAAAAAAAATTCCTTGAATGTTTGCTTTGATTAAGATCTAGAATGACTATCAAAACATGTTTGATCAGTGAAATAAATTGATGCTTATATGATATTTTTTTGCTCCAAGTCTATCCGTGCATTTTTCAATGTTTCTTAAGGCATCCTTATCAATATTCAAGTGCTGTCTTTATAACCAGGAAATTCCTGACTGTGACCCACCCACGTACTTCTAAATGCTCCTGACATGGAGCGGTAGAATTTTTGGTATTCAAATTGGCACTTGCAATCCTCATTGCATAGTGGTTACTGTTGTTAGGTGTACCCCCTGTGTGTACAAAATAATGAATCTGTGGACAAATGAAAGGATATTGGAATTAAATTAAATTCCTAAAAGATTTATTCAGCAGGAAGTGATTGAATAACAAGTGCATAAAATAACAAATAATTTTTTTATTCAAATGAGCAGTGAAGATCCATAATTAATTACAATTTAATTACTGGGTGCTTAGTGTGATGCAAAATAAACATTACAAATAGATATGTAAATTTGTGATCAATATTCTTTAAAGCATTTGTTTGTGCTTAATGTTACAACTTTTAGTTGAATAGAAAGTGTTTTTTATTCATCTGTTCAATTATAAAAATGTGCTGTTGTGAAGCCAGCAATCTTAGCCCATGCTATGCTTTTGAATTTTTCAGCTTTCAGATATGGAAAAACAGACAATCATTCTTGAAAAGGCTGCTCCTGATCAGGGATTTGGTATTGCTGTATCCGGTGGCCTGGATAACCCGCATTACGAGACTGGTGATACATCGATTATTGTCTCTGATGTTGTTGAAAGAAGTCCTGCTGATGGTTTGCTACGGTATGTCTCGTTGTGATCCCTGGCATTTGTTTTTCGAACATTTTAATGATTTATATTTACCGGTTGTGTATTTTCTTGTAGGATGAATGATGTTATTCTCAATGTAAATGGAGTAAATGTTGAAGGAGTTGAACATAGTGTGGCAGTTGAAGCTTTGAAAAACAGTGGCTATTCAGTTAAACTTGTAAGAGTTATGGCAGTGACTGTCAATACTTGTTCGCAGCACTGCACATTAATAAACACCAAATACATGTTAATGCTTCTAACATAATATTTAGTTGCCTTACCACAAGTTGAACAATTTCTAAATTGGAAAAATGAATTTCTTATTGTGCACAGAGTTTTAGCCAAGATATATAAAACACTTTTTCACTTTCTAGGTGATTTTGAGAAAGAGACCAAGTACAGCCACATCATCACCAACAAGCATTCCTTCCATTCAAGAGCCACCCCAGGCGCAACGCCGACCACCTATTGAGACAAGCAAGGAACCAAGAAATGTGATCTTGAACAAAATGTCATCTGAAAGTTATGGCTTGTCATTGGGAACCATTTTGTTTGTCAAAGATCTCGATGAAAGAGGACCTGCTGGTAGAGAGGGTCAACTTGAACGTGGTGATGTTATCCTTAAGGTGGGATTGAAAACTGGGTTGGACTTTGACAATTGCTTTCCCCTCTTTACATCTAATAGTAATCTAGTTTACTACAAAGCAGAAAATTTAATTAATGAGTACAGTTGGACCTATAAGGGCCTGCACTGTCTGTATTTGCCCAAAGCATACAAAAATGTGGTTGAATGACAGGCTTAGTTAGATGAATGATGATAATATATCTAACTTAATGATTTTTTCAGATAAATGACAAGAGAGTGGATGACCTAAGTCGACCTGATGCTGTGAACATCATGAGAAATGCCCCGGAAAGATTAGATCTTGTTGTTCTCAGAAATAAAGATGTTCCAGCAAATATGCCAGCAAGGTACTGACCTTTACTTGGCTAAATTAATGTTTCCTTTGCTGTGATACCAAACAGCATATGGTAGTACATTAATACAATACCTGGTTTTGTTTTAATGATATGGGCCCTGTTAATTTAGGTTTGCAGGTGTGAATGAACATGTGTCTATGACCAAAAGTCAAATGGTTGAAAGTTCGAGTAATGGGATGAATGGACAAGGTCTGTGTGTGGCATCTACTAATTAGAACAATCAGAACATTAAATTCATTCAAATTATGTTGAATTGTGCATCTAATCTGCAATTATTCCTTATTTAAGATTTAATTGCATTCAAACAAGGTCAATGGCAAGGCGATTCAAGAGGTACTTCATAGTTTATTCATTCTTGAGACATCAATAAAGCCAGCAGAGGTTTCCATATTGTGCTGACAATGTAATCATTACTATTATAGATGGTGGATGGGACAGCACATTACGGAGTACAGCTACTTACAGTATCTCAAGTGCAGGAAGAAGAAGTGATGAACGGGAAAGAGACATTGACGCAAGAAGAGACAAGAAATTCCATGGGTGAGTTGCCTTCATTTTTCGCAAACTAGTGTTAAAATTGTATACATTCATGTCATTCTAATATTCTAAAACTAAAAAAATTCCAAAAAGGTGTTAAGATATGGTAGTTCTGACTACTAAACTCATGAAAACTGGCAATAATTTAATTGTGTCTCTCTCATTTTGCTGCTTAGTGAGCCACATCTTGTGTCATTCCATCGAACTGGTAGCAGTCTTGGTATCCAGGTCGCTGGTGGAAATGCTGTCGGCATCTTTGCAAATGCCATCAAAGATGGAAGTCCTGCGCAAGTCGCTGGGCTTCGTGTTGGAGACCAAGTCTTATCAGTAAGCGAGATAACATACGAGTTTATGATTCACTAATACAGCGCAACTTGACAAATTCATTTCTATTTTCTATTCGTCAAGGCTAATGATATTGATTTCAAAGACATCACGAGAGAAGAGGCAGTTCTCATTCTGCTTTCACTACCAGAGGAAGTCAGCTTGCTCGTCCAGTACAAAAAATCTGGTAAAATTCTACTCAGACATAAATTCTACTCAGGATAAATTGTTTTATTGAACACTTGTTTTCTCTGTAGTTTACGACAAATCCAAAGATTCCCCTGGCGACTCGTTTTATGTCAAGTAAGATGTGATGCTAATAATACGATTGTCATCTAAATAGTGCATGAATCTTTAACATGACATGGTGTCAGACACCATTATCACCACCATTGTTAAACATTTTAAGCAATTCACCAATGATATAATATTTTTAATATTCCTAGGGCCCAGTTCCACTATCAAGGTTCCGATGAAGATGAGTTGTCATTCAGAAGAGGCGAGGTCTTTCATGTACTTGATACGATGAATGGTGGTACCATAGGATCATGGAGAGCACAGAGGGTCCTGCAGAGTGGTGCAGAGACAGAAGTCGGCATTATTCCAAACAAATGCAGGTACTGTACGTTATTAAAACTATATGGTATATTATGAAGTATGTATTAAACACTGTCGACATTCAAATCATCAACAACCGGCCTCTAAACGCGTACGTTTTTTCTCATTCTCTAGAGCTGAGCAACTTGCAATCGCTCAGGATTTGGAAGCGAAAAAAGGCGCAAATCCCAAACAGAAATCAGGAACACTGAAAAGGAAAGATACCAAAAGCAACACGCCAAAGAAAAAGCAATACCAAGCAGCTGATCAACTTGACGAAACATCATTCCGTACGTATCAAACTTTTCAGAATTTTCTGAATACTTTTAGTTTTTTCCCTTGGGTTTAATTTTTATCAAGCACAGTCTGACTACCCAAACATTTCCTCCGGTGACGTGTCTCCTACTACGATTTTATATTTTAAATGATTTCCACTTTTTATAGAGCTTGATGTCAAATATCCTGCTTATGAAAGAGTTGTAAAACAAAAAGGTAAATAGCCTTTGGCTTTGCAGCCGATTAAGCTTCGCCCCGGCGCCGCACTACATGTATATGAAATATAATTGTGACATGCAATTTAACACGTTTATTTCGCAGCTGGATTTGTTCGTCCCGTCGTCTTGTTGGGGCCAATTGCTGACATATGTCGTGACAAATTGATGGTGGAGTATTCTGATAAATTTACCTCACCAGGTTCGTGAAATAACTGCATACAGTACATGCACTTTTTCTCGTCGAAATAATATTTATTTCTACGTCTGTTTCTGACTTTTCTTTTCTTTTCTTAGCTACATTTGGTCGAATGGATCCAAGTAAACAATCTGGGATTAAACTCAGCGCTGTTCGGGACAACATTGCCAGTGTATGTATTAACTATTGTGTACTGACATGGTTTAGTGCGGACACTGTTGGTCAGTTGTCGCGTGTATCTTACTGAACGAAATATTCTTCCGTGTTTAGGGCAAACACAGTTTACTTGATGTAACACCGGACGGAGTTGAAATGTTGAACTTTGTTGGATTAGAACCTATAGTGATATTCATGCAGCCGAGCAGTAAACAACTTATTAAGTAAGTTCAACCATTCTGCACTTTACTAGATCAAGTACTGTCCATTTTGCTTCAGTATTAATCGATTATATCCCCCCCCTAGGGACCTGCGTCATGACTTGACCAACAAATCTCACTCCGCGAGATTCGTAAAGAAACTCTTTGACCAAGCTGACACGCTCAGTCTCGAGTATCCGTACTTGTTTACAGGTAAACTGTTTGCTTCTTCTAATCGGATGATAACGAACGCACGTAGCGTTCTAAATGCTTATGATAGTTTAATCTAACTGTGCAATCGTTCTACGCTGTCGTTTAGCTGTCATTCCACTGGAACGCAACAACAAATGGTACACTGACTGTGTTGACATAATCAAGAAACAACAAGAAGATCCAATATGGCTGCCTGAAACTTTGGTATGTTACGATCTACATATTCCTTCTGAAGTGCTGCATATTAAGACTGTTAGTTGGGCAGTGCTGTAACACCTTGGTTCGTCCAGGCTGAGCGCTTAGTAGTTTCACCAATGTAGTTTTACTGTAGTGCAGGAGGACTATTTGAACTTTCATTACAATTTAGAGTGTTGTGTTATTTCTTAACTGTTTATTTTTATTTGTAGAGCCAACAACATAATGACGATGAAGTCGTTTTGCAAATGCCGAGGCGTTCCGTCGGCTATGACATGGAACAGAGTGGTCTGGATCTTCCTGGTGACCTTGACCGTAAGCCGGAGAGTTACCCCAACACCCCGGACGAGGAAGTTGTCGTGGCAGCATCCGCAGCCGGACTGCAGGCGGAAGAAGTGCCCGTCGTGCAAGCGTTCAGCGTTACCCCCGAAGTCTCGGAGAGAGAGCGACGAGAAGAAGAGGAACGTGAATTTCAGAGAAAACAGGAACAGGAGCGAGAATTTCAAAGAAAACAAGAACAGGAATTCCAAGAACGAGAGTTTCTCAGAAGGCAAGAGGAAGAACGTGAATTTCAAAGAAAGAAGGAGGAGGAGTTGAGAATTCAAGAAGAGGAAAACCGGCGTCAAGCGGAAATGGACCGGGAACGAGAGAAGGAACAGAACCGGGACAGGCCGGAGGATGAGTATGCAAGACAATTAGAGCAACGAGAGTATGAACGAAGACAGTACGAAGAAAACCGAAGATCGTACGATGGTGGTGAGGTACAGCATCGTGATGAGAGAAAGCCATATATTCCACCTGGTGTCAAGTAAGTTCTATACACTGATCTTAAACTTTAGACTGGATAGTCGTAATTTGTTATTTGTATTGAATGAAGCATCTCGATTTTTCAACGTTTCTCCAGGGTATTGCCAGGCGCACTTCCCCCATTAGTCAGTCTGAAGAAAACAGATTCCGGGGATCGAAGAAGTCCTCGGGACGAGTCGTACCCAGGCGACGCTCGGCCTGCCGTACAATTGCGTCATGTCGAACGAGACCAGGACGCGGATCAATATGACGAGAGGATTGGGGTGAAGGTTTCAGATCTGTTTGATATTGGTAAAGATATTCAAGCCGGAGGGGAGTATCAGGAAGATAACAGACGCGTGGAACGGAAGAATGAAGAACGACGATATCGAAGGTAGAAATAAACAAATAAACAAATAATATCATCCAAGGTAGCCCAGAGGTATTTGTAACCAGTTTTTTTTTGCGGTCTGTGTCATACACACGTTGTTGTGACCGCAGTGTTTTGCCTTGGCGGAACAACCTTCAATATTAGGTTATAGCTACAATGGCAGTTATGACAAGAATCAATGCTTTAAACTTTACCCTAGGAAACATTCCGGGTCTTTTAAAAGCAATGCTATAGGACTTAGAAATCCTAGTTATTGTTTTTTCTTCATACGTGCCGTTCATTTCCACTCCTCTTTACTTCATTCTTACGTACCGGCGAAAAACGGTTTCTCAAAAAGAGTACTAGAAAAATATTCTCAACACATGACCTGGCTTTGTAGTGACAGTGACGACGAGGAGGCGGGATTCCCTCGCGAGCCGCCAGAATCACGCGTGACCAACACGCAAGACGTGGAGAAACACGGCGAGCTGATACATGAGAACATGGTGCGGACTACTGTGAAACCAGTCGAAGCCGCTGCGGTTGATTTTGAGGATGTCTTCAGGTAGATTCGCGCGTAGCCCTGGGAACTAGGCATGCTTCGGTGTTAACGATTGGCTGTTCTACGGTTGCAAATTATATAATTATTAATACGGTTGGCTAAATCACCTTTGATTAAATGACGTTTGATTATTACATTTCGTGATTTTTTTCAGTTTCAACATGAATATCCTTAGAATGATTATAACGAGCCTTGTGACTTGCAAAATGATAAGATCAATGAACATTTTAATCAGTCGTATGATTCGTTAAGATTGACTCTGTTTTGCTCGTGGTGATATGGAAAGGGTCTATATTAATGTTTTTGTATATGTATGTTTTTGTGATTTAGCATGTGTTAGTCTACAGGGTGTATCAAAAAAAACGCAACCACTTAATATTCATGAATATCCTCTTTGTTCTACAACACAAAACACGTTTGGCCCCTGAAATGCGAGAAAGCTTGTAATCATATTCTAGCGGCACAATCGTTGGTAAACAAAGTCGGGTGCGTAAACCAACGAGCTGAATTGAAAGTACTTAACGAGTAAAAGTTTATTTACAATTTATTTTACAAGGTCGACAGTTAGCATTCAAGTTATCATGCACGACAATAAAAACTCGTTGTTCAGTTGTTAGCTGCACCATTATTAGTTTAGCTGATTTGACCATTAGCAGTTGAACTGTACGATTAGAAGCCATTTTAAAATCCCAGGGGCATAAAATCTATTGAGCTTATGAACAATATGAATTTTAGAATATTAAGTGGTTGCGTTTTTTTTGATACACCCTGTAGTATATCGTAGATTTTCATATTTGATTATATAACAATATTTGATCATGATTTTATTTATTACTTCATCAATCAATTAATGATTAATTTATAGAGCAAATGATCCTACAAATTATTCTAATTGATCAGACACACAAGGACAGTCAATCGTTAACACTTTAGCATTGCATTTTAAGTCCGAGGAATATATATCGGTCGGTTCATAGCTTGGGAATAATAGCTTGGATTCCTGGAATATTATAGTTTTCACTGTTGTTTTTCCAATGCATTCACAATCCACATCACATTAACTACACGATCATCACTCGCACCTTGTACATCGCCACTGATCTTAGTTTCTTTGTACCGATATCTAGCTTCCTACAAATTTGCTTGTCTGGAAGCTTTTTAATTATTTTCTACCACACAGAAACAAATAGCACGCGGGTTACGATAGGGTGTTTTGTAGCAATGAATTAATTCAAATTCTGCATTCTATGTATACAGAGTGTATCCAAAAATGTTCGCTTCTATTCAATAACAAAACATCGTAGCCCCCTCGGAGAATTTTTAGGGTTGCAGTTTTTTTATACACCCTGTGTATATATACAGCGCTCTTTCTCATTTCTTCCACCATTGCTAACTACTTTCATCAATATCTAGCTCGCAAAAGTCCACAAACATTCGCAACCAGACTACCACCGAGTATAGGACCAGTTACCAGGTCACGAAGCAGGCACGAAACACGATCGTTGACACTCGTGGTGGACAAAGGGTTGAGAGCGGTGTATTCAGTGAGTATTACCCCGGCAGGTCACGTGCAAAGTTTGTGAATATTGGTGAGGATAAGCAGGATGGATATGGTGGACGTGAGGAACCTCAAGTTAAGGTAAGGGATAATGGGGTTAAGCGTGGATATGTTGAGGCATTTTTGGACCAAATCTCGAACAGTGGTAAGAGTTTTGTTGGTGCCCTCCTGCATGTCACTATATAATATTTGCGATGTTTTCGAATGTAGATGGAATACGCAAGCCGTGTCTCAAGTGAACCCCCCTCCTATGATCGCCGCCCACCCCCTCCAAACCACTATGAAAGTGAGCCCCCACCGAGCCGGCGTCCCCCGCCTCCCGCCGAAGACCAAGGGCCGAATAGGCCTATGCCTTACTCAAACGTGTACCCTCGTCCTTTTGGAACGCAGTCATCTACCTACTATTCCGACTACCGACGAACGACGACCGATCACGACGAAGGACGACAATACAATGGTGATTACCAGCAGCCGGTACCGGAAAGCGCAACATATCGCTATGGTAGTGCTGCATATCGTTATCCAGCGAATGATTACGACGATGAACGAGGAGAGGCAACGAGGTAAGAACTTGCGTTAATGCAGTATCAGACAATTATGACGAGTTTTATTTCTCCATGTATACGGCGGGAAATAAGTAGTTTTCTTTCACAAGAGACGATACTCTCTAGAGTTTTGCCATTTGGCTGTTTTCAACCATTACTTGGCAACTGGTTATGATCTGGTTAATTTCATAATGTATTCTGTAAGACGTGTATGTTTGGGTGTGACTGCAGTTTGTCGTACCACAATGCAAGGTGATTATTAATTAGGGGATAAATAGACGTATTCTTGTAATTTGCAGTGCGCTTGCCCAATTTGCCTTACTAACAAATAAGTTCCTTATTGATGATTGTGCACTAATTTGTAGTGCTTGATTTTAACGTTTGTGTTGGTGAACACGTCTAGTTAGTGAATGCTTTGTTTCTGCAAAGTGAATGATTTATGTGAAGTTGGATAGATTTAATAGAAACCTTGATTCTAATAATCACCTTACATTGTAAATGGTATGGGTTTAGGATGAAGATATTACGAGTTAAGATTCCTACATAATTCTCGTAAATACGATCGCACATACACGCGTTGTAGTGTATGTGAAGGGTGTGACCAAAGGTCAATTCGAGGGTAGTTCAGCGGACTGGGCTCGAAAACAATCTTCGGCGAATCACCTTGCAATGTGGCGTGACAAAATGGCGGCTATTCGAAACATACGTGGGCCAATCAGCAGCGCTGAGGGAAATCACGTGTTTTGTGTTTAGCGATTTCGAGTCGGTTGGCGATGATGAGCCCACGGTGGTCGCAACAGCCCGCGGCTACTTCACATCGCGTGGCGGTATTCTGACCTCTCAGGAAACTGGAGTGAGCATTTATATTCCGTCTGGCGCCATTCCGCCCGGAATTGAACAAGAAATATATTTTAAAGTTGGCAGTGATAATTCCATGTTGCCTCCCTTGGACTCAGAAAAAGGTGAGAGGTGAATTTTGTCCCATAACGGCCAACAAAAGTAATCAGGATATCTTTAAAGGCTAGTTAACTTTTAACTGTAGTTAAAAACAGAATTGGCCAATCAGAGTCTTGTATTTCTGAGCTAACTGTGATTTAACTATGCAAAATGTAGTTAAAGAGTTTTATACAAACTGCCCCAGACATCTTCAATCCTGTAGTTTTATGCTTCGCTACCCGAGCTTCTTCGACATTCTTCGTTTTTCTCTCATTCAGGTGAAACTCTCCTCAGTCCTCTGGTGATGTGCGGACCTCACGGTACAAAATTTCTAAAGCCAGTTGAATTACGCTTGCCCCACTCGGCTTCGATGACCCCCGATGGATGGTCATTTTCCCTCAACTCCAGTAACAATTCTTCAGGTAGGTTACCCTTGGTGTGGCACTGACCTGAAATTAATACGGGACAATAATAAATAATACTACCTTTGTTTTTCCGATACAAAACATAAATTATGACAGAATTCTAAGAACATGCATTATTATTAAAATACCGAGTTATCTCTCTTCTTCAATCTCTATGCGTTAAATCAGCATGAATAAATAATGCTTCGTCGATGCTCCTAGTTGTCCCTTGCTATCACAATAGGTACCTCTGTATTATAGTACACTAAGGGACCCTTTCTCTGTGAACTTTGCAGGTGAACCAAAGCAATATAAAGTTGGAAGCAACAGCGTTTCCGTTCTCGTCGATCATTTTTAAGACGACATATTGGACGACTAATTGCCACAATTATCACCGCTAATGAGGGCGTAATTGACATGACCGCCAGATTTTTGGATTAGATATTTTTTAAAGGGATGTAGATTTTTTTCAAGACCGTCGGAGCTTCGTATAATTTTGGAATAAATGAAAACGAATGACTTAGTAATTTTAGAAATCGTTGTAATTTTTTACGAGGGTAATTTATAAATGATTATAGATTTAATTTTAGTGTTGTGCAAATCAGTTTTATACGGTGTGCACAATCATATTATCAAATTATCAAAAGGCGCCTAGTTTATGTATGTTTCCAGAAAGATTCATCAGCTGGTAGATTGGATGCCATGAATCGTGTATTATTGAGTTTACTATAATGTAACACTATACCGTACTGATATCGTAATATCGTCGCGTGTCTTCTGTTTACTTCAGGAGTAACGAAATGCTATCAACGATATTCCGTTTAATTTCTACCTCGTGCTGAGCCAACTAACCTAAGTCTTGGTTAACGCTGATTCAGCAATCAGATTTTCTACTGAAAATCTTGTTTATTGAGCTAAATATACTCTCCCTGAACGGTTTTTGGTTCAGCGGGACTGCCTCGTGTCGACAAGGGTCAAAGGCAGTACTTTACGAACTGAAAGCAGTTTTACGTTCAATTCAGAGTTAGTACTTTGCTTTGAACGACTATCATTACATAACTTTATTACTCAATACGAATTTATATAGTTTATAATTATTTTTTGTAATAATATTTCCATGAAAAGCAATAAATATTAATAGTTGATGGTTTTGTATTTTTTTGTAGTGGGTCAAATATAGTATTCTATGTTCAAATTCTAAGAGTCGTTGACCTTGTTCTTTTTTTAGATCTTCCAGTGAAATATGAAGAAAAATGGCATCGATGAAGTTTAAAAGAAAAAACTGGATGTTCAGGGCATGCAGCACGCACTTTTCAAAAAATATTTCACACTAACTAAATATACCCGGCAGGGTATTGAATTGGGGACATTTTTTTATATTCATGTATAGGTAAGAACATTTCATGTATCGTAGCCGTTCAAACGTTTATTCCTGTAGTTAGTCATACTTAAACATAATACCTAATTAAACGTTGTTTATATAACCACATACGCAGAATATGATAGCGAAATAGATGTACGTAATTTTGTTGAAATGTGTGAAAAATGATTGAGCTTATGTAGAAGAAGAAGGTCATTCTGGACTTCTGGTGGTCAGGTCTGCGTTCTGATCGTTGGATGGGCATGATAAAGATGCATGGCTTGTTCAAGAAATCTTGGCACTGTAATCAATTTTGGATGTACTTGTATGATTATGATGTTGTTTATAGTAAATAAATGTACTCAAGCTGTAGTAAAACTGCGTGTCTCCATTTTTAGGGTAAAATTTTACTGAGAGAGGTTTTTAGCTGATATAGTCTTGACATGGGAAAGTATATATCACCTGAACATGTTTGTTCGAAATGATAATATTCCAAGAGTATGTTTCAATGTAAGTGTTTTTCCAAAACAACCACGATGGTGTAGTGGTTAAGAGTTGCAACAGGTAGGTCCACAGATTCGGGCCTGTGGAGTGACAAGAGAAGAAATTGGCTCCAGAAAAAAAACAACTTGACTTTTCCATGTACGTATTGCGTGGAATTGTCGGAAAATAGGTTTGTGTGCCAAAAAATGTAAGCTTTTCAAGAGCAGCCACGATGGTCTAGTCGTTAAGACATGCATCAGTGTCAGTGAATAAAATTTTAAATGTCCATCATTCACCTCGCTTCCGAAGTAAATAAACCTGCTTTAGCTTGTAGTAAATGCAGTGAGTGAAAAAGGGCACTTTACGTTTATAAAACATACATAAACGCGATTGGAAAATGAAAAAACCTGAAATTTAAGTAGTAAGAACGCCGCGCAATCGCATGCAGTGAACGAGTAATAATTCCGCAATCACTACATTGAACAATCTCGTATATATTAAGCTTTCGATTCCTGGAGTCATCCTGATCGGGTTCGTTGGTTTGATTGTTGTTCTTGCAACCTGGAACCGAGCGCGTTTTTGTTTTTTTAGGTATGGCACATCTTAAGAATCTTTTCAATATGAACTCAAAAAAATCTGAAGCCGCAAACACTTACCATCGTCGCAGGAGCGAATAGTCAGGGGTGAAGACAACGGTCTCGCAACTGGCAAATTGATGGTTCCAATCCTGCATGAGTAAAGTGTTTTCATGGTGACTATAAAGAAATGATTCAGGTGAGATAAAAAAGAAAAGCTGTTAGTCTTAGGATCTGTTAGTTTAGTGGCGAAGACGATGGTCTCGTAACTTTCAAGTCGGTGGTTCGAATATGGGAAAGAATGTTTTTCATTGTGACTTTGAAAAAGGATTAAAGTAAAATAGATAAGTGCGGCCTTACCATTTTGGTCAATTTTGACGATTTTTCAGTGTTCTAAAAAACCAACCAAATATGCTCTAAAACAAAAGATAATAGTCTTAGGAAGCCATTTTTAGCATTTTAAGACAGTTTTTGAAAAGTTCAAAAAGTCGTCAAAATTAAAACAATTGAAAAACAATTGAAAAAGCCTTGCCAATTTAATACTAATATCTTTCATTTTAGAGGATATTTGGTTGGTTTTTGAACAACGAAAAAGTGGTCAAAATTGATAAAAATGGTAAGGCTTACCCCTTACCATTTTGGTCAATTTTGACGACTTTTTCAACTGTTCAAAAACTGTCTTAAAATGCTAAAATTGGCTTCTTAAGACTATTATCTTTCATTTTAGAGCGTATTTGGTTGGTTTTTGGAACGATGAAAAAGTGGTCAAAATTGACCAATATGGTAGGGCTTACCCCTTACCATTTTGGTCAATTTTGACGACTTTTTAAACTGTTCAAAAACTGTCTTAAAATGCTAAAATTGGTTTCTTAAGACTATTATCTTTCATTTTAGAGCGTATTTGGATGGTTTTTGGAACAATGAAAAAGTGGTCAAAATTGACAAAAAGGTAAGGCTTACCCCTTAACATTTTCGTCAATTTTGACGACTTTTTGAACTGCTCAAAGATTGTCTTAAAATGCTAAAAATGGCTTCCTAAGACTATTATCCTTCATTTTAGAGTGTATTTGGATGGTTTTTGGAACAATGAAAAATTGGTCAAAATTGACTAAAAAGGTAAGGCTTACCCCTTAACATTTTCGTCAAATTTGACGATTTTTTGAACTGTTTAAAAATGGTCTTAAAATGCTAAAAATGGCTTCCTAAGACAAATTATTTTCATTTTAGAGCGTATTTAGATGGTTTTTTGAAGAATGAAAAAGTGGTCAAAATTGACAAAAAGGTAAGGCTTACCCCTTAACATTTTGGTCAATTTTGACGACTTTTTGAATTGTTCAAAAACATTCTTAAACTGCTAAAAATGGCTTTCTAAGACTATTATCTTTCATTTTAGAGCGTATTTGGATGGTTTTTGGAACAATGAAAAAATGGTCAAAAGGCTTACCCCTTAACATTTTGGTCAATTTTGACGATTTTTGAAAGTTTAAAAATTGTCTTAAAATGCAAAAAATGGCTTCCTAAGACTATTATCTTTCATTTTAGAGCGTATTTGGATGGTTTTTGGAAGAATGAAAAAGTGGTCAAAAGGCTTACCCCATACATTTTGGTCAATTTTGACGACTGTTTGAATTGTTCAAAAACATTCTTAAACTGCTAAAAATGGCTTCCTAAGACCATTATCTTTCATTTTAGAGCGTATTTGGATGGTTTTTGGAACAATGAAAAAATGGTCAAAATTGACAAAAAGGTAAGGCTTACCCCTTAACATTTTCGTCAATTTTGACGACTTTTTGAACTGTTCAAAAATTGTCTTAAAATTCTAAAAATGGCTTCCTAAGACTATTATCTTTCATTCTAGAGCGTATTTGGATGGTTTTTGGAACAATGAAAAATTGGTCAAAATTGACTAAAAAGGTAGGGCTTACCCCTTAACATTTTGGTCAATTTTGACGATTTTTTGAAAGTTTAAAAATTGTCTTAAAATGCTAAAAATGGCTTCCTAAGACCTTTATCTTTCATTTTAGAGCGTATTTGGATGGTTTTTGGAACAATGAAAAAATGGTCAAAAGGCTTACCCCTTAACATTTTGGTCAATTTTGACGATTTTTTGAAATGTTTAAAAATTGTCTTAAAATGCAAAAAATGGCTTCCTAAGACTATTATCCTTCATTTTAGAGCGTATTTGGATGGTTTTTGGAAGAATGAAAAAGTGGTCAAAAGGCTTACCCCTTACATTTTGGTCAATTTTGACGACGGTTTGAATTGTTCAAAAACATTCTTAAACTGCTAAAAATGGCTTCCTAAGACCATTATCTTTCATTTTAGAGCGTATTTGGATGGTTTTTGGAACAATGAAAAAATGGTCAAAATTGACAAAAAGGTAAGGCTTACCCCTTAACATTTTCGTCAATTTTGACGACTTTTTGAACTGTTCAAAAATTGTCTTAAAATTCTAAAAATGGCTTCCTAAGACTATTATCTTTCATTCTAGAGCGTATTTGGATGGTTTTTGGAACAATGAAAAATTGGTCAAAATTGACTAAAAAGGTAGGGCTTACCCCTTAACATTTTGGTCAATTTTGACGATTTTTTGAACTGTTTAAAACTTGTCTTAAAATGCTAACAATGGCTTCCTAAGACAATTATCTTTCATTTTTGAGCGTATTTAGATGGTTTTTGGAAGAATGAAAAAGTGGTCAAAATTGGCAAGAAGGTAAGGCTTACCCTTAACATTTTGGTCAATTTTGACGACTCTTTGAACTGTTCAAAAACTGTCTTAAAATGCTAAAATTGGTTTCTTAAGACTATTATCTTTCATTTTAGAGCGTATTTGGTTGGTTTTTGGAACATTGATAATGTGGTCAAAATTGAGAAAAAAGGTAAGGCTTACCCCTTACCATTTTTGTCAATTTTGACGACTTTTTGAATTGTTCAAAAATATTCTTAAATATCTAAAAATGGCTTCCTAAAACCATTATCTTTCATTTTAGAGCGTATTTGGATGGTTTTTGGAACAATGAAAAATTGGTCAAAATTGACTAAAAAGGTAAGGCTTACCCCTTAACATTTTGGTCAATTTTGACGACTTTTTTAGTTGTTCAAAAATTGTCTTAAAATGCTAGAAATGGTTTTTTAAGACTATTATCTTTCATTTTAGAGCGTATTTGGTTGGTTTTATGAAGAATGAAAAATTGGTCAAAATTGACTAAAAAGGTTAAGGCTTACCCCTTAACATTTTCGTCAATTTTGATGATTTTTTGAACTGTTTAAAACTTGTCTTAAAATGCTA